CTGGACGTGACGCATCAGTGGGCCGAGAGACATGGGCTGCAACACTGCCCAATACTCCCCCGCAAGCTGGAGCGTGGAGGTTACGCACGTTCAGCTTGGATAACAAGAAGCGGAAGCGATCAGCGCCCAGGCCTTTAGTGAAAATGTCTGCCAACTGAAGGTGAGAGCTAACCTTAAGAGGATGAACATCGCCAAACTGAACACGCTCTCGAATAAAGTAGCAATCCATTTCCACGTGCTTGGTGCGCTCATGGAAAACCGGGTTAGCTGCAATGTGAAGAGCAGCCTGATTATCACAAAAAAGAGGAGTAGGGCGGCGCAGAGGAACCTCCAACTCTGTAAGCAGCCAACGAAGCCAGATAATCTCACTGACTGTGCTAGCCATAGCACGATACTCTGCCTCAGCCGAAGAACGAGCAACCACCCTTTGCTTCTTAGTACGCCAAGAGATGGGAGCTCCACCCAGACTAATGAAGTAACCGGTAGTCGAACGACGCGTACTCTGGCAACCACCCCAGTCAGCATCGCAATAGGCGGTGAGAGCCAGATCATTGTTCGCCGGAAAGAAGAGACCCTGACCCGGTGTGGACTTCAGGTACCGAAGAATGCGAGTAGCAGCATCCATGTGCTCCTGTCGAGGAGCAGAAACAAACTGGCTGAGAACATTAACCCCGTAGGTGAGATCAGGGCGAGTGACCGTCAGGTAAAGCAAACGACCAACTAAGCGTCGGTAGGAGGCAGCATCGGCCATAGTATCACCATCAACAGTGGGCCGAGTCAAACGATGGTTCTGTTCCACCGGGAAGGCACTAGGGCGTGCTGCTGTAACACCTGCATCAGCAAGAATGTCTAAAGCGTATTTTCGTTGGCAAAGAGCCACACCATCCGCCGTGCGAGCAAACTCCATACCAAGAAAATACCTCAACTCGCCGAGATCCTTAATACCAAACTGATCATCAAGAAACTTTTTGACCTTGGCCGCAAAGACAAGACCATTACCAGTGAGTAAAACGTCATCAACATAGATCAAAGCCACAACAAAACTGCTCCCCCGGTGATAGATAAACAAAGAGTGGTCGGCGGGGGAAGCTCGAAAACCAAGAGTGCCAAGAGCAGCAGTGAACTTGTGATACCAGTTTCGAGAAGCCTGTCGAAGACCGTAGAGAGACTTATGCAAACGGCAAACACGGGTGTCACCAGGTTGAGCAAAACCTTGGGGAATTTTCATGTAAACCTCCTCCTCAAGATCACCGTGGAGGAATGCATTGTTAACGTCAAGTTGATGAAGAAACCACCCCCGACTGACGGCTACAGCGAGAAGACAGCGGATGGTGACAAGTTTAGCTACCGGGGCAAAGGTATCATGGAAGTCAATACCTTCAATCTGAGTGTAGCCCTTGGCAACAAGGCGAGCCTTAAAACGCTTGATAGTTCCATCGGGAAGGAACTTGATTTTATAGATCCACTTCGGGGAGATGGCACGCTTGCCAGGAGGTAACTCGACCAAACTCCAAGTGCCATTCAATTCAAGAGCACGAATCTCTTTAATCATGGCTGCCCGCCACCGCGGGTCTTGCATAGCCTGCTGAAAAGAGCGGGGCTCCATTTGAGAGGAGACAGCTGCCAAAAAACAAGTGTAAGTGGAGTTCGACCCATCATAAGCAACAAAAGCGGAGATGGGGTACTTAGCTGCGGAGGCAGTGCTCGAGGGAGGATGTCCAGGTATGGCTGGAGTCTCATAGATGTCCAAGTGGCGAGGAACCACGCGAACACGATCGCTGCGGCGGAGTGGGGCAGGGGCGACCGTCGGTTGAGGAGAGGGCGACGTGGGCGCTGTGGGCGAGCTGGCCAGAGCCTCCTCAGCGGGAGGAGAAGTCAGTGGACGAGGGGAAGAGCGCGACGCCGTGGGAGACGGCTGCTCATCGGATGCAGCAGGTGGATCAACGCGAGGAGGAGAAAGGATGGGCAAGTCATCGTCCTCGTCGCGGGCGTCAAAAACAGACCGTGGTATCCATGGCAAATCACGTCCATGGGGTTCCTGAAAAGGGAAAACAGTCTCGTGAAAGACAACGTCACGAGTGGAGAACAAGCGCCGAGAGCTGAGCTCGTAAACCCGGTAAGCTTTCTGGGTGGCTGCATAACCAAGGAACACACAAGCTCGTCCCCGCTCGGCGAATTTATCCAAACCAGCATGAGTATCTTTAGAATAAACCAAACACCCAAAGACTCGCAAATGAGAATAAGACGGAGGCTTCCCAAAAATTGTCTCGAACGGTGTCTGACCAGTAGCAGTAGTCGGAAGACGGTTGATTAAATATGCCGCAGTGAGAATGCACTCACCCCAAAAACGAATCGGAAGACCAGCCTGAAATCGGAGAGCACGTGCAGTGTCAAGAAGGTGGCGATGCTTACGCTCTACCACGCCGTTCTGTTGCGGTGTGTCGGTGCATGAAGTTTGGAGAACAATACCTTCTTTAAGGAAGTAATCCTGCAGTACAAGGGTGTTAAATTCGGGACCATTATCCCCTTGAACCCGACGCACAACGCGCCCAAATTGGGTGCGAGCCTGCTCAATAAACAACATCAGATATCGTCCCACCTCGGATTTATAACGAAGTAGATAAACCCATGTACCACGACTGAAGTCATCGACGATGGTAAGAAAATAGTAAGCACCGCTAAGAGAAGGGGTCTTATAACCACCCCAAATGTCGACATGTATTAAATCGAAACATCCTTTGGCCCGAATACCACTAGAAGGAAATGGAGTTCGAGTCTGTTTTGCTCTTAAACAAGAGTGACAAGGGTCCTTATTATCAACGAAAGAAATTCCCAGAAAAGAACTAAGTTGCTGAAGCTTGGCACTTGATGGGTGACCAAGCCGATCATGCCAAATGGTCTCCGAAGTCGTCGTCCCTTCGCGCACCGCACAAGCTCGAACATTCTTGGTGCCGAAAAGACGTAGATAGTAGAGACCGTCTCGAAGTTCACCTTTCCCAATCAAGATCTTGGAGAGCAAGTCCTGGATCACGCAGAAACCATCAAGAAAAATTAATGCTGCGTGATTTTCGCGAACAAAACGACTAACCGATAGCAAATTGCATCGGAATTCCGGGACATGTAAGACCCGAGGAAGAACCAGCCCAGTGGGAAAAACAACACTGCCAATATGTCGAACCGGAACACTGGTCCCATGGGGAATGCGAACTGGTGAACCATGCTCGACCACCTCTTTGGTTGATAATAAATGCTCATCCATCGTAATGTGCTCATTGCAGCCTGAATCCAACAACCATTCAGTGTCAAAAGAAAAAATACCTGCCGAGTTGGCGATGGGACCCTCTGATGTCTTGGGCGAGTAGCCAAAATACTGCTGGAGTTGCTCGAGTTGTTGAACAGAGAAACCCGCAACCGGACTCTTCGATTTCTCCTGATCAACCTGAGCTGCCTTGGGAGGGCGATCACGCCAGGAACCATCTCGATCACGGGGAGGACGATCATCACGATCGCGGGAGGAGCGATCATCCCGAGCGGGCTTGTCACCCGACCCCCGAGGTCGGCGTTGCTGGGAGTCACGATCAGGGCGATTATCACCCCGATCACGAGGCGGATAGCCAATTAACTCGAAACATCTCTCTCGCAGGTGACCAGATTTGTTGCAATAGGTGCAGTGGTAGCGCTCGCGCTCCCCCGCACTTCGTTGCCCTTTGTCATCGCTGCGAGCAGCAAACACAGCCGCTTCACTAGTCGGTTTGCGGCCTTGGGTAATAATACGTTGTTGTTCTTCATTCATGGCAATTTGAAACACCTCGGAAATCGAAGGTATAGGACGCATTGCTAAGACCTGCGTTCGCACGGCTGAAAAAGCGTCATCGAGCCCCATAAGGAAATCAAACAAACGCGAACTATCACGCTGTTCACGAACACGGGTCGAGACGTGGCATGTGCACAGACCACACACGCAGCTTGGAATGGGGTCAATGGCACTCGATTCCTCCCAGTAAGACTTGAGTTTGGTGTAAAAAGCAGAAACAGAATGCTTCTCCTGTTGTAGAAGAGTAATCAGCCGGCGCAGTTCATAGGCCCGAGAAGCATTACCTTGGCCAAATCGGCTTTGAAGATCAATCCAGATTTCGCGAGAGGATTCAGCGAAGCGCACGCTACTTCGAATTTCTTTATCCATCGCGGTCTTGAGCCAACCCTTCACCATCGCGTCACAGCGGATCCAAGCATCGCGTTCAGGACCCGCCGCTGGCTTAGCAAGGGTTCCAGCGACAAAACCGAACTTGTTTTTCGCCAATAGAGCATCCTTCATGTCCAAAACCCATTCCCCATAGTTGGAAGAGGTTAAAAGATCTCCGACCAGCAGCTGCCCCGTATGGTCCGATAACGGCAGCTGAAAAACCAAAGGAAGAACATCACCCGCGCCGCTACCAGAAGGAGCGTTGCCCGACCCAGTAGGCGACGTATTACGAACAGTAGATTCGTCGTCGCTAGCCATAGTAGAGCGACAATAACAGGGATCCTATTGCTCTGATACCATGTAAAATAGCAATAATACGAAGAAGACAAGACGATTTAACGTGGTATCCTCGATCAATAGCTTGACCGAGACTAATCCACGGGAGAGTGAAAACACTCTCCAGCTGCAACTTTTATTCCTCTTTCTCAAGTGTTGGCCGAAGCCTTGGAGTTACAAAAGCATATATACCCTGTTCTACAATATGTCACTAGGGTTTCCTTTAGGTCATCACACGTAGTGAGGACGTCGGACGGGCCACATGCATGAGATGCATGGGCTGGACGTGACGCATCAGTGGGCCGAGAGACATGGGCTGCAACACTGCCCAATAGTTTGCCATATATATATATATATATATATATATATATATAAACAACAATCTATGTCAAGAATCTTTCTAAAGTATCCAATCTTACATTCTACTCCAACCCTTCTCAAAGTTTGAACGAAAAGAATATACGTACACGTTACTCTCGAACTACCTGGGCTCCATTACAGTCATCGAGACTTGATTAACAGAGCAAGAATCGTTGATATTCTTCGAGGACGAAGAGTCGGCCGCCTCCGGTGGATTCCTTCTGAGGTAGAACCCAGGCAGCTTGGGCTGCGGCAGAGGATTCTCGCTGCCCAACATCAGAACCGCCGCCGACATGTTGGGCCTGTCTTCGGGCCTCTGTTGCACGCACAGCAACGCCACGTGGATGCATCTCAACACTTCCGATTGGTTGCAACTCTCGTTCAAAGAATCGTCTAACAGCCCTAGCGCCGCCCCTTCGTTCCACAACGTCCATGCCTGAACATGCAAAACATGCACACGAATTAATACCACCAATAAGTTGATTGTGATGATCATGTTCTAATCAGAGATTACGAGGACATTTATTAGTTATAGCTATGCAAGTGAAAGGACTCACGTGGCCGACAAGATTGAGGTCGTGGTCAACGTGATAGTATCCTCGGTTCCTCCTGCCGCTCACTATCTCAAGAACCAGCACTCCGAAACTGAACACGTCGGATTTGACCGAGAAGAGACCATCCACCGCATACTCCGGAGACATATAGCCGCTGAAGAAAAAAAGAAATACGATTTATAGGAGCTCAAACCCATATATGTGAAATTGAAGTGGTTTAGATGCAATGTATGATACTTACAACGTGCCCACGACTTTATTTGTTTCGCCCTCCGTCTGATCTCCTCCAAATGTCCTTGCCAGGCCAAAGTCGGAAATTTTAGGTCGCAACTCTTTGTCAAGCAATATGTTGCTGGCTTTCAGATCTCGATGGATGATTCTTAACCTGGAGTCCTGGTGAAGGTAAAGCAGGCCTCGAGCAATCCCGTCGATGATCACCGTTCTTTTCTGCCAGTTCAGTAGTTTTCTCTGAGTCTCATCTGATCATCAGAAGTACAAAATTGTTAGCAACAGTCTATATTACTAAAAATTAATATACAACCAGTGAAATTTTGGAAAAATGGTTGGGCTTCTCACTGAAAATGAAGAAGTCGAGGCTTTTGTTGGGCATGTATTCGTAGATCAACATCTTCTCGTCGTCGTTAATGCAACAGCCCAACAACCGGACAAGGTTCCGGTGCTGGAGTTTGGCGAACAAAATGACCTCATTCTTGAACTCGTTGAGCCCTTGTCCCGAGCTCTTTGAGAGCCTCTTCACCGCTATTTCTTGCCCTTCCGGAAGTTTTCCCTGGAGAACATGGATGTCATGTCAAAATCCAAAAAGTGTGAAAATATCAAGAATAGTTCTATCTTAACGAATATATATTTACCATGTATACGGGCCCAAATCCTCCTTCTCCAAGCTTATTCCCAATGGCAAAGTCATTTGTGGCCTCCACTATTGTGCTCAAATCAAATGTCGGTAGATCCAACTCTTCATTACGCTCCTTCTGGGATTTTATCCTTGGCAATGGAGTATTTATTGTTTTGAGTGTTTCTACACAAATAGGAATGAGTCAAAGTAACAGAAATCAGGTAGGATATTCTTAAAAAAAAAAAATTCAGTTTGGACGAATTGAAATAAATTAGAAATGGAATAGCCCCATTTTGATGAGAGAAAATTCGTTCACCTTTTTGCTTGAGTTTCCTTTTTCTAGCATAGAGCAGAATCCCTAAAATCACTAGCAAAGCCATTGATGACGAAATCACTGAGGCGATCACGATTATCGTTTTCCTTCGTCTATTGGACCTCCCCTGCTCCGGAACCACCTCTGAAACAAAATTTGCAAAAAAAAAATTAATTAATTTAGGTTATGAATATTTGAGAGAGAGCATATTTGCATGCAATCAAGTGAATACATCCTAGTTCACATTTTACACTTGTTTTTCACTGAGTTTGAAAAAACACATGCAATTTTCAATCTATCGAATCAAACAAGAGAGAGAAACGAAAAAGCAATCACGAGCAAAATTATACATTTAGTTTTTTTTCTTTTTACCTGTTATTTCTGATCCGGCCATCCTGACGTACAAATCCTGTCCACCGTTCGCGAGTTCTCGAATGTCAATCAAATCATCGAACCACATCAAGCACCCGCTCTCCCCATTACTTATGTCCAGGCTGGAATACCCCGTGCAAGAACAGTTCCCCAAGCACAACCTCCTGCACTCCGCCAGCCCAATCGTCCGATTCCATCGCGTCACGGCGGTATTCGGCAGCTTGACCCTCGAATGCATGATGAATCCGTCGCTCGAATTACAAGCCAGCGGAGTCCTCCTGACGCACCCTTCCTCCCAGTCCGACCGGCCCCAATCGTCCGGATTCCTCGGGCTGAACCCGGTGAGACACTGACATGCGGGAGCCTGGAACGTGAAACAGTTCGCGTAGGTCCCGCACAGCCCGTAGTTCTCGCACCGGTCCCCCTGGCCCGTGGCTATCACTATCCACACCCCCGTCCGGCTGCTCCACGTCAGCAGCTGGAGCAGACCGCCGGGAGTTATCTCATACTTCGACACGACCGTGTTGTTGGGCACCCCGAACCTGAAAAAGACCTCCCGTCCCTCCTCGTACCGATACTCGAACGAGAAAGTCGGGCTGGGGTTCAGGGCCGGAACCCCAGTGAAACGGAGGCCGTTCCACGATCCAGCTCGAAACTGGATCGCGGTCCCCCTCCGTACCAACAGCTGAGGGTAACCCTCCGTCTCGATGAGGACGTTGAACTCGCCCTCCGCGGGGTCCTCCCCGCTCCTCCACGACCTCATCTTCCGGTTAAGACCGGACGTCAGGTTCCTCCCGAGCTTCATCCCCGGGAGCAAAGTGTTGGTGAGGTAATCGAAGCTCTGCCACAGGAAGTTATCTGGGTTCTCGTCGGCGGCGTCTCTAACAACCAAATTGCCGGATTCCAGGAGCTGGGCGACGACGGGGTTGTTGCCCGTCAGCCGTCTGGTTACATTAGAGGACCAGACGGCGAGGTTGTTGTTCCGACCGCCGTCGGAGAGGACGAGGATTCCTTCCCTTGTGAGGTTGAGGAATCCTCTGGTGTCGGAGATCGGAGATCCTCTGTTGGCGACCCAAACGATCGTTTGAGTCGGTACTCTGGCGCCGTACCAAATCCCCAAATACCGGCTGCTGGAATTTTCCGGCCGGAAGAAGCCCAGCCGGAAGCTGCCGGCGGATGAGACTAGGGACTGGCCGTCGGTTAGTGATTGGCCGATCGTGAGAGTGTCCTGTTGTTGTGCTCTAATGGAAAATGTTAATAAAATCAAGCAGAAGAGGGACAAGAAGGGATGCAATCCGAATCTTGTTGTCATGGGTGGAAGTGGAAGCATTTTTTTCTATAAAATAAGATTTTGGGCTTCTCTTTTATTCTAATCAAAAGAATTGATTCAGGGCGTCGTGTTACGGCGGGAAGTTCTGTGGAAGTGGGAATTGCCGCGTTAAAGAATGTTATGAGACAGAGGGAAGGAAGACTTACGGCATCTATTGTTGACCAAAATGTGGAGAGGAAGTTGGGCTTACTGGAGGGCCCGGGCCGGGCCCAAAGGTCGTCAGTCAGCGAAGAAACGGACGACTTTTGTGGGCTGGGTGGCCACATTCGTGATTCGCCCGAAGGGAAAGGGCACTACACACTTCGATGACCGCGTGGAATAAGGAGTTGGTGAATGATGTGATCAAATTTTTTTTTTATAGAAATGATGTGATAATTAGGGTTGACTGATATAGGTTCTTTTTGGATAGATTGGTAAATTTTAAGAAGCATGAGAAAATTGTCCTTAATTTTTGGGTTGCTCCGGCTAAATTGAGAGAGGATTGGCAATTTGGGGTATAGTCCGAATGTTAAATGAGGTTTCATCTACGAATAAATTTTACAGCGTTACATTCATTTGAACGTAATATTTATTTCAAATATATATTGAATTACATTTTGATTCACCAAATTATTCTAGGTTTTCTGCTCCTATAAATAGCAGATCCCTAGTAGGGATGGCAATGGGGCGGGTTTGGGGCGGGTTTGCCTAAACCATCCCCATCCCCATCTTCAAATACCCAAACTCATACCCGCCCCATACCCATGCGGGGGAATGTTTTGCAAACCCATCCCCATACCCGTGGGTTTCGGGTACCCATGGGTAATACCCATCCCCGTACATCCAACATTATTATACCTAAAACTTACAAGAAAAGTTTTAATTATAACCATAAACAAACCTATTATATCACGAAGTCAACAAAACACGGTCATTTTCTAAATACGATTCAAAGAATATGATCCTAAAACATCCATTAATACATAATATAGACTATAATATTTTTTAAATTATTATGCTCTAACTCTTGATACATTTACTAAGTAATAATTAACTAACACCATTGTTATCCCTTTCTGGTTTGATTGTAAGACTCTTTTTGGTTCAATGCTATTCACCATTATCAAAAAAAATAATTAACTAACATAATTTTATTGACAAGGGGGAAAGTGAAAGAGTGGAAGGAGAATTGAGGGAAATGAATTAGGTTTTGATTAAGGTGGTTACTCAATTGCATTTCTACTATTTATTTTCTCGAGTTATCATCATCATCATTGATAGATTACAATTTAATCCACGTATTTTTTGATATGTGAAGAAATTTTCTTTGTGGGGCGGGTATGGGTATGGGTATGGGGCGGGGGAGGCTAAAACCATACCCGCCCCATACCCATCAAACCTTTTGCGGGTTTTACCCATACCCGCCCCATACCCGGTCAAAGCGGGGATTCCCCGCGTTGACTGGGTATGGGGCGGTCGGGTACCCGCGGCCATGGGTTTGATTGCCATCCCTAATCCCTAGACCCTCTAAACACACCTTACAGAGAGCAGAAACACGAGAGAGAGTGCGATTCAGAGAGCTCCGGTTTTTCGCACAAAACCGCTGAGCAAATTCAAAAGAGTGGTTGTTTTATCCTGGAGGCGACCGGCTAATAGTCTGTTGTGCGCAATACGAAGCAGTGCCGCGAACGTCTTAAAGAGAGCGACCTAGTCCGCGACTCAGCCAGATCGGTAACCCTAAATTTTCTGTTCGGTTTCTAACCATTTATGTTTCACTAAGCTTCTAAGGGAGTCTTTAAGAAGGTGATTAATTGTTCAATCCGACCGGTGGTGCACGTAAAATGATGAGCAGAAGTTACGGTTGAAAGACTAGTCTGGTCAATGAAATCAGCTGGAGCATAGGAATCCCACCAAGAATGGCGGTGAAGGGTCGTCGTCGATCGGTTCCTGCACCACAATTTCTAATCAAACAATTTGGCCGTACGTCGATCGACACAAAATACTTTTTCAGGGAGAGGAATATAATCATCGTCATCATCCAGTGCCGTCATTTTCAGATAACAAGTTGTATCAAAAACTAATAATCAAAGGGGCCGGCCGGCCGGCCGATATATTCAAACCGTACGCGGAAAGAAAGGAAAAATTGCATGCCGGCAGCTGCATGCATGGTTTCATTTGTGATGGTAAAAGGGGACGCCGTCGATCGATCCACGCTCATGCCCTTTCCATCCGTACATTTCTGAACGACAATTTTCACTGCATGCAACAGGTTGGGTAGAGAGATCATTTGCATCAATGGAATTATATCAAAATTTTATGTGAAATCTTGTTGTGGCGGTTTGTTGTAAGCGGTGTGACCCGAGTTATTATTGTGTAACTACATGAATTTTGAGTATTGTATTGTTGACTTTAATTTTATTATGTTTAGAAGTCACTTTTATATTATGCAATTGATTAATTTTTTTTTATGTTATTGCTAATAAGATTAGGGGTGAAAGCTTGATCCGGAAGATCCATTGACCCGTCCTGTTCCTAAGGTTCGGGACGGGTCAGTTTGTCTACAGGGACAGATTAGGGATGGGTCACGTTTTGACCCTGTGACCCTTAACAACAACAAATATCTCACACCACATTGGATCTTTTTGTAAAGTTTTAAAAGTTTAGATACTAACTTGTAAAAATAAAAAAAGTTGGGTACCAAACGTAATTTTACCATCAAAACTTATGGACTTATTTGTAAAAAAAAATAAATTTTAGGTATTAAATTGTAAGAAAAAATAATTTTGGGTATCAAAATGTAATTTGTAAAAAAAGTAGTTCGTTGATTAGGGTCGACCAATTGACCCGGCACGTCCCAACCCTTGATGGTCAGATTGGGTCAAGAAGGAGACAGGGACGAGACAGTTATACATCTTGACCCTTCGACGAGTCAAACAGGGTAGGGTCAGGGACGGGACGGGACATGCAAATTTTCAGCTCTAAATAAGATATTCCATTTTGCATCCTGATTTGTGGATTCATGGGTATGTTATTACTTGCTCTACTCACTTGTTGCAGAAAACAGAGGGGTTACACACAGACTCCGCACAAGAACACAATAAAATCGCCACCTCATGCTCTTTTATCTCCTTCTGTTTTTCATCATCTTCACCCACTAGCGGGGAATGAACTCCGTCACCGTGATTTCACCTATCGAACGTGATTTATTGTACGAAGAAGAAGAGTCTGTCTCAGGCACTTTTCTCTCGGCAAAGAACCCAGGCGGCTTTGGATCCGGCAGCAAGCCGTCTCCTCCCAGCATCAGCACCACCGTCGACATGTTTGGACGATCTTCAGGTTCCTGTTGAACGCACAACAATCCCACATGAATGTGTCTTTTTATCAGCGCCGCAAGCCCTGAATCAGCCACCACTAGCTGCCTTTGATCTTCTTTCACCAGCTCCAGTGGCTTCTCTTCCATCCACAGCTTCCACACCTGATTAAACAAACAAAACCAACGAAACAATTTCACTTTCCCTTTTTCTCAAAGATGCATTTTGGATCACGATTGTTGATTGAGATGTCGCTTACATGTCCAAGAAGGTTGAGGCCATGATCACTAGTGAAAAATCCCCTGTTTTTCCTCCCACTCAGCACTTCAAGGACCAGAACTCCGAAGCTGAAGATGTCTGATTTCATCGAGAACAGCCCGTCTATTGCGTATTCCGGAGCCATGTATCCACTACAACCACAACAGACTCTTTGTGAATCTTTGGCATAGGACAATCAAGGTAAGTAAACTAGATAAAAACAGAGAAAAAAACAGAGCATCTCGCAAAAGAACAAGAACAAGAAAGAACTTACAATGTTCCGACGACTCGGCTCGTGCAAGCCTCGGTTTGATCCCCTCCAAACATTCTAGCCATCCCGAAATCGGAGATTTTCGGGTTCATATCAATGTCGAGTAGGACATTGCTGGTTTTTAGATCTCGGTGGATTATTCTTAGCCTGGAATCCTGATGCAGATACAGAAGCCCTCTGGAAATCCCTTCGATAATGTCGATTCGTCTCTCCCAATCCAGAAGCTTGCTTCTTGATTCGTCTGTTTTTTTTTTTTCATTGGAAAACCAGGTCAATGCTTGTTCATATTCTCGAATGCAAGTGGGAAACTATGGATCATTAGACGACACAGTTTGCATACCGAAAATGAAGTAATCCAGACTCTTATTCGGCATGTATTCATACACCAACATCCTTTCATCCCCTTCAATACAACAACCTAGTAGCCTTACGAGATTCCGGTGCTGAAGCTTGGAGATCAACACAACCTCGTTCTTGAACTCTTCCAACCCTTGTCCAGAACTCGTCGCCAACCTCTTCACCGCTATCACTTGCCCGTCGAATAATGTTCCCTGCTCATTTAATCCATGGATATTTTCAGAGTCACTTGTCTCAGTTAGCTAGCTAGAGGCTGGTTACATGAAAAGATAAACATGTTTGACCAAGAAAGTCATAAGCAATTCATCAACCAAAAAATATATTTTTTTTTACATACTTTAACTTGCACATTTTTTCATTGAAAATGTGTTATTATGAAATGTACAGAATGTAGCATTAACGAACATGGGTTAAAAATATTTAGATCCTTCTTAACATTATAAAATAGCTTCTCAAAGTCAAATCCACTACTTGAGAATCATTGAAAGGATTTGTTATAACTTATTAAGAAAATGTTTACCTTATAAACAGGTCCAAATCCACCTTCTCCAAGCTTGCAATCATCTGAGAAGTTACTTGTTGCACTCGTAATTGTGATAAAATCGAACATTGGCAGCTCCAAATCATCATTGTTGGAACCCTTTCTGGCTCGATATTTCTTTTTTCCTACAGAAACCCAATGACAAACCCCGATATAAGAAAGAAAACAGTTCCTACTCCAACATCAATTGGTGGAAAGAAATTCAAAAGCTAGCGAAACCCACCTTGATATCTCTGTTTTATTTTCCTAAGACACAGTCTCCATCCCAACATGATTACTGTCACCACCAATGCTACTAAAGATATCAACATTGCAATCTTCATCCCCACAGCCTTCCTCTTTTTCTTCTTGATAGAGGCTAACAACAACACAAATTAGACACAACACAGCCTAATTACTGAGAAGCCAACAGGAAAGAAAAAAAACATTCAATACTAGGCAAAAAAGATTACCTAAATATGAAGCATCCACCCTCACATAGAGATCTTGCCCATTATCCGGATACGCTCTCAAATCAACCAAACCACCGAACCAAAGCAAGCACCCGCTCCCTCCACGGGTGACATCCAGACTCGTGTAAGCCGTGCAAGAACAGTTAGTCAGACATCGTTGCCTACACTCCTTGAGGCTCATATTCCTGTCGAACCACGAACCTGAAGTATCGGGCAACTTCACCTTCTGAAGTCGAACGAACCCTTCCCCTTTTCTGCAATACCCCAGCGGACCCTTCGTGGTGCACCCACCCGACCAGTCTCGAACGTTCCAATCGGTTGTGGAACTCGGTTTGAACCCATCTAGACAATTACAGTAGTTCGTACCATCGATGTCGCACATAGCAGTCGGACCGCACTTTGCGAATATGTCGCACTGGTCGGCCCCCATCAGAAAATAAGTAACCCAACCGCGCCTGTCATCCTTCCAGTTGAACCTCCCCGTCGCTCCAGAGGCAGTGACCGTGTATCTCGACAAGAGCGACTCGTTGATCAGCTCGAACGCGAAGTAAACCTCCCTCTCGTTGAACACGAACCAGTAATCGTAAACCGAGTTGGATTGCTGCTTGGGCGAACCGGTCCACCGGTTCCCGTTCCAGGGCCCTGCCCTGTATATGGTGTTGTTCCCCTGTTTCAGGACCAACTGCGGGTAGCCACGTGGATCGATCCCGAGGCTGAATTCTCCTCTCGCCGGATCGTTGGGAGATTTCCACGACGTCAGCGACCAGTCCATTCCGGTCACCAGATTTCTCCCGAGCTTCATCCCCGGCAAGGTCGTGTCAGTCGGGTAATCGAAGCTCTGCCACAAGTAATCGTCCGAATTCGAATTTCCATCTCTGACCACGAAATTCCCTGAATCCAAGAGCTGGGCAGTGGGATTCTTTGGCGGTTTAGTCGAATTGGCCGACGACCAAACGATCCCGCCGTTGACCCCGTCTCGGAGGAGAAGAACGCCCTGGCTAGTGAAATTGAGGACGCCGGAGCGGTCGAGGAGAGGGGCTTCTCTGTTTGCTACCCAGACGACGGTACCGGTGGCGTATTTTTTGTACCAGATCCCCAAATAGCGGTTGGTTGAAGTTCCGGGGCTGAAGAATCCGAGCTCGAACGACCGGCCGGTCGAGTTGATGGTTTCTCCGTCTTTGATGGACTGACCTGGGACAATGGTGTCGAGAATTGATGCAGTTGAGACGATGGAAAAACAGAGCATTAGTGACGACGCCAATAGTACTGTTAGTTCCATTTTAGTTCGGATTGATTGGGATTTGGGAGAAGCGGAAGTGGGTAAGAAGGATTATAGTGAGTGAGAGATCTATGCTGTGAGACAAAGCTGTGCGAGAAACGAGGAAGGGGTCGAGTGTCTAGAACCAGAATCCTCGGACTAGATTTTCGTGGGACTTTGGGCCTGCTGAGGTGGCAGTGAGCCAGTGACAGCTGTCATTGTCTGGTTTGATTTGACTTTATTTTGGTGCATTTAAGTTGGAATCAAGTCTCTTGCAGGTGCCTGAGTGAGCTGACAACTATGAATTGGCATGGTCATGACTCATGATCCAGATTGCTGCCCCATTCTTTAAGTTCTTAGGTTTCTGTGATCATTGCCAGGTTTCTGGAGCTTTGGTCAACTAAAGATTGACTTAGCTCACCGTTCAAGTGCTTCTTGGTTTAACCACAGGAATTTTTGGAAGAGTTATTTTCCCATTTTTGTTGTTGTGGTTGTAGGAGATGCAATGCACATTACACTGATTTCCAGAAGAGTTCCTTTACAATTGGAACTTGGAAGTCTAAACTAGAGTGAGATTCTCGAACTTCTTTCACCGCCCATGAGTAAATTTTGTTAAATGTGATGAAGTAGACGTTAATAAAGGTAAAATATATAATCTATCTCTCAACAATTTGAGTCATCAGATCAATTGGTTCGTGACATGATATAAGATATTTCGTAATTAAGTGGTCTTTTCTTCGAATTCCGGTAATCCCTACTCTGTTAATCACATGGTATTCGGACCGTGCAAACTTCAATATCATATTAATTGGTTTTCGTTACAGCAGAGTTTTAGTAAATGATATACGATTCATAATTGAATCTCTCTAACTCATAACTCTATAGTGCACTCTCTCTCTCTCTTCTCTAGCGTGGGATGTAATCCGTCACGGTGATTTCACCGATGGAACGCGATTTATAGTATGAATAGGAAGAGGAGGAGTCAGTCTCCGGCACTTTTCTCTCGGCAAAGAACCCCGGCGGCTTTGGCTCCGGCAACTTGCTGTCTCCTCCCAACATCAGCACCACCGTCGACATGTTGGGACGATCGTCAGGTTCCTGTTGCACGCACAACAAACCCACATGAATGTGCCTCTTAATCAGCGCCACAAGCCTTGAATCAGACACCACCAGCTGCCTTTGATCTTCTTTCACTAGTTCCAGTGGCTTCTCTTCCATCCACAGCTTCCATACCTGGAAAAAAAAAACCAACAAATCATTCTCAATTTTCCCTTTCAAAGATTGTGTTATGACAACTGTAAAATTGAACTCTATACTTTACATGTCCAAGAAGGTTGAGGCCATGATCACTCGTGAAAAATCCCCTGTTTTTCCTCCCACTCAACACTTCTAGGACCAGAACTCCGAAGCTGAAAATGTCCGATTTCATCGAAAACAGCCCGTCTATGGCGTATTCTGGAGCCATGTATCCACTAAAACCACAACAGACACTCTGAGATGGCATATAATGGCGGGTAAAAAAAACATAGTATCTAAAAAAAATACTTACAATGTTCCCACAACTCGATTTGTACTAGCCTCGGTTTGGTCCCCTCCAAACATTCTAGCCATTCCAAAGTCAGAGATTTTTGGATTCAGATCAATGTCGAGCAAAACATTACTGGCCTTTAGATCTCTGTGAATTATCCTTAGCCTCGAATCCTGATGCAAGTACAGAAGCCCTCTTGCGATTCCGTCGATTATGCTGATTCTTCTTTGCCAATCCAAGACTTTGCTTCTTGATTCCTCTGTTTTTTTGTTATGCAAAGTGAATTAAAAAGTTCTTTGTTCATTCCCCAAACTAGAAGAAGGGAAACTAGTGATGACCAGAGAGGACAGAGAGCTGCATACCGAAAATGAAGTAATCCAAACTCTTGTTGGGCATGTATTCGTATACCAACATCCTTTCAGCACCTTCAATGCAACATCCAAGTAATCGTACGAGATTTCGGTGCTGGAGCTTGGAGATCAGCACAACCTCGTTCTTGAACTCTTCCAGCCCTTGTCCGGAACTCGTGGACAGCCGCTTCACCGCTATCACTTGTCCGTCACATAATGTTCCCTGCTCATTTTTTACCAAATTTTCTTTGCTCATATATGCTTTTTTTTTGCACGAATAAATCGGTAATACTCAATCGATAAATATTTAAAGTGCGACTTTATAAAATGTACATAATTATACCGAATTCTTAATTTACGCTTTTGATGAAAATTTGTTAAGAGAGATATTTACCCTATAAACAGGCCCGAATCCACCTTCTCCGAGCTTATTATCGTCCGAAAAGCCACCGGTGGCATTCATGATCATGGTAAAATCAAATATTGGCAACTCCAAATCGTCATTGTTGTAGTTCTTTGCTCTCTTTTTCCCTACAGAAATGGTTGGAGAAAAATTGAGTAAATTTTTTTTATCTCCCACCACAGAAATGGCTTGCAACAAATCCAAAAGCAAACCCACCTTGATATCTCTGTTTCATTTTCCTAACACACAGTCTCCATCCCAACACGATTACTGCCACCACCACTGCTATTGAACATATCAACATCGCAATCCTCATCCCTCCAGCCTTCCTTTTCTTCTTCTTCATGAACCCTAACAACAAGAACAAGACACAAAACTACCCAATTACTCAGAGCCAACATGAAAAGAGCATTCAACATTAGGCAAAATGAAAAAAAAAGTTCACCTAAATAGGAAGCAGCCACCTTCACATAGAGATCCTGCCCAATATCAGGAAACGACCTCAAATCAACCAACCCACCGAACCAGAGCAAGCACCCACTCCCTCCCCGCGTAATATCCAGACTCGTGTAAGCCGTGCAAGAACAGTTCTTCAAACACTTCTGCTTACAATCCTTGAGGCTCATACTCCGGTCGAACCACGACCCGGATGTATCGGGCAGCTTCACCCTCTGAACCCGAACGAACCCTTCCCCTTTCTTGCAGTACCCCAACGGAGCCGTCGTGATGCACCCACCGGACCAGTCCCGGGTGCTCCAATCCCCGGGCGAACCGGGTTTGAACCCATCCAAACAGTTACAGTAATTCGTCCCGTCCATGTCGCAGCTAGCACTCGGACCGCACTTGGCGAATATGTCGCACTGGTCCGCCCCCATGAGGTAGTAGACCACCCACCCGTGCTTGTCGTCCTTCCAGTTGAACCGCCCCGTCGCACCGGTCGAGTTCACCACCATCCTCGACAGCAGCGAGTCGTTGAGCAGGTCGAACGAGAAGGCGACCTCCCTGTCGTCGAACACGAACCGGTAATCGTAAACCGGGTTCGGCTGCTGCCTGGGCGAACCGGTCCACCGGACCCCGTTCCATGACCCTCCCCTGTATATTGTCGTGTTCCCCTGTTTCAGGACCAATTGCGGGTAGCCACGTGGATCGATCCCGAGGCTGAACTCTCCTCTCGCCGGATTGTTTGGAGATTTCCACGACGTGATCGTCCAGTCCCTTCCGGTCACCAGATTTCTCCCGAGTTTCATCCCCGGCAGGGTCGTATCCGTCGGGTAATCGAAGCTCTGCCACAAGTAATCACCATCATTGGAAATTTTCGAATTTCCATCTCTGACCACGAAATTTCCTGAATCCAAGAGCTGGGCGGTTGGATTCCTTGGTGGTTTAGTCAAATTGGCCGACGACCAAACGACGTCGCTTTTGCCGCCGTCGTCGCGGAGAAGGAGGAGAACCCCCTGGCGAGTGAAATTGAGGACTCCGGAGCGGTCGAGGATTGGGGTTTCTCTGTTTGCGACCCAGACAACGGTGCCGGCGGCGTATTTTTTGTACCAGATGCCCAAATAACGGGTGCTTGAAGTTCCCGGGCTGAAGAATCCGAGCTCGAAACTCCGGCCGGTGGAGATGATGGTCTCTCCGTCTCTGATGGACTGGCCTGGCGCAATGGTGTCGAGAAGTGACGTGGTTGAGACGACGGAAAAACAGAGCATTAGCGACGACGTCAAAACTACTGTTAGTGAATCCATTGACGCTAGCTGCCAAAAAGGAGTGTGGAAACAGAGAGAGAGATAGAGCTTCGATTGAATGGTAGAAGAGTGAGAAGGATATGGGTGAGAGATCGATCGACATAGCTGCGCAAGAAACGAGGAAGGTGTACTGGCAATGACACGTGTCGTTACATGGTTTGAGTTTTTCCCGCTTCGCCATTTTTTTATGGGTTGCATTTGTTTATTGCGTCGCAGGTACCTGGCTGGACTGACAACTAGGAAGTGAGGGTGCAAGTGATGATGATCCAGATTTCTGCGCATCTTCAGTTTCCTGGATTTCATTTATCATTCTTGCGAGATTTGTGGAGCTTTGGTCAACTACAATCACCTCGTTCGATGTTCAAGTATGTCGGGGGTTATTTTTTTGAGTTGTAATTAGCTTATTATCACTTTTTTTTGGTTGGTGCAAAGAGATGCAATGTACATTAAACTTATTTTATTTCCAAAAGTTCTTTCACGTTGGAACTTGGAAGTGTAAATTCTGGGTGTGATTCTCGAAGTTATTTCGTCGGAACTTTTTTGTATAAAAAGGTAGAGATTTTACTCTTAAGACTAGTCGTACAATTTTGGAGGCTCCTTCCCATTAAAAAAAAATGGAGGCTCCCGAATAAATTCATGATATTATTATTTTCGCTCAATGTTCGTGACTCTGAAATTTGATGGTTTCAACTTACTTACATTAAGTTAAGTAAAATTTTGACTTGATGTACGAGGCAAGGTGATCAATTTCATAAACTTACATGTGTGTTTGTTGATAAATAATTTATTTTTGTGTTCAAATTGCATAGAATCAGCTCATAATAGCCGTGAAACGACCCTAGTTTATAATTACCAAGTAGTCTTTAGAAATTTAACGCAAAATGGAGCTAAATTATAAGCAAAATGTTAAGTGTCGTTGCAGTCTTGCTTGCAAAATGTTAGAATGTACAGAGGCAAATTGCGCGTATGCGCGTAGAGGCTAAAACTCAACAAGAGCTTCTTCCAACAGTGGTTACGCCAAAAGGGCAAAAACTATATGGAGATGAAAAACTTTCATCCCGAAGAGGATGGAGAGAGTATGAATTCGGAAATTGGAAATGATGATAGAGATGAAAATGGAGATGGATTTAGAACAACAACTCGCCCCACTGTACATCAACCATGAAATCAAGCCCAAGCTTGATCAAACATATTAAGTGGAAATTAACATCTGATTATCATCGTCATCGTTATCGTTATGTGTTTCCCATTGCTTGGGAACAGCTATCCTAGGAATATGTTCTTGGGCTAAGAGCTGTCCTAGGGATTTTTCTACATCAAACATTGGCCTTAGCATTAAGAGCAATATCCTCAAGATTTTGTTCACACAGGAACGATCCAGTTAAGGATTCTTGTACAGCTGTTCTTCTCCCTTCTAGCTAGGAGCGGTGGGTGCAGTGCAACAACTACGTAGGTTAAACGGTTAATGGGGCTAAAATGATCACGAGGCTATCTTTGATCTTGTTTTCGTTTCATTAGACAAGTCGGTGATTCAGGGGATGAGATAGCATGCCTACCCATAAAAGGGTTGGAAAAATGACACCCCCTATTAATTATAGGTTTTTAAGGTAATTAATTTGTGTTGCATTTAATAATCTGTATGAATTAAAAACACATATTAATTATTTTCCTTTTTTCAATGCACTGGTAGTTGTGTACAGGTGCAATGGTAGATGTATCAGTGCAATGGTAGTTCCAAAAAAGGAACGTAATTAATACGAGTTCAGTATACAGGTGCAATGGTAGTTGTATCAGTACAATGGTAGTTAAAAAAAGGAATGTAATTAAGATGAGTTTTTAATTTCCAAATATTATTAAATGCAACACGAATTTAATACAAAAAATAACTATAATTAATAGGGGTGTCATTTTTCCAACCCCTTAGAAGGGTTAGCATGCTAACCGATCCCGGTGATTCAGTATAAACCTAATTGCACCTCCCAACTAAGCCTAAAACGTACCATTCCCCTCAAGATCCCAAAAGGAACCGAGTTATATATATATTTCTAAGTTTCTTATGAATGCTTTGCACAAGTTCTAAATTCTTTATTTAGCTTTATCGCCAGGAACCCGCCAATCGTAATAGCTTGAGTTGTTGAACTAGGTTAAGTATAGTTGTTACGGCATTCTTTTACAGTCACAAACTAAAAAAAAAAAAATTGATTTGTTGTAACGTAACGGGAAATCGAGGATGTAAAAAAGTAAAGAACACACAAACTTACATGGTTCACTAATACGATGAGTGTTATGTTAGCTAGTTCTGGTTTTACTCTATTTGAGGAGGTTACCATTTACTGAGCGGTTGAGAAGGTATATTATTTGAAAACCTTGTCCAGGCGGCCAAAGCACTAGTCCGATATGGAAATGTAAAGGTTAATGAAGCTTCCCAAAACATAAAATCATGTGTGTATAAGCTCGTCAGCTATGGACTCCGTTATGCCCCCAATTCCCTAAACTAAGCGCTTTGCATGGTCTTGCGACTTTCAGTTTACAACAGATAATCAGACTTAAAATTATAATGGTGAAGATCAAAATATGGGAATGGACACGGAAACAGTATGTACATTAAATAATTTTGCAAACAACATAAAAAAAATTATGTGGCCAAAACTGTGTAACCAACTTTGTGTTTTAGCTTATTGTTCTTGTTGAAATCCTCGTTAGCTAATCATCTTCTCCATTCAACAACAACGCCCCAAAATTTCACGAGACATGGTTGTGGAGCAAGAGAAAGAAAGCCTTTGGTCAAATTAACCACAATTTCAGCATAAAACATCCTATTATTAACTTTTTCAATAGAACTTAATGTGATACAGTTTTACAATCTTTCGAATACCCAATCTGTGCTGTGTGACATTGGAGCAGTTGTACTTTTAACTTTACAATCTTTAGTACTACTAGCTATAACTCACCATGCTAATATTTGGTTTAAGTTTATTTAATGATTCAAATATTGGTAATTATTGACACTTGAAATAATGTATATAAAATCCAAAATTATAATTAAGGCAAGTCGTTAATATTAATTCCAAATTATTTTCGTTGTGTTCTTCGCAGGTAGCAGTTGGCCTTGGCCGTCTCTGATACCTACCTTAATTGAACTTTTTACTTAAAACAAAACGAATCATTAATGGAGCTTAAAACTTGATTCCATGGTTGCTCCAGGACAAAGCCAGCCTCCATAAATCGACCGCCGGTCCCGATTAATTGATGAATTAACATTTCCCCCTAATGAAGCTAATCACCGAACTCACCATCCCAGCTTCCTGCTTCCTCACTTTCCTCATCCTCGCCTCCACCGCCACGTGGCGGCTACTCCGGCGAAGGAACGACGCCGGCGTAGCCAATCCGAACCTGCCGCCAGGCCCGTGGAAGATTCCGATCATCGGCAACATGCACCAGCTCCTCCACACGCTCCCCCACCGCCGCCTCCGCGACCTCGCCGCCGTTCACGGCCCCCTGATGCACCTCCAGCTCGGCGAGGTCCAAACCCTCGTCGTCTCGTCCGCCGGCGCCGCCAGGCACGTGGTCAAAACCCACGACGTCAACTTCGCCAACCGCCCTTTCCTCCTCGCCGCCAAAATCGTGGGGTACGGCTTCACCGACGTCGTCTTCTCCCCCTACGGTGAGTACTGGCGGCAGCTCAGGCGGATCTGCACCCTGGAGCTCCTCAGCTCGAAGCGGGTCGGGTCGTACCGGCCCATCAGGGAGGAGGAGAGCGCGGAGATGGTCCGGTCCATAACCTCCACGGCCCATGGGCCCAGCCCAGTTGTCAATCTCAGCCGCATGATCAGTTCCCTGACCAATGCCGTCACCGCGAGGGCCGCGTTCGGGGAGAAATTACAGAGGGATGAAATGGAAGAGTTCTTGAAAGTGGTTAAGGAAAATGTGGAGGCTGCGGGAGGGTTCAGCCTGCCGGATCTGTTCCCGTCGGCTAAGTGGGTCCACGCGTTCAGTGGGTTGGAGTCTAAGCTGCTCAAAATTCGAGGGAAACTCGATAGAGTAATCGATAAGATTTTAGTCGACCACCGAGCTCGGAGGAGCAGAAGGAGTAGTGCTGATCAAGGAGATGATGATGTTGATCTTCAACAACAAGATCTTGTGGATGTTCTGTTGACGGCTCAGGAAGAAGGGCAGGTTCAATTCCCATATGCTGATGAGAGTCTCAAGGCCGTGATTATGGTATTTAATATGCTCTCTCAAGTCTTATTAAAAATCATTAAAAAAAATTCAAATTTAAATTAATTTTCTAATTTATATTATTTATCATTATCAAATTAACCAAAAAATAAAATTATAAAATTATACTTTTTATTTTTTGGTTAATTTGAAAATTATAAAAAAATTAAATTTTACTTTTTGGTTAATTTGAAAATGATAAATAATAGAAATTAGGAAAATAATTTTTATTTTGTAATGATTTTTAGGCTTTCTCAAGTCTCAACTACTTATTGTTTTAGACATAGTAGATAATATATTTTTAGAATTTCCTCAACAAATTGAATTATTAACATCATCTTGCAAAACTTTGAAAAAATATAAAATCATTTATATATGTAATTAGAATGTTTTAGTTTGAAACAAACGTTCATGTGAATTCATGGAATGTGTCTCGGGACCCCACATGGAATGTGTCTCAGTGACAACCATTAAGAAGATTGTCACCGTAACGTATTTCGTGTGATACTTTTTATAATGATTGGGTATTTGGGAGGGGTTGTCGAGCATAAATCCGCTTCTTTTTAGGCTAAAAATATTATCTTTTATTACCGTAATTTGTAGGTACACCAGCATTTAAAATAAGATGTGTCATCCACAAAGTGTCTTTTGTTTTTTGTGGAGATAAATATGATAAACTTATGTATAACATTCAATATTATTTTATTTTTAGGATATCTTCGCAGCTGGAACTGATACTTCCTCTGGAGTTGTAGAATGGGTGATGTCGGAATTGCTGAGGGATCCAAGAGTTTTGAGCAAAGCACAAACTGAAGTAAGACAGATTTTTGAAAAAATAGGCTTCGTTAAAGAAGAAGGTCTAGGCGAACTGAAATACTTGAAATTGGTCATAAAAGAAGCCATGAGATTGCACCCACCTATCCCGATGTTGGTTCCAAGACAAAACTCGGAATATTGCAAGATCGATGGTTACGATATCCCGCGCAATACCAAGGTCATCATCAATGCCTGGGCTATTGGAAGAGATCCCAAATATTGGACCGACCCCGATCTGTTCATTCCCGAGAGATTCTTGAATTCCGCGGTGGACTATCACGGTACCAGCCTTGAGTTCATCCCGTTTGGTGCGGGAAGAAGGATGTGTCCCGGTATAGCATTCGGGATAGCCAATGTGGAACTCCCCCTGGCTAGTTTGCTATACCACTTTGACTGGAGGTCGCACGATGGGAAGCCATTGGAAAGCTTGGATATGTCTGAACGTTTTGGTGCAACGGTGAAGAGGAAATACGATCTCTGCTTAATTCCTATTCCTTACCCATCTGGCATCGACGAATAGGGAAACCTTAATGGAAATCTTTTGATCATTTGTCGTTGAAGATTTTGCCTTTTCCCTACCTTCTGTTCATGTCTCGTCCCATTAGTAATGTCTGCATACTAACAGTGAAGGCTGATACTGTGATACCTGCTGATGCTCGAGAAATATAACTGTGGTGATCAACTACTGTTTCAAGCACCGCCATTACTCAATCTAAGAGGTGAAAGGACGATTACAGAATTCTCTTCTTCTTTTTTTTCCACTAGCGGGGATATAACTCTGTAGTTGTCATCTGATTTCGAGAACACGAGTCCCCATTACTGGATGAAGTTTGACAACGATAGTAACCATCAGAGTCTTCAAAAGGGTTCCTTTCCATGTAGAACCCGGGCTGCTTGGGCCGCGGCAGCACTGCGTTCTCATCGCTCCCCAGCATCATGACCACAGAGCCCATGTTCGGTCTGTCCTCCGGCAACTTCTGCACACACAGCAGGCCAATATGGATGCACCTAACGACTTTGCCTGGAACACTGCCTGAAACTTCTGCCCCTAAGATCTTTTCATCGGTTAGCTCTGCAGCTTTTTCTTCCATCCACAGCCTCCATGCCTGGAGAAATAAAGGATGGTATATCAGATTATAAGCCTATGAGGTGAAGCAACCAAAAGAAAGTTGGAACATATGTGTGCTTACATGTCCAAGAAGGTTGAGGCCGTGATCCGGGTGGCAAAACCCTCTGTTTCTCTTCCCGCTAATGATTTCCAGGACCAGAACTCCGAAGCTGAATACATCAGATTTTACAGAGAAAAGTCCGTCGACTGCATATTCTGGAGACATATATCCGCTGCATTAACATTTAACAGATAAGAAACAACCATAGAGACCCTTTTAATCAAGTTTTAAAATGTGTACTGATTGATCCACAAAAGATTGCAGATCATTCAAAACTTACTAAGTCCCCACAACCCTCTTCGTGTTTGCCACACTTTGATCCCTTCCGAAAGTTTTAGCCAGGCCGAAATCCGAGATCTTGGGGTTCATATCAGTATCGAGCAGAACATTGCTGGCTTTTAGATCTCTATGAATGATTCTCAATCTAGAATCCTGGTGAAGGTACAAAAGCCCACGGGCAATTCCAATTATAATCTGGAAGCGCATACTCCAATCTAGCAGTTTGCCTCTCTCTTCATCTATGAAATTACCATTGTTAGTGGAATTCACTCCTTCCATGGAGTAGAAGAAAGAGAAACTCTTTCAGGAAGAAACTGACGTACCAAATATGAAGGAGTCTAAGCTCTTGTTAGCCATGTATTCATAGATTAACAGTTTCTCGTCGCCCTTGATACAACATCCCAGAAGCTTCACCAGATTTCTATGCTGAAGCTTTGCGATCAAGATCACTTCATTCTTGAACTCCTTGTCCCCTTGCCCGGAAGATTTTGACAGCCTTTTCACTGCTATTTGACACCCATCTGCCAGCGTACCCTATACAGAAACAGAAATATTACGTTCATTTGTTAGCTATCTCAAGCTTGTCACATAGAAAAATGCATTACGCATTATAATATCACAAAACCCCTTCAGATTCATTACCTTGTATACAGCTCCAAACCCACCTTCTCCTAGTTTGTTATCAGACAAAAAATTGCCAGTTGCATTCTTTATGACAACCAAATCGAATGCAGGTAACTCCATTTCTTCATCATCACCATCATCTAGACACTCATTTGCTTTCCGTTGTGCCCTCCTCCTCCTCGCGCACAGGACGAATCCCAAAATAAGCAATGCTATCGCCACAACAGTGCAGCTGACAATGATTCCAACCTTCGCCTTATCGTTTGGCCGTCTGCTCGCCGCAACACTCTCTGAGAGATCATAATTAAGTATCAAGTTTTGTAACAATGTCACATCACAAGGACAAGGATTAAACAAAAAGGAAGCAATGAAATCTCACCTAAATCTGCTGCTGCCATCCGAATGTACAAATCCTGCCCACCTTCAGTGAACTCCCTGATATCCATCAGCTCACTAAACCAAAGCAAGCAGCCACTCCCACCTCCTTCCACATCCGAATTCGCATAGGCAGTGCAAGTGCAATTTTTAGCGCACAACTGCCCACATTGCCTCAACCCAATAGCCTTGTCAACCCATGAAGTCGTGGTGTCCGGCAACTTCATTCCCTTAACCTGCAAGAACCCATCAGTGTAATTGCAAGCCAGGGGCGATTTCCTCACACACCCATCAGAGAAATCAAGCAAGCTCCAATCTTTGAATGATTTCGGCACGAATCCAGGCAAACAAGCACACAAAGGAGGAGCGTTAATGTTACATCTGCTGTACGCACCGCAGAACCCATAAGTATCACACTGATCAATTGGGGTTGCATAAAAGAGCCTCCAGCTCTGCGTTTGCTCAATCCAGGTGAACCGCTGAAGGATTCCAGAAGGCTGAATCACTAGCCTTGATACCACCGAGCTGTTACGGAGCTCGTACCTGTAAGAAACTTCCTTGGGACTTATCACAAACAGGTAGTAGCATACCGGGTTCTGCTTCAACGCTGGCGTCCCTGTCCAACTCAGCCCATTCCAAGGCCCGCCTCTGTAAAGTAACGACTCTTCCTTCTTGAGTACGAGCTGCGGATATCCACGGGGATCCATCCAGACCACGTAATCGCCCGGAGATGGGTCGTCGGTGCTTTTCCATGACCGGATGAACCAATCCCGCCCGGCGGCCAAATTTCTCCCCAATTTCATGTCCGGAAGTAAAGTGTCGGCTGGGTAATCGAAGCTCTGCCAGATGTAGTTTGCAGGATTCCGGTCGTCTCCGTTTCTAACCACAAGATTCCCCGAGTCTAGCAGCTGGGCTACTGGACCATCGATCCGGGCATCGGCGGAGGAATTGGTTGACCAAACCGAATCTCCGGTACCGTTGAGCAGAACGAGAATTCCTTGACTGGTGACCTTCAGAACTCCGGAGCGATCGGAAATTGGAGCTTCTCTGTTGGCTACCCATACGACGGTCCGCGCAGAGGCCGGAATGTTCTTCTTGTACCACATTCCCAGGTAACGAGCTGCTGAGCTTCCGGGGCTGAAGAATCCCAGCTCAAAGCTCTCCCCCGAAGAAACAATCGTCTCCCCATCTGCAATAGACTTGACAGGGGATATGGTGTCAAGGGAAGAAACAGGGGAGGCCGCAATTCCCCAAGTAATGGCAGCGCAGAGAAGTAAAAGCGACCACTTTTCATAGGTTCCCGTGTCCTGCATTCTGTTAGCAGTGCTTTCTCCATTCGGAAGGGATGATTCGTTCCCTTTACTTTATTGCAGGCTGATTCTGTGGTGGTCATCCATCGATAGTAGGGGTTTCTGTTACCACAGAGTCAGCGTTCACACTTTGAAGTGTATCTCAGTCAGTCGCTCAAAAAATTCAAAGTCTGAGACTTTGCCCTGCGCTGGACGGTAGAGCATTTGGTTTGTTGCCAAGATGATTGCTTTCAATCAAAATCGTGGCTGCCCTGTAAATTCTTTCAGCTGAAACTCCATGGCTTAGAGAGGCGGTCCCCATCAGAAGAAGGAACCAAGGGCCTTCGTCGACGCCTAACAGGTGTTCGATGAAATTACTGACTGAAGAGTCAATACGTTATGTAGATGGGATGGAAATTTGACGAACGGAATGGTGTAATAATCACCGTGATTAATTGGGAAAGGCAAGTACCAACCGCATCCTTCCTGGGATGTCGACTGAATGAAAGGTTGAGTGAAGTCTTAGACCATCCACATCAATGAAATACAATTTCTATTTCATATGTGGTCCCTATCGCCACATCAACAATTTTTCTCATTTCACTTTATATCAATTCCATTCTCTCCACATCAATGACATACACTTTCTATTTCATATGGTGGGCCCAATTGATGATTTTAATACAACTCTATATTTTATCTAAAAATAAAAAAAAAATAACAAATAAAGAGATGAGGCTAAACCATAGAAAGGGACCCACATCTACCCCACTTGCTATTCCATTCAGACTTCCATTAAGTGGAAACTGTCACTTTATGAAATAACCTCTACAACCATGAAATAATAAATGGAAGTGTCATGTCATCAATGGAATGGCTGCAAGACAGCCGATGCAGCTGCTCTTAGGGAGCAGCTCTGGGAATGCCAACTGAAACCGCACACGCTGCAGCCTGGAGGTAGAGGTGGCAATTGGATCGGATTCGTGGATCCATGGATCAAATGGATTGGTGGATTCATGGATTGGATCCAATGGATTGGTGGATTGATCCATGAATCCAAATAACATCCAAGGCTTGGACCAAAATGTAAATTTTGAAAAGTTTAGGTACTAAAATGTCATAATGAAAAATTTTAGGTACCAAAATGTAATTTTCCAATGATATTTTCGTATAAAAATATAAATTTTAGGTACCAAAATGTAAAATATAAAAAATATAGGTACCAAATCGTAATTTGCCATTTGGATCCATGGATTGATCCATGAATCCACCAATCCAATTGGATTTGGATCAAATGGATTGGATTTAAATGGATTGGATTAGGTGGATAATTTGGTGGATGGATTGGATTAGATTCATGGATTTGGATCCTAGTTGCCACCTCTCTTTTTTTTGTCATAGATAGTTTGTAATAGATAGAGTGTTACAATGCAGTGGAAATATAAAGGCGGTAGTCAACCAACTGGGTTGCTACTGATGCAAGGGCCGTTTGTGCCACGCGATGGGCATCCCTGTTAGTATGCCTAGCAACATAAATAAACCAAAAAACGCAAAGTCTTCTTTCAGCAAACTCCTTCAAGCACCAATTCGTCGAGTTCCAATAGCCTAGTAGTAGATTTGATGTGCAAGGTACCTGCAAAATAACATGCAGACACCCTAACGGGACAAACAAAATTAAAATACAACCGGACCTCCACCGAAAATGCTTCACAAGCTATACAAACTATGCCTTCTGCAACACAAAAACAAAGATGGCAAAGCCAACTAGCTAATAGAAGAAATATACTCCATGTTCGACGACAACCAAATCCTCACTATCATTAAAAGACATCGAATTACAAAACAATTGCAACTCCCATAAAAAACCAAACACAATCGTAAACATAATAATAATTAAATATGAATTTAAGAAATAATTAATAGACTTATCTGAATGCAGGATAGGATCCGTGTTTGGAATTGTGACTGCCTATCCATTAGAGTTTTAACAGCCATGAAATTATAACCGTCCGAAGGCCGGAGCGTTTTGAACAAGAATGAAGTCACGGGAGAGGTAACTGCATAAAAATGTAACTGCAACCCACTAGTCTGACTGATCATCGGCAATACTCGTCACCCGCTGGAAAGACTCATCGAAGATCCCAGCCCGCAACTCCTGCAAAAAATAGGCAAAACTCACCGGAAGGGGGGTCAGAGATGGGGAAACGCCACGAGCGGCTATGCACAAGGGCGTTGGGCAGCAAATTGCTGGAGCGCACAGTTGCGGAGAAAGGTGAAAATCAAAATCCGTCCAACTCGAACTCGTTGGCTGTACAAAACGGGAATGGTTTCCTAGTCAGGGAGCAAGGATCTGGAAGCCGTAGTTGATTTGAAACTGAAGCTCCTTCTTATGGACGGCGCGTGCGTAAGGCGCCACCGCGGCGGCCTGGGCTCGCCCCTTCCGTTTCTGAAGGAACCTCTGCAACGATCTCTTCATCGACAACCCCACCGCCGGAGGAGTTTCCGGTGGAGCCGCCCGCCGCTGCGACTGCTCGTCCCCGGGGCTCGTCACCGATTTGTCGTCCGCCGTTGATGCCATCTCTTGACTACTGCTACTGGCCAGCATCATTATAATGGCTCTGGCCTGCATCTCCGTCACGTCGTTGTAGACGCGGTACCTTCCGTTGTAGAAAATCGTGAGCGGCGGTTCCTGCTTCCGCCGGCTGTGGTCGTCGCGGGAGGTCCTTTCGAGTTCCCTCTTTTCATCCTAGTTGCCACCTCTACCTGGAGGTAATAAGCGTGATGTCTTGTCGTTGTGGACAACAATCTAGACTTCAGATACCTCAGGAGTCTCAGGACTCAGGTATGTGAAAATGGGCTTTGGCGAAAGAAAACTATGTGCATATGGGCTCATAATTTAGTAGCCCAAACAAACGTATAAAGCCCTAACCAAGGAAAGAAGCATGCAGTCCCAGAAGATAGGCCAGAGCCAGAGATATGAGCCCATACTTTTCCTTTTAATGAATCGGTTAGACGGTTATCGGATTGACCATGAATCTTTGGTTAATGTTCTACTGATACTCTGATAGTCGATAAGGATGTGATGGGTTGGCTTACAGTAGACAAAAATGGTTAATAGTTAATCGTTACCGATATGATCATTATGGTTTATTATGATAACAACGCTCCATTACTATTAAATTCATTCTGATTTTGTATCCAATTTTAAAGCAAACAAAAAAAATGTTGAACCAGTAAATTTTTTTTGCTAACAATGCTAAAAAGAGCCTTCTAGAAAAGAAAAGGACAAAAAATGTATATGTCCGGTTAGTAAACTACTCGATCACCCAATCTCACTAACTCGTTCATCCATTTTGACAGTTAGATCGTAAACTGTTAACTGATCTAACCACAAGCAGTGAACAACTAAGGTAACCGATTAACCTAACCCTCATTTAGTGTTTAACCACCCAAACTTGATAAGTTGGTTAAAAATAATTTTATTATTATTATTATTACTGATCATATAGGTAACTAACAAATCATCCCTTCGCATGCAGCTTCCTAGTAGATGGCATCTTTCACGTTCTACATCAAACAGGAAAGAAACCCACTCTCGAAGCCAGCTAACCGTTTCACTCATCATATGTAGCAAACTTTTGAAAGTACGGTTTTGGAGCCTTGCCGGGATTCAAATCGACACCAACTCTTTCACCCTTACATGTCACCAATCGAGATGTAGCTAGGTTAATTAGTGTCATCCTTTAAACCAAAGCAAACATCCCTCTGCCCCTTTTCCCCTGCCTCTTACTTATAGCTGCAGAGCCCATTCCCCTGTTTCCCGTTCATCGCATCTCCAACTGCCCTTTTCAACGCAGTAATATATGGATCTGATGATGGACTGCGAGTTCGAAGACCACCTGCCGTCGATGATGAAGCGGCTGGGCGCGGAAGGGTTCATGGAGGAGCTGTGCAAAGGGTTCCGCCTGCTGATGGAGGACGAGCAAGGTGTCATCACCTGCGACAGCTTGAAGCGGAACAGCGTCCTGCTGCTGGGCCTGGACCAGGAGATGGGGGACGACGAGATCGTCTCCATGATGGTGGAGGGAGATCTGGACGGCGATGGCGCCATCAATCAGATGGAGTTTTGCATCCTCATGTTCCGCCTTAGCCCTGCGCTCGTCGACGGGTCAAAGCAGGTGCTCTGTTCGAATCGCGGCGGCCACTGCTGCTCTGCTTCTCCTGCTAATTACTACACCTGATCCGTATTTATGTTGTAAAATAATTCAGTGGGTAGATTGAAGTATCTCATGAAATGTTGTTTCTTGTATATGGTGTTTTGGGAGAGATCAGTGGTCAATTTGTTGTGGGCACTAGGGCTTTGGTGACTGAGGCTGATTTAGTAGGGTGTGGTTGTGACTGCCAATAATTCTGGATATCTAACCTATGTTGTCTGGTTTTGTTGCATCTTTGTTGTAAAATTAAGCCCAATTGAATGTCTATCATGTGTTTCTATTGAGATAGAACCATCTCTCTTCATCATCATGTTAGTGTTTCGGTCGAGATTAGTCGACAAAATCGATAACAATGATATTAGGGTTCTAGTTTAGATTCCTTTCATTTGACCCCTTCGAACGTGGAAGTAAATTGTGAGACGGGGTCTCATTATCTTATATGTAAAAGATAGCTACGCTTTATTGCCACAAACCACCAACTACTGTTTCAATATTTGTCGTCTACTGCAAAAAGCCCTTTGGGTCTCTCTACCATCTCCCCACAATGGTCTGCTTCCTTCGCCGTTTGCCCACAGCCGCGATCTCGCCTTCGACAATCGGACTCAATAACGGCCGTCTAGCTACAGCCTGGCCCCGGTGGAATCAGACTCAACTCATTCCGTACGCGGAACCCATACTACCTTGCCGTAAAGTCCGCAAATGCAGCTCTCCCTGCTGTCCTTTCTTTCGTCGGCGCCGAACTCACCTCATCTCTCCACCAGAGAACCATGCTTTTATGGTAAGCACGCTACCCCGTTTTCCCTCTACACGCTACCCCTGCCAATTGTGAGTCTGTGCCTTTGCCCCTCTCGATTGCTGGTGGTACGACCTAAGATTTGCACCCTCCGAATTCTCTCTAAATCTACTCTCGCCTTCCTCTTTCTCCACTTCCGCCAACTTTCTCCCACAAATCTCGGTCTTCTCCCACAGTCGCTTTGCATCGTCCCCACTTCTCGCGAGAACTGTTCTCACCGGTCGATTCCTCCACACCGCAACCTCCGGGCCTACCGCTATGAAGCACGTCGTCCTTTCAAAACTCACATGGAACGACAAAGCTCCGACCTTGAAATTGCGCCTTCTCCATACATGGAAGGCTGGGAATCCGGCCCGTCCCGACGGGTTCTTCGAATTCTCGACATTGTGGACCGATGAACTGGTGAGTCTTCCATCCTACCTAACCTCTCGCCGGTGGTTATACTGTTTAGTTCCAATTATGATTTCCAGTTCCCTTCCTAGGGTGTCCTGGTCCAAGGGATTTCGCTGAAGCAACTGGCCAGCCATTTGCAAGAGATTTTACACGTTGGAAAGGTCTACTTCGTAGGACAGTTTGCTCAACGTGAATCCAGGAGGCGCTGGGCACCTTGCTCCAATGACCGCCTCCTGTACTTTAATTCCAATACTTCCTTCACAACCTCGCCTGAAGATGATCCCACCTTCTGTCGTGATAGCTTTGAGTTCCGCAGCTTCGAGGACCTCGAAGACATCGCTTCCAGGCATGTCTGTTTAGTTGGTTCGTCTCCCATCCTTAGTTTTATGTTTACATTGATTTTTGTAGAGCCTGCTGACCATAGCGACCCTTCTTAGATGTTGTCGGCCATCTGGTATCGGTGACACCCATCACCTATTTCCAGAAACAGGAACGTTCCATCAAACGCCAAACGGTTGTCATTGAAGATGAACGGTGGGTTCTGTCTCGACTTCTTTACCTCTTCTGAATTGTTTTTAGTAAATGATGCTTCTTTATTACTTCCAGCAAGGCATCCCTGTCAATCACGCTTAGGTCTGAATTTGCCGAAAAGCTGAACGTGGCTCACCTCATGGAGCTGGATGGGGCCGCACCAGTGATTACTGCATTCACCAGTCTTAGCCTTTCCATTTGGCGTGGTAAGTTTCCAATGTTCTTCATTTGTTTGCTCTTAACAGAACCCCAATAGTTCAACTTCCAATAATTAGCACAAACTGCCTGGGAATAGAAGAAAGTGGCAATAGCTGGTTCGTTGTGTGTGTTTTGGCGGTTTTTAGCCCTCCTGCCAACAGTAACTTAGGCCCTCAGTTGACCTGAACTGTGCATTTTAGTGGACTCCAATATAATGTTGTGTACAGGAACTTTAAACCTCAAATCATGACCACCGTCTGTCTTTGCTTCAGACCTTCTCATCCTCTATCGGAGTATAGAGACCTCCATGAACCTGTTTCGAAGTTAATAGTTCAGGGAGTTATTCATACTTCCATTAACCTTTCTGTATCCTGTAACTCTGCGCTTGCCTGTGTCTGTCCGTTCACCAGGCTCCACGATTATATACTCTCCAGTGACTATGAAACTCAGTTAGTCGTTCTGTAAATTCATTACAGTTCACATAGTTGTTTCTTTGATTTCATATCCCGACTATACGTGCATTCTTCGATAAGGCCGTTCCAAACTTCCTCACTTTCGCTTGCCTTAGTTTATGGTTCCTTCCTGCAATCTGTATTACCTGCTAACTTTTACTACTGCGGCTTTCTCTACAGGTAATGTTGGAGCGTCCAATACTACCGCAACTCACATTGTCATGTCGCCCGCAGTCCCACAGTGTGCGGCCCTCACGGTCCATTACATATTCCAACATGCATATTTGTATTCGTTCTCGGTTACTTGCTTGCATTGCAAGCGCGACTAACCTTTTCCCCAATGCAGTTTTGGCGATGCGGTTCCCACTATTGGAATCTTGCCAGCTGAATGCGACACCCCTAAAAAGGCGGTGACCGTATACCGCGAGTCCTTTAGGACGATAACCGAGCTTCAGGCTGTTCGTTCCACTGCTACACTGGTTTGTTTTTCCTACGCAGATCGCCTTGGGATGCTCATCATGAGTTATCACTCGCAGATGTCGTTGGTCGTTTGTTGAGTGTTTCTAAAGAGGAAACATGCCCTTATAGGATGCCGACTATCTCTGCAGTACTAGAGGATTGTGGGTGGGTTCTTATTTTCACTTCTAACTATCTTTGTCATTTCTTGAGTTAATAGCAAAATTGACATAATAGAAACAAGGACTTTCATTGTTTGTTAATATTGAATTTATGTTGGCTACTTTACTACTGCATCATTACGATGGTTTAGTTTCTCTAACCAGTGGGTAGATAATAGATTAGAAAATGACTCTATTGTGATTGATCCTATCCTGTAGCGGGAACACCATACTGGTCAAGTATGCATCGCTGGATCATGCTTTGTCGCAGGCCTCCATTATTGTAGCAGAGAGGAGTGGACCAATCCTTCTAGCTTTCACAAGTATGATGGTTGTTCTCTCAGAAGGTAACCTATTCCGAATACAGTATTGTCACACTTTGTCATGTGCAGCTGAACCATAAAAAGTGAACTGCCCTCTGCTGTCAAACAGATTCAGACGATTTTTACTTGGTAAACACAGTTGGAACACGAATCATCCATGGGTGTTACTCTCATCGATTCAGCCGCCTTAGAGAAATGTGAGTGAACATATGCTTCCCACAATTAATGTTCTCTACCGTTAGACAAAAGAGACATCGAGCGCTAACTACCTACATGCAATTGAAGGTTTCCCTGTGCACTCACATGTACAATTATGTATGTAGGTTCTCACATGAACACCGCCCTGTAGCCATTGGTCACTCACCCGCACATCGCCCTAAGTATGTCCAGTACAGCCTGCTACACACAACTCTGTTTAATCTGACGACTGCCAGAAAACCACTCTACTCGGCACACAGCTTACGAGAAAATGCTATGTAATTGGATTTGAATATATGCAATTTAATTATAGCTTCTAACACTTTCTTGACACTTAATTTAACAGCCTACTGTTGGGGGCCTCATCACCATAAAACGAATCCATAACCATACAGGCATCGTTCACTATCATCCTGACACCACTCACTATCCTAGGTATGTCCACTTTATCAAGAGCTAATCATAAAAACACTGCAACATTTAAGACTGAAGCCACCTTCTTAACAGGTTTCGAATGAAAGTGGAATGCAAGGACATCTCCACCTCCTGCGTTCTCCTATTCGACAATGATGCTGCTTCGTCACTGTTGCAAAAAGCTGCTAGAGAATATGCAGCACTTGATGAAACCGCAACAAATGCATGGTTGCAATCTGTCGTGGGAAAGGTCTTCACTGCTAAAATTGGAACTACTGTGCGCACATATATGTCGGGGTCAGCTTTTGAGGTCATCACCCTCTGGGACCCACTCGCCTTCGCCATTGCATCCAGCTGCTACTGCGATTCAAACTTCTGATGTCCTAATGGTGCTGCCCTGTAGAAGTTGCATTTCATTTCTTGCTGCATTTGAACCACTCTTATATGCTTATCTGATTGGTACATGTAAGGGCCTCAATCGTGTTTTGGAAGCATCCAATGGTGTCGCAGGTTGGAAACTTATTTCACCTGCATATTATGTTTGGTTTGTGTATCAGTACTCTTGAAGTATCTAAATTATCATGCTCATGTAATATGAATGTTGTGAACTGTCTTTTTTCAGAGACCATGCAAAATGCTATTAAGTTTCTAAGGTGTTGCTATATTGTGCTTATGTAGTGTGAATGCCATGACAACTTTATGTCTTTCCTCATACAGGGAAAATTATTCGTGAACTGTCTTTTTTCAGAGACGATGCAAAATGCTATTAAGTTTCTAAGGTGTTGCTATATTGTGGTTATGTAGTGTGAATGTCATGCATGACACCTTAAGTCCCCGCGGCGTAGCAGCGGGCATTTTTTCTAGTTTAATCTCTAACAATCAAGTCAATATATACCATATAAGAACTAATGTATGTAAATTTTAGGAAGAGGACCATGTGTATGAAAAGAATGTAGGTAGAGAGGATAGTTCTCTTCACTTGGAAGTTCAAAACTCATTGTATAGAGCGACGACTTAAACCCTGTGATTTGCGTTTCGCGCTAGGCTTGAGTATTTGGTGAGACACTTTACAATGGGCCTTGCCCCTTGGCTTGGCACCTTATATTGGATTTGAGACATAGATAAAAGCACTTTGCTATGGATTTAGATCCATAGATGAAGTGGACATTTGTTATGGACTCACACACCTGTCATTTTTCCTTGGTTATTACTTATTATTAACATCCCAACACTTTAGGTATCTAAACCGAATATTTGAAAAATTGTTCGAATCATTCAATCAGTGATGGCAATTTCAACCCGGCTCGTGAGTATTATCCGACCAGACCCGCGATGGGGCGGGTATTACCCGACCCGCAGTAGCGTGGGGCGGGGCATGGGTATCTACTTCCGCCCCGCCCTGCCCCGCCCCGTTCTAGACTCATTTTATCTCAATTTCTTACAATATCTATACATACTCTCCTATTTAGACTTTTCTTCAACTAGTTAGAGTTGATCTTTCAACTTGTTAGGCTCAATTATCCATTCTATTATCAATATTTTTCATTCTTAAAGTGTTTTTTCCTACGTTTTATTGTAAAATGTAAAATTTACTTGTATTTTTTTTTAACATGTAAGAGTGGGTCGCCCCGCCCCGACCCGTAATAGCGTGGGACGGGCATAGGAATTGAGGTACCCGCCCGCCCCATTGCCATCACTACATTCAATCAATAAGTGTAGAAATGTTCACACCTAATGAAAAGTATAGTAATGTTGCAAAATGATCCATTACTTAGTGAACCGATATTGTTAAACAGCAAAGGACCACGCACATAGCCAAAGATCACTACCCCATATCATCAGGCCTTCTCTCCATCCGCCACCTCGGATATCATCACGTGATTTGCAGCCACGTCAGCAGTCACTTCTGGATTTGGATCCTATAGCCACGTCATTCGCTCCACATAGTTTAGATTATCGTCGGACAACGCGAGCGGGACCACCGCCCATGCTCCGTTCCTAATCATCTCAATCCCCCACTCTGCACCACCACCACCAGCTCCTCCACCCCCGCCTAAATTGCCCATACTATACATTACTCTGTTCTGTATCTCAAACAGCGCGTGCATTCCACAATTGGCCTCATTATATACCGCCAGCTTTCCGCCATGGATTTGATTCTCCAAATAGTATAACAGAGCCCAATATTAAGAAAAGCAAAGCGCGCGAGATGAAAGAGTGCGAGCTGTGTCAAGCTGGCGGCGGAGCCAGGATCTTCTGCGAGTCGGACCAGGCGAGCTTGTGCTGGGATTGCGACGAGAAGGTCCACGGCGCCAATTTCCTCGTGGCCAAGCATTCCCGCATCCTCCTCTGCCACGTCTGTCACTTCCCCACTCCCTGGACGGCCTCCGGTCCCAAGCTCGGCCACACCGTTTCATTCTGCGATTCTTGCTTCTCCCTTCACGGCGGTGACTACCAGACGACCGAGAGGAGCGGCGGCGACGGCGGAGAAGGAGCGGAGTTCGACGTCGAGGAAGATGGGGAGACGACGACAACGACGGCGGAGGAGGATGAGGGCTTTTCCGATGATGATGAGTACGGTACGGAGGAGGAAGATGGGGATCTGAATCAGGTTGTGCCGTGGTCGGGGGAGAGCTCTTCCGGCGCCGAAGATGAAAGCAGACCGGCGGCGGCCCATTAGTTTCTCCAAGTTTTGGGCCCATGTAAAAGCCCAACCCATCTTCTTTTCCCCCAAGGCACAAAGCTAGGGCAGGTTCTACTTTGCAGTTCTCTTCTACACATTAGAAAACCAACCTATAAATGCATATTTGAATACAAGAACTGAAGAACGGTTGTTTACTATATTTTAGATGGTAAAGTTCAAGCAAGCAGAAAAAAAAGGATCAGTTAATGAGCTTAAATGGAAAAGGTAGAATTCTGATAAATGGCAACCGAAAGCAATCCAGTTTTCAGACTTTGTTTATAGTCCAACCTACCACAACAAAACGTAAAAGAGTCTTCAGAAACACACAACCATTCATCTGCCACACAAACATCTCACTTAAGAGTGGCAAAACCCTTTTCCACGCACTTTCTTACAAGAGAGTAGAGGAAAGGAGACAAAACTCAAGCATTCTTCTACTACCATCTACTATTTAGCTCATTCTCCAGCATTTTAGCACTTGGAGCATCTATTGAACTCTCCGTCGGGGCACCCCAAACAGCTTCAATAGCTCGGCAGTCCAGCTCTATGCCTCTGCCAATCAAAGAACCGTTGTTAATAGGAAAGTACACAGAATAGCACGATTGATGGACGATAACATAATAACATAAATACAAAATCGATTAAGAGACTCTTCTCTCTGATTGATGGTAGATTGGTAGTCATCCAACAATGAGCTTTCTACATGCACACACATGATGAAGTGTGACCCATGTGACCAAGCTAGAACCTTTCAGCCATGTCTATATGTTACTCAGACCCATTTGATGCAGAACTCATAATTGGACAAAAAACCCACAACAACAAGCCTATGTGTATTGAAACGAACTTTATAGAGAATGGTTACTGCAAAGTATGCATTTGAAACCTTGAAACATTGCTAACTCAGATTCACAAAAGATATCACTAACTACACAGAGTACACAACCACATTCAATGGAAAGGCATTGAAGATGCTTTCTTAATCAAGAGCTCATCTTAAGCATTCAAAAAAGGGAAGTCAGCCAATACTTTCCAGCATCGAAAATCAACTTAAAAGGAAGTGAACCCCCTGCTTACCAATACGATTAGAAAACCACTTCATTTGTTTGTAGCAGTCAAAGGTCTATCTATCTTTGTTTGCAACTAACAAGGAATCATCCTCACTTTACTAATAATAGCTCAAAGTGAAAAAAGAAGAAGTGACAAAATCTTCCAGAAGATTAACTTCCCAGTACAAGAACTATTCTTATCACTAAGAGACTGGGCTAGTGACAATGGATGGTTGATAATAAGCCAACCCACCCGATGCCCGAAGCTTCAGGCCAACATCTAGAATGAATTAGGGAACTGAAAGCGGAAACATAAACACACCCCAGGCTTTCCCCCTATGTCTCTCAAACACTTTGCAACATTGTTCCTCATGTATTTGGAATAACTAGAAGCTCTGAAGTCCTATAAAGACATATCAAATGCGACCTAATGATCATGATGCCGCATTCAAAATACATACTGCAACCAGTGCTTCTCAAAGAATGTGGGATTATAATTTGCAACTTGGATGAAAACCAAACTCGCAAAATCGTGTCCCACGTTGTTTGCAGTTACAATAACTAGAGACATAGTACACTGATACCAGCCAGCAATGACTCCAATCACTAGACTAAGTTCAGGATAACTTATACAAGTTCGCCATTGGTGCACACACCATCATCAAAATCCTAGAGAAACCCATCTCTATTTCGAACTATATAACTAGAGATAGAAACAAAATCAAAAGGAAACAAAAGTAGCTAAGCAATCAGCTGGACTCACAGTTGCCAGATTACTTATCTTTATTATCAACACCACCAATCTTCAATTCAAATACTGAACCAAAAGCAAAGACAAACCTTTGCGATGTGGCACTTCCTCTTCGTCCTCGTGCATATGCACATTGACGACGGGCTCGACACCAGCATCACCATCAGCTTCATCCTTGTCCTCAGGGTACCTGACCACCACAACGGGGCAAACGCAGTGATGCACACAGTAATCGCTAACACTGCCAAGCCTGCCATCCCTGCCTCGCTTGGCAGCTCCGAACCCTCTGCTGCCCATGATCACACAACTCAGTCCCAACCTCTCCACCTCCAAGCACAGCCGCTCCTTCATGTCATGGTCCTTCACTATGTGGATCTTGAAGGGGATTTGGGCGTCTTTCAGGGGCTTCGAGAGATCAGAAGCCTTGGCAGCAGTGAAGACATCGTAGTCTTCCTCGCCCTGGCGCGGCTGCAGCGGCTGTCCCCGCGAGGAGCTATCGGAATCGCTGCCGTGATCGCTGGGCGGGGGCGGCGGCGGGGGATTGGTGCTGTCGGCGTTCAGGTCGCCGCCGCCGGGGCGGAAAGGGTGGATCAGGGTGTGGGTGGGAGTGGACAAGGGGAGTGGGCCCCAATCAGCGCCGAAGAGGACGGAGGTGGGGCTGACGTGGAGGAGAATAACGGCATCGCCGGGGCGGAGGTAGTGGTCGACGGCCCACTTGACGGCGTACGCGCTCTCGTCGGAGAGGTCGACAGCGACGCCGATCTTGCGGCGGGCGCCGGCGGTGGGAGTGGGAGCGACGGAGTGGTGGTGGTGATGGTGGTGGTGGGGGTGGCGAGGGGAGGAAGGGTGGTGGATCTTGATGGTGGGGAGCTGCGGGTTGTCGGGATCCAGAGGGCTCTGCGGCGCTGGTGGCTGCTGCTGAGGATTCATGGCGATTGGGGATGTTTGTTTCTCGGGAAAGAAGGAAGGTGGGGTGGAAAACGCAAATGGGGGGACGAATTGGTAGTGGGGGAATGAGAGGAAACGCGGAGGAAAGGAGGAGGAGTTTCTAGAGGATGGTGACTGTTCGGGGGAAAGAGAGGACCTGCTTAATTAGCTGGGCTTTCTGGCGGGGGGTTGTTAATGATGGGCTTGGGCAATGGATAAGGCCCGAAAGGAAACAACAAAAGTCAGTAAAAACTTGGAGGCCGACCGTGCTCTGGGAAACGAGCACTTTGGGCCAGAAATAAGTTGGGCCCTTAAGAAAGCTAGAAATTATGTAAACAAAATATCAAATAATTTTTTTTTTAACATAGACATCCATAAAGATAGTAGTCAAGACAGTCATACAAGTACAAAAGTAAACCATTGTCGAACTACCTATGAGAGGGCTGTTAATGCCACGAAAAAGCAGCCATATAAGCAGCTAAACCTGCAAAATGGACAAACACATAGACTACAAAAGAGCCGAAATTTCACAAACAAAAATAACCATGATCTCGAGCAGTCATCTTCTCCATCTCAAGATAGTAGTCTCCAAAGATTCAGGCCACCGGTTGACAGATTACAGAGATTGTCACATGTCCCCTTTCGTCTTGGCTACGAACAGACCAAGAAGTTTCGTGCAAAATGAACAAAATAATAGCCCAACAAGACAAGGCCAAAGAGCCAGGGAAGGCCAAGCAAGCCCAAGAGTCAAAAGCAGCAGGGGCTAGAGAAACTCATTAGTGCTTTTTGCACCCACCACCTCATTAAAATTAAAACCAAGTGGAGGCATCATCTGAGTCTGCTATTCATGCTAAAAACCATGGTCGTGTCACCACCGAGTTGAAGTGCAAGCTACCCTGCAAAACAACGAACACAAAAACAGACCAAGCCCAATAGCCCATGAAAGTGGCCCAGGTGCCACGAGTGACGCATCAGTATCTGCCAATAATTTATTTTTGTTTATTAGCTTTATTTTTCTTTTGCCAGTTGTTTATGAACTTAATTTATAGGGCAATGTCTATTTTTTACCCAAACCTTTTTCGGATTCTTTTATTTTAACCAAACCTATTGAATTCTTAAAAATTATCCAAACGTTAACTCTCCGTCAACTTTTCTGTTAGTAATGCTGACTAAGTATGACCATAATGAGTTGACTTCCTACGTGGCGATCAGAATACCATCATCTATTATTTTTAATAAAAAGATTATCAAAAAACAAAATAAAATCTCACTCCTCACGTGGACGAAATAAGTAATGGTAACAGAATGAATGCCCAGACTTTGATAAATTATAATACGTTTGGATAATAAATAGAATTTTTATAGGTTTGGTTAAAATAAAAGAATCTGAAAAAGGTTTGGGTAAAAAATAGACATTGCCCTAATTTATATTTCAGTATGTTATTTTCTCAAAGAAAAATTGTGTCATTCTTTCGGTGTTTCGGAAATCGTATCATAATGGCAGTCTGATTCACGGTTTCAACAAAAAAAATACCATGACACTTAACTTTTTCGATACAATGTCCGGTACGATTTTACGACCACATGCAACACCGCGCGCCGTGTTGTTGCCCACTCAACCTATAGCTCCCATCCGTCTATATATCCTGCACACATGGAGGAGTATGATTGGATGTGGATCACCTTTGGTTTGGTTGGGTTGGTCATGCGATATATACATTGATATAGAAGAGAAAAATCCAACCTATGCAAATTAAGAGGGGGGCGAGGAGAGGGCTGTGGTGGTATTTCAAACGTTGAAGAAAGGCATGAAGTAGGTAGCTTAGCTTAGCTAGGTGGGAGTAATAGATTGCAAGTTTTAGGAAGCAAAGGGGACAGAGGAAGATGCAGGCTTTTTCTGGTAAAAACTCCCGTATACATGAAGCAAGTCGAAAAGGCATCATTTCTCTATTTGCCACCCCTCCCCTCTCACATATAAGACCTAGAGGAGAATAGCCAGAACAGGTATAGGGAGGAGATTCGATGGCATTGGCACCATCATCATCACCACCAAATCTCACTCTTTCTTTGGCTCTCACATAGACATTGCTCCTAGCTCCTTTCTGTTATTCGCAGTAGGCCAGCTGCATGCTGCTGTTGCTGTGAACTTGAGCTTGATCATCATGATCACCTTTTTTTTCTCTTCTGTTACCACCCACCCATACTACCAACCAACACAGATTTTAGCTGAGGCAACCAATCTAATATACTAATAATACCAATGCCACAACCGGGGCCAACAAATCAAAACCGCAGCAGCAGCAGCAGTGAAACGAGACACAAAAAAACAACAAACAATGAAGAAGATGAGACACATGGCCCATCGGCTGGGGATCATCATCAGATCACGATCCTCCTCGTCCGACCATCTCCTCTGCCCTTTGTAATGTTTGCCCCTCTCTTTCTTCCCCCATCTATCACATCTCAACACCTGCAACTGTAGCTGGGCCCCACCCACACCTATTTCGTCCTTTTCCAGCTTTTCTCTCTTTTTCCCTTTAGAAATAGAGAGAGAGAGAGAGAGTTAAGTTCCAGGCAGCTAGCTACCAAGGCAATAGAAAATCCCACTCCACTCCACTCTACTACAAGAAACAGACTGCAGAGAGAAATAAGAAAGAGAGAAAGAAACCCACTACTGCAGCAGCAGAAAACAACAAGAAGTTGAAGAACAAACTAACCTTTTCCCCCCTCATCCTCTCTCTGGGTTCTTTTTTTTTTCCTGCCTATATATCCATTTCCTTCTGCCTGTATATCTTTTTCACTACCCATAAATCTCCCTCCATCGCCAGCTACCAACCCCAAAATCCCAGAAAACAAGCACTTCCAGTCTTCCACTCCCTCCAAACCTCCGTCGGTGCCATGTATCAGCTGCCACATCATGATCACTACTCCTCCCACCACCACCACCACCAACAACAACAACAGCAGCAATCCTCCGCCGCCCTTCATCCATTTCCGCCCTTCTACCTCTTCCCCGACGCCTCCTCCGCCGCCACGACGGAGGAACAACCGGCTGGATATGGATCAGAAACGACTCGTAACCTCCCTCGCCACAAGGCTACCCACCGCGACCCAGCACCAGCAGCAGCGAAACCCGCCGCCGGCGGCGGCGGAGGACGTAGCAGGAAGAGCGCCAGCAAGAAGGCGGCTGCAGCTGGTGGCCCTCACGGCCGGAAGAAGACGACGGAGCCGCTGAGAGGGATGGGGGTGGAGCAGCTGGAGGAGCATTTGAGGTTGCAGGAAGCCGCCGCCGCCGCCGCTTCCAACCAGAAGAAGCTCCTTCTCCCCAAGTTTAAGCCCGCCAAAAAGCCTGTTTCCCGGCCTGCAGTGCTCCAACAGGATCCGGCCACTCATCCCGATGAGCACTACGGCGTCCCCGTGGCGGCGGCGGCGGTTATCAGCGCCGAGAGGCAGCGGCAGCTCCAGCTGCTCTATCAAGCGTGGGTCAGGAGGGTGACCGGTGCTGTTGGCGGTGGTGGTCAGACGAGTCCCTACTCCGGCATCGGCGGAGCTGGCCGGAGTAGTACTGCTACGGCGGGAGGGGGATCTGAGCTCTCTTCAATCCCAAAGATCGCCGCTTTCAACCACAACAACAACAACCCATATGATGATTTACCCACCTGCGACGGCCCCTGCTGCCTTGAGGTTAGGTTAATTTTTTTTATTTTTTTATTTTGTCCCTCTTCTGTTTTGTTTCCCGGGAAAACAGAAATTAATTCTTCCCCGTCATGTATTTTGGTTTGCTGCACATTATTTTTGATGCGGAGGCCGACTTTTTCTTTGCAGAAGAAGAGCTTTAGTACTACAGCGACGGCGGCAATGGCGCGGAAGAACAGTGGAATAGTGATTAAGGAGGAAAGGTTTCAAGAGACAGCTAGTGATGAAGCGCCATTAATCAATTCCTCCTCGTCCTCAAACTATCATCGGTTGCCCGCGGGATTGATGATGAATTCTGTCCAATTCACTCGCCGGGACGTGGAGGCAATTCCTACTACCACTACTGGTTTCTGTAGTAGATCTGCAAGATCAGAGGCGCCCTTTTATCCCTACCGTGAATCTTACTATCTTAATCAGCTGGTATGATGATTCCCACAATTTGGAATTTTTATTTTATTTTATCTGTGATTTGAAATTTTAGATCTTTGTTAATTAAAAAAAATATGGGTCTCTCTGGTGTTCATAATTGCAGGCAACACTGGAGATGATGGAAGCATATGATGATGCTCAAAGAAAGGGGAACTCCTCATCAGCCTGTGGTATGGAGTACTATGAGTTCTTCCCAAGCGACAAAACCACCAGTGGAGAAATTATCATGGAAGGCGGCAATTTTACCAAGCAGGAATGTAGTGAGGAAGAGGGAGTGGAAGTGGAGGACTATCTGATGCTGGAACCTTCAGGTTCAGTGGGATATTATGGTGGTGGTGGTGGTGGAGAAGCTTCTTGTCTCACCACTTCTGATCACCATCATCATGAGAAGTATTACAGTTCCAGTTCTGCCTACACCTACACACTAGCATCAAACCCTACCACCACCACTACTACTACTACTACCAGCAACTCTATTTCCAGTTCACTGGACCTATCCCTCAAGCTCTCATTCTAGAGATCCCCAAACAAACAAGACAGATCTCTACTTCTCCTTTTTGGTGGGTCTGTGGCTCAATGACTGTTACTTTACTGCATGCCCTGCAAACTTAATTACCCACCCTCAACCCTAGAACCCATCTTCTGCATTTGTCTCTTTGCACACTCTTGGGGTTTCCCTTTTCATGTTAAACTGATCTGCCTGTCAATTTATGCCAGCATTTTGCTCCAGTGTTTTGGGATACTATACACCATTCCTCTAGCTCTCTCTGTCTGTTATAGTTGTGTCATGATGAGTCAGTTTGTGGACGGTTTCAAGAGGACCTTGCCTTAGGCCCAGCTTTTAATTTATGTGGTGGGGAGGATCTGATCTGATCTCTCTTACAATACTGGCTTGTGGGTCTGGCTGGGAGCTCATCACTTAAAGCTTTCATTAATTGATTTTGTCGTATGATGATCCAAGTACTTTAGATATGGTATCCAGTTAATAAATTGTGCAATCTGTGCCATGTTTGTTGAAGAACAAGAAGCTGCCAAAAACTGATTTAATACTCCCCCCCAACTACTGCTCTTCCTCCCAAATCTATCACAGATATTAAGACACAAGCATTGATCATCGACATACATTTGTACCTACTTTGCTTAATCCAGCAATGCTGAGCAAATCACTTCTTCATACATGACAAATTAATTACATACAACAGGCTATCTTGGGTCAGATGTGAAGAGAGAGAGAGAGAGAGGGACCATAAAAGATAGAGAGAGAGAGGTAATGGCATGCAAGAGGCAGCAGCCTGCAATGCTTATTTCCCGATTCTGATATGCTTACATATGATTGAAGTGCTGAAACACAAGTAGCAGCATCTCTCCCCTACTGTTTATGGGAGTCAAGCAACTTTATTTTTTAAGGCCTGCTTCAAAAAGTGTGCTCAAAAGCTGGATTAAAAAGCAACCCTATCCCTCACTCAGCAAAGAGAGTGAGAGAGAGAGAGAGAGAGCAACTAGCTAGCTAGGGTCAAGCTCACAGCTCTCTGTCTGTCTGTCCTCTCTTCTGTCTCTCTGTAAGGGTCTGGTGCTATATAGCCACTGAGCAGAAAACAGGCCAAATGGGCCACCAGCAGCAAAGCCCATCCCGATGCCTGAATTCTGCAGCTGCAAAAATTGCAAGAAAACCACCCTGGCCTGCTGCCTACAAGATCTGAAAGCAGCAGCTAGTAATTAAGCTAAAGCGCTGTACCAGCCAACAATAAAATACTTGCATGGAAGGGGAAAGAGGAAAGGACTCAGTGGCAGCATCAGTGTTCTCCAGTGAGAGGAAAGCTGCTGTTTTTTGCTTGCTTTAAAAAAGGGCCCCTCTCTTTTTCTATTGGCTGCTGGTAAGCGATCTACCCGCTTTGCCTCGCCACTAAAATTGCAAACCAGCCCAAACCAGCCTTCTCCCCGCCTCTCCCGTCCAGGCTCTTGTTCTCTTATTTATGGCAACCTGTTTTGTCCCGTTGCTACCACGTCCCTTTTATTGTCATTTTTCACCACTTTGTTTTTTTTTTTTATATTGGTCGTCGTGATGGTGTTTTGGTGGAACGGAACTGATTTTAGAAATTGGGTTCTGCTGCCTAATTTAGCTAGGACTAATAACCATACCAAAAGTCTACGAATATTAGGCAAATGGTTGGATTATTACTTGAATTTGAATGATTCAACAACTTTTAGGTACGAGAGAGCGAGCGTAACCAAGATCTATAAGTTAATCGTTGATGATTTTCAGATAAATTTTAATAAAATTGAACGAGAATCTTTTTGTGATATTGGGGAGTGTGCTATTTTCGACAAAAGATAAAGAGATTGATACATATGATCTTCGTCACAAGATTGAGTTAACATCGTTCTTAATTTCTTTGTCAATTTATAGCTATAGTATGTTATTAGATGTAGCTTATTGTTTATGAATTTTTAAGTACGTAGTTGCCAACTCAATTAACCTATGACCTGCACTATGTAAAAATGCACGAACAATATTTATTGGAAAATGAAATCCTAATTCGATTAGTTGTATGTATGCAGATAGGAAACCAAAACCTATACAAATTTCAACCGTTAATTAATAAATTCTACTTTGCACGTCACAAATCTAATGTTTGCCCTGGAATGACACAATACAAGTTACAACGACACAAATCTAATTCTTGTACTCCTCCGGCTCGATCTTCCTGTAATACGCACCGATCCTCGACAGGCTGCCGGCGGTGCCCGGAATGCAACGCGGCACGAAAAACAGCCACGTGGACGTGAAGATAATGGCACATATCTTCCCCCAGAGCACCAACACCACAAGGCTCACCAGAACCAAACACAGCCCCACGTTGGAGCTGTACCGCCCTTTCCCCGCCGCCGTCGTCGGACTACTAATCTTCCCGTCATTCTGAATGATCTCCCCGGGCGCCGCCGCATCCTGCGGCAGGTTGCTGCCGACGGAGGAACTCGAGTTGTTGCTGCCGGCGACGGTGGTTGATGACATGCTGCCGACGGCGGCCAATGGTGCGGTCGACGAATTGAGTTCTACGGCGCCGTTTTTGTTTGGGATTGGTGGTTCTCGTTCGCTGCCTGGTTTTGTGGGGTCCACGGTTCCAGCTGTCGTCGCGTAGACGTTGCCACCTCCTTTCTGTGCGTTCTTTCTCTTTCGAATTTTCTTGGCCTGCATGACAAAAGTAATTTAACTTTTACTAAACTATTCATAATTTTATGTAAAAAAAAAAAATCGTAAATTTAATTTGCTTGTGTAAAAAAAAAATAATGGTAGATAATTAGAAAGAGTTATAGGTATAATATATTATTTTATTAAACATGTTTTACAATTTTAGAAAAATTATCAAACATGACATTCTATTACAATTTACATAAAAAATAATCAATCGTGGTCGAACTTTCGTTGGGTATAAAAATATCTAAAATACTTCTAAAAATTTCTCTCTCATTGTATCAAGGTTATATTTTCTAAATCAAAGTTCAACCATTGTTGATGGTGTTTGGATGAAAATTTGATCAGAAAGCCATCTTAGAAAAAATTTCTAAATTAAAATGATATGTTTGATATGAAAATGATAAAGTCAGATGTTTGATATAAATGTATAAATGAATAAAAAATTGCCGGTTCAATATTTTCAAGGTTAGGTTTTCTAGATTACGGTACGACCATGATTGATGGTTTTATATAATGAAATTTGAATAGAAAGCCATCTTCAAAATGTTTTCTAAAATACAGTAATATGTTTGATATAAAAATAACAAAGTGACATATTTGATAATAGAGGGCAGATTATAGATATAATCTTTTTATTGAAGTGTTGACCGCTTCAATATTTCTCAATTTGCAATTGGAAACGGTAATTAATCAAATCAAGTTAACAATTCGTGGTTTCTTAGATTAAAAGAAAAAAAAGGAAGATTCAAAGTTAATTACCAGAGAGGTCTCGAAGAGAATGGCTTTCAAGACGCGAGGGAACCGTTTCAATCCTTTCTTGGGCTTCCCTCCTCCTCCTCCTCTACTGCCGTCCGGCGACGGCATCGTCGTACTCGTCGCCGTCGTGGTGGCGGTGGCAAACGCCGTCGTGGTCGTCGAGGAAGGCGCATAAGACGACGACGACGACAACGACCCATCTCTCCGATCATCTTCTCCCATCGCCGAAGCTTTCACCGAACACGAACGATCCCCTCCTCCTCCTCCGACGCCGCCGTTGACCAATTCCACCGAATAATAATCTATTAGAGATTGCTGTCTACCACATGACAGGAACCATATGTGTTTATGGTTCTTGTCACGTCCTTTGCCGCCCTTTCTTTTCCACCCTAATTCCTCCCCCTTGTTCTTCTTCTTCTTCCTGATGGCGGTCGACTTCTTATTAATCTCGCCGTCGTCGTTGTGATGGCCGCCGTAATAGTAGTTTTGGAGGATCGTCTCCGACAGAGAATGCATTTAGAGCGCGGGGATTATATGGGCGAAAGGAACCACGCGGAGTGCCGGAGGCGGGGAATGCGGACGTACGGTGGGAGGTTAATTGCAGAGGGCCGAAGATTTAGGGAGGGAGACGCTAATTTAGTGGGGTAGAAATCGTGGAGAGAATTTTTGTGTTATTTATTGGAAGAGAAGAAGAGTGGCGTTGGTTCGGTTTTCGGTTGGCTTTTTCATTAATTCTATTCTGAGTGAAATACTATTTTTTATTTATTGAAATTACGTGCGTAATATTCTAAATGGTCAGTATTCTAATCAGTTTGACGAATATGACTCAAACTTTATGATGATAATGGATGTAATATAAAGTTGAGAGCTAGAGATGGCAAATATATCCGTAATCGTGGATATCCGTTCGAATCCGATCTAATCGGGTAGGGTAAAACTCGAACTCGAAGGACTTTTTGTGGGTATGGGTAAAACTCGAACCGGAATATTACGGGTAATTGGTGGGCATGGTTTTGGCACTATCCAACCCGAACCCGCCCGATTATACACATGCACATGTATTTTATCTAGAAAATCATTATTTTTCTCTAACATATTTTTTATTTAGCATATAAATATAACATTTTTATGCAATTGTGTTATTTTAATTAATTTTCTACATTCTAGTGAATAATTGTCGTGTTTTTCCTCTTATATAATGTGAGAATACGTGTGAATGTTAATATATTTGTTGGAGTTATAAAGAGATTGTTTTATCCATGGATATATGTGGATATCCAAAAAACCCGAACAGGTTTGGGCATGATTTTAATTTTTTACCCATTTCTATAGTGGGTATGGGTAAAACCCGAACTACTTTAGGTAGGGTAACGGATATGCACTATCCACGCCCAGCCCGACCCGTTGCCATCCCTATTGACCGCTAAGTTCAAGTAACTCATTTAAAACGTTCGTGTATGAACAAATTAATTTTCGCTACATATCGCCACCATCGTAACATTAGACAACAATGTTTTCCGTTATCATTTTGTGGTTTTTGAAAGCTTCAACCATATATATTCAAAATTATCAAAGGTTTGGGATATTTTGCGGTATTAATTTCAATATTTGGGTATATTATGTGTTCTCTTGCATGTTTATACGGCATCAATTGCTTCGGTTGTTGTTTTGCCAAAATCCGTGCTTTGTAAAAAGTTGTCCACCGGCACTCGGCAGAGCCGCTACCTTGTATATTGGCCGTCAGCGTCCCATGTTTTGGAGCTTCTCGTATCCGGTTCAGTTGTGTTGATGTTGAATCTATCTATCTATCTATCTATAAAATATCTTAAAAGCCTTTAAGATTATACCCCCTTCCACGTAAGCCTCGCAGAAAAATAAGCCCATCCACGTCATCACCCAAATAAGAACTTTCCCCATATTTCCCTCCCTCTACGAAAACCTCTCTTTCTTTTATCCACTTCCTCCTTCCGCCTGCTCATCTCCTTCACCCCTTCCACCATAGCTTCTGTTCCGTTATCTCAAAATAAACCCAGAAATCCCATATTTATCAACCGCCCAAACAAAAATTGCTGTCATAGAACAGGCTTGGAGAGCATAACTTATTCTTTACACAAGATTTCATCAACTCTGCCTCTCAAAGTCGCCGACGAACCGGTCGTCGGTGGTTAGTTCCCTCTTCGTTTGCAGCCCGCCGCCGATTAGTACGCGACGGCGCCCATTCGGTCCCCAGCAAATTTCCGTCCAAACGTTTACTTCCAGACTGACAGGTAGATTCTTCCCGCTGTACGCTGCTTCCACCAACCAAAAGATCAGTCCCCCGATTCCAACTACTCGAAACATATCTCCCCCACACTGAAACAGAAATCCTCTTAATTCGCACTGCAAACCACCGGTCGACTACTTTGCTCATAGTGCTATGTTTTCATGCTATTGTGTTCACTGTGGCAGTTTATTTATGTTACATCAATTTAGAGTAAATGCTCTGCATATCTGCTCATGTATTATCAGTTTGTTGTTAGATTCACATTCTCCCACAAATCAATGTTATGCCCTTTTGTTTATTTCTGACACACCAATGTCGTACACCATTGTGCAGGTAAGGTGAATTACTCTGACGATTCAATTCCGGCTTAAACTCAAACATTTTCTACCCCGCCATCTACCAACCTATCTAAACCCTCATAGACACCAGGTACACCCAATTACATCATGCATCCCATACAGATACTTCACTATGACTACAATTGTTCAATATCATGGTAGCTTCATCCTATGAATTGTATGCCATGCCTTACCACCCCATCCTAAATAGGCTGTTTATAAAGGGCTAGGTTGCTGTGAATGCCACCTGCTTGGTAATTGGACTGAAATGTAATTGAAGCCCTGCACATGTGCATTGTAAACCAGTTGTTTAAGAAGGGTACAATGAGTGGGGAATTAAGTTTCTTGGAACTAAAGGCGGTTGCGTTGTTCCTTTCATGTTGCTTAACTTGGCTGGTGGTCCAATTACTTATGCCGGCTGCAAGGTTGAGTTCATTAATATTTGCCCTCTGTGAACTCCTTTTGAGGCATACTGCTTTAATAATGTTCAATTCAATTGCATACTGCTTAATTCATTGACACTTAACATGTTGCTTCATGCCTTTTACAAAGTTGCTATGATCTTGGCATCAATAAACATGATCAAGGTCATCATGCAATGTTTACTTACCATCCTCGGCTTCTAAAAATGATCTCAAATCTTTAATATAGTTGCCCTGCTGTTGTATCCCAAATTGTTGTTTTCACCTACATCCCGAATTGCTCCTCTACATGATATATATAGAGCATGTATATTGTAGATATTTGCTCGCTATCAATATTATTTTTGTTTACCTTTTAAACAGCCATGAATACAGTTTCCCTTTTAGTTCATCGTTATTGTTTTTGTTTTCTTTTGAGGCTTTCTTTGAAGTTTCTAGCTCTGATATGAGCATAAAAACCTCTTATAACCAAGTTCTGCTTCAAATTTTGCCACATAGCAGTTGCGAGTGCAGAGTTATAAAAACCACGTAGTTGTATTCCATTAACGGGCCACCGTTGCCGCACATTATTGGTTCTTATCTGTTGGTGGTGACGGTTTGAACACTTTTTCCTACTGTCCTCGAAATGGACAATAAAGGTAAGCACGTGAGGGTGTTTCACCAGCCTCCCCACAAAAGAACACGAACATCTGCAGCTGCAACCCCTGCTCAAGGTACACCTAAATTTCACTTGAATTCTCATTATTGTTCTTCATTTTTCCCCTCCTTCCATTCTTATCTTCTCACTTCAGTTCCTAGAGGTTCAGAATAGTTTACCATTTCACATTTCTATTAATCCCCATACCAGGTAAACTGGCAGCTTCAACATCAACCCCACCAACCATGCTTTCTGCTGTCACACAAGCCACTCCACATAGACCTCCCACAGTCCTTGGATCATCTTATGTATCAGGTCAGCCGTCCCCAAAATGATGCAATTACCTCTACATGTTACATATTTCATACAACTCATAAAATGTAAATGGAATTAGATCCTACATGCCATGATAAGATTCCTTCAACGCTGAAAGCTTCTCTGTCAAGGATTGTAAGAGAAAAGCGACGGCTGTATTTACTATTTAAACGGAACCCACACCTTCGACTGTTCTTCATGTCAAGTATGTTGAATTCCACCTTTTGTTAATTTTATGGGTTATTTATTGCTTCTGTAATTAGTCCATATTTCTTTACTTTTTGCTGTTTTCAGGTTATCAACAAACCTTAACCAAGCTCACTGCAAAATCCAATCGGTTACACCGGAGAATCAAACTTCTGAATGGCCGCAAGAAAATAATAGGTTTGGCTTGCTCTTATTGTACAAATGTTTTTCTATGCCAGAAACATTTGACTCCCACTTTTTCTTTTTTTTTTTGTTTGTTACCATATCAGGTTGCCAAACTATTGAACCATTCACATTAGGCCATCCAGATTGTGTATGCCAATTTTGTGGGGCTATTATGTGGAGGCAAGAAAGTACTTTTGCTACTAGGAATCACAAGACGCCCAAGTTCACTCTATGTTGTATGGAAGGGAAGGTCAAGCTGCCACCGATCAAACAACCTCCGCCCTTCCTTAAATGGCTTCTTGAATCGGACCACAATTTGGCTAAACACTTCCGGGAGTTTATTCGTGCATACAATGCAGTGTTTTCATTTACTTCAATGGGAGGAAAGGTTGATCATTCAGTTAATCATGGACGTGGACCATATGTATTCTGTGTTGGTGGCCAAATTTATCATCATATCGGCTCTTTGCTTCCACCTCAACATTCTGTTCCCAAATTCGCCCAGTTATATATTCACCATACTACTGAAGAAATCAACAACCGAAAACGAGCTTTCAATGCCTCACAGAGCTCCAATCCTTTGCAAGATGATCTCATTCGACAGTTGATGGAAATGCTTGATCAGCATAATCAATTGGTCCAAGTTTTCAGATATGCAAGAGACATTGTGGCGGGCCAAGATGTGCACCAAATGGAGATAAGGTTACTTTCCGCTCGCAGTAGAGATGGGCGTGAATATGATTTGCCAGCTTGCAGAGATGAATTAGCAGCATTGGTTGTTAACGGCACAGGCATTGAAACATACGATCAAGACATTGTTGTACAACTCCAATCAACGCAGCTTACTAGAATCAGCATGCGTCATCCCAGCTTAATGGCCTTACAGTATCCATTGTTATTTCCGTATGGTGAAGATGGTTGGCGCCCAGACATCTCAACCACTAGAGGTTTTCTAACTCAAAGGCAATTCTATGCCTACCGCTTACAAACTCGACTAGACGAAGCGCCTACATTATTTCTTTCGGGCAAGTTATTCCAGCAATATGTAGTCAATGCTTACACATTGATTGAAGCCGAAAGATTAGACTGGATTCGGCAAAATCAACGAAAGCTTCGTTATAACATCTTATCAGGTGTTCTTGATGCCTTTCTGAATGGAGATACTGATGTCAACTTGACAGGTAAACATGTCATTTTATCGTCATCGCATACAGGTAGCCCGCGTTATATGTTTGAGAATAGGGATGGCAAAAATATCCGTAACCGTGGATATCCGCCCGAATCCGGCCTAATCGGGTACGGTAAAACCCGAACCCGAAGGACATTTAGTGGGTACGGGTAAAACCCGAATCCGAATATGGCGGGTAATGGGTGGCCATGGGTTTCTCACTATCCAACCCGAACCCGCCCGATTATACAAATGCATATGTATTTTGTCTAGAAATAATCATTATTTTTCTCTAAAATATTTTATATTTAGCATATAAATATAATATTTTCATGAAATTGTGTTGTTTTAATTAATTTTGTTCATTCTAGTGAACTATTGTCGTACTTTCCTCTTAAGTAATGTGAGAATACGTGTGAATGATAACATATTTGTTGGAGTTATGAAGAGAAATTATTACCCATGGATAACCGTGGGTACCCGAAACCCGAACGGGTATGGGCATGGTTTTAATTTTCTACACGTTTCACATGTGGGTATGGGTATGGGTAAAATCCGAACTACTTTGGGTAGGGTAACGGATATGCACTATCCGTCCCCGACCCGACCCATTGCCATCCCTATTTGAGAACTACCAAGATGCTATGGCTATATGTCGTTGGTTTGGCTATCCTGATTTGTTCCTGACTTTTACTTGCAATGCGGGCTGGCCTGAGATCCAATATATGATTGATCTCCTTAAAGTTGACGGTTTGAAAGATCCAAATCGGGCGGATATTGTTGCAAGAATTTTCCGTATGAAATTGAATGAATTGCTTCATGAAATTAAAACCAAACACATTTTCGGCCGCACATGTGCAGGTAATCACTTTATTATTAAGTTGCTTAATATTTTAAGGACTATTACATCATTACTTGACTATGCCTCATAAAGTTGAATTTCTTTCATATTGTCTTATTATTAAATAAAGGCCTCCAGTCATATTTACTAGCATTTTTTCGCCATGCACCCACCCTTAAGTGCTTGAATCTTTCCATGTATGTTGTCTACTTCAAGTTCATAAAATTCTATAATATTAGGCCACACTTCACATAGATCGACCAATCATAAATCGCTTTAGAAACACTTTTAGCTCTTTATTATTTTATCATACTTCTTACGGTATACAATACAGGCTATTCTAACATTTCAAACCCATTTCTTGCAGAGATTTACACAATAGAATTTCAAAAGCGTGGCCTCCCTCATGCACATTTATTGATTTTTTTGGTACCTGAGCACAAGTTCATCGGACCAGATCGAATTGACTCAATTATTTCAGCTGAAATCCCTGACAAAAATGAAGACCCAGACTGTTTCCGTGCTGTTGAAAAATTTATGATTCATGGGCCATGTGGTGCTTCACAACCTTCTGCTGTTTGCACATCAGGAGGGAAATGTAGATGCCATTTTCCTAAAAAATTTCAGTCTGAAACATCAATTGATGAAGATGGCTACCCAATTTATCGTCGACGCCAAGATGGGCGGACCATTGTTAAACATGGCATTCCCCTAGATAATCGTTATGTTGTCCCATACAATCGCTACCTGTTACTAAGATTTCAAGCACATATAAATGTGGAGTGGTGCAACAAGTCCAGGTACCTATACTAACTAAAGCTTTAGTTAAATATAATATGTATTGTTATTACTAAACTGTATCCTGAGTCTTATAGCTAGGCTGAATTTAATACAGGTTTACAGAAATTAAGAATGTGCCTTTGCTCCTTATGATTTTTGCAAACGAATCAACAAAAGTTAATTGATTCATCCTTTGTTTATTCATGTTTAACATCTCTGCTCACTCCAAAATTATTTCCTTTGCTGCGTGTCTGAATTTGACTACCCAATTCTTTTTTTGACCACACGTTATTGCTTTTCAAAATCAGCAGCGGCAACATATTCTAGATCATTTACTAAGATTTTCCAAAACCTGATTTGAAACACAAATAATGCATTTTACAGGTCAATTAAATACTTATTCAAGTACATCACCAAAAGTCCAGATCGCACAATGGCTACATTAGTTCAACCTAGAGGTGATTCACATGCCGAGTTAGCAGATGCACCAAGAACTGATCGATGCATTGATGAAATTAAAGCTTTCATGGATTGTCGATATATTTCGGCACCAGAAGCAAGTTGGAGAATTTTTAAGTTTGATATTCATCATCATCGGCCATCTGTTTTACGCATGTCTTACCATTTACCAGGCGAGAACCCTGTAGTATATGAAGAAAATCAGCCAATAGAGAAGGTAAAGGAAAAGGGTGAAATGGACACAATGCTTATCGCATGGATGAAGACAAACATTACAGACCCTAATGCTCGAGAACACACATATGTGAATTTTCCAAATCACTATGTCTGGGATTCCGATACAAGAGAATGGAGAAAAAGGAAGTCTAAGCTTACTATTGGAAGATTGTACTCAGCACAGCCCTCTGCGGAAGATAAGTTCTACCTACGTATGTTGTTGCATGTAGTTAAAGGTTGTCAAAGCTTCGAAGACATAAGAACTTACAATGGTATCATTTATGACTCATTTCAGCAAGCTTGCTATGCTAGAGGATTGTTAGAAAATGACAATGAGTGGAATGACTGCTTACAAGAAGCCTCTACTTGGGCAACAGGCCATCAATTACGAAGACTTTTTGTCACTCTACTAACATGTTGCCAAGTCTCAGATCCTAAATCTATGTGGGAGAAGAACAGTGAACTACTTTGTGATGGAGTTCTTTACAAACGAAGACATGAACTTCAAATGCCTGATTTGGTTATGACTACAAGCCAGCTACAAAGGTGTGCTTTGATAGAAATTGAACAAATGCTACGCAAGATTGGTAAAACACTTGCTGATTTCCATGGGCTTCCAGTTGAAAATGTTGACTCATTATGCACCTCCATCAATCGATTAATTGGGGAAGAACTAAGTTACAACACCAATGACTTAGCTACACAAGTGGAGCAAAGCTTGCCATTATTGAATGTCGAACAAAGAAGGGCTTATGAAGCAATAATGGAATCAATTGATGGAGATTTGGGAAAAACTTTCTTCGTCGATGGATATGGCGGTACAGGTAAAACATTCCTATGGAAGGTGATAATAGCTCGACTAAGGGCTAATGGAAAAATTGTCCTACCAGTAGCATCATCAGGAATTGCATCTCTGTTGTTATATGGAGCTAGAACAGCACACTCTCGATTCCATATTCCCTTGGTCCTTTCTTCGACTGCAACATGCAACATATCTCATGGAGATGAACTCGCAGAACTGATTCAGCAAGCAGATGCAATTATCTGGGACGAAGCTCCATTAGCTCATAAGCATTGCATGGAAGCACTGGATAAAACTCTTCGTGACATTCTTCGCCAAAGATTTCCTCAGAGCAAAGAGAAGCCCTTTGGCGGTCTAACTGTTGTCTTCGGTGGTGACTTCCGGCAAGTACTACCAGTTATTCCCAAGGGAACGAGAACTGAAACAGTATCAGCTTCACTAAAAAAGTCATACTTATGGGATTCTATCATTGTTCTCAAATTGACACAAAACATGCGATTGCACCAGCCAAATTGCACTCAAGCAGAAGCTGCAGCTATATTGGATTTCTCATCTTGGGTTTTATCAATTGGAAATGGCCAACAGTGTTCTATTATGGGAGATGCAGATATTACTATTCCCGAAGACATAATAGTACAACGACATTCCTCAGTGGTTGAAGATATAGTTGCATCAACATATCCAAATTTGCAGGAAAGTTACAGTAATGTTGAGTATTTACAAGGAAGAGCCATATTAGCACCACATCATGAGATGGTAGGGCAAATAAATGATTACATGCTCAACCAAATTCCCGGTGAAGAATCAACTTATTACAGCTCAGATTCAATTGCCAATGCAGATGGAACGGGAAGTATATCACATCCTGAGTACCCAATTGAATTTCTAAACACTTTGCAGCCCGGAGGCCTTCCCAACTATGAATTGAAACTTAAAGTTGGAGTTCCAGTGCTATTGTTAAGAAATATCGATCAAACAGCTGGATTATGCAATGGGACCAGATTAATCATCAAACGATTGGGCCGGTGGAGCATTGAAGCTGAAATACTAACAGGAACACATATAGGTGATCATGTCTTCTTGCCGAGAATAGTTTTAACAGCTGAGGTACCACATCTGAACATCACTCTAAGGAGGCGGCAATACCCTATAGCATTATGTTTCGCGATGACAATAAACAAGAGTCAAGGGCAATCATTGAAGCATGTTGGACTTTGCTTGCGACACCAAGTATTTTGTCATGGTCAGCTTTATGTCGCAGTTTCCAGAGTAACCACTAGAACAGGCCTTAAAATTCTAAGCTGTGATGAAGAAGGCCAAGAGCTGAAGACAATGAAGAACATAGTGTTCAAAGAGGTGCTAAATGAAGCATGTATATCAGGTTAAACTCTCTGCCGTGGGGTTCAATTAATATGCTTTACATAATGCTAATATTTTCCATCTTCATTTACCGCAGCTCATAATTTGTGTTAACAGGCTAAACAACTACACTTCCGTACTCCACCATGCCATCCCCACCACAACAGAGGATTCACAGAGCAACTTGCTGTCCCTTCTCCAACATTCACAGCAACTAAATACGAAGGGAACCAAATGAATGGAGCTGCTCCGTTGCTATAAGAGAGGAAAAGGACACCAAATGGAAGTAGTTTATTCTAATTGTGTGGCTCTGACTTCACGTTGATCTAATTATTTTACAAGACTTAAACATGTCTAATTTCAGGGTTTGGATAGACAGTTTGGAAACCAATTGTAGGTGAAAATCCTCTACTTTAGAACTATGTTAATTGATCTTGCGAGAATTATGTTAAGATGCAGCTTAATTTCATGCTATTTCTCTACAACCATACCTAAAGTCTTACTTGAAAGGGAACAAAAACTTAACATTGATTTTGATCAAAACTTTTTAAATACATCTAACAAACAATCGCCAGAATTATTTATTTCATTTACTTTGTTGTCTATAAATTTCCATATATTTTCGTATAATACAGATTGGTTATTTCATTAACTTTATTGTCCTAAAAACATATATAAGTATATATACACCCTTAAAGTCCATTGAAATTACTTAATAAAATAAAAGGTCCATCGTAATTATGGTAGAATCCATCACACAACACAACTACACAAGTCACGTATATGAGGCCTTCTTCCAACTTGGCCCAAAAATATATATCTAAAAAAAAGCCTTCCTGACCCATAATCTACGACTTTCATCAAAATCCCCATTCACTTATCGCCAACAATTTTTCCAAGTAAAATTAAAAAACGAACCACCCATTCGTCCCTGCAAATTCCTACCGACAAACCCTCTGAAAATATGGTTTCCTTCTCTAGCCGCCCACCCCGAGAAGTCACGAAACATTCACATTGATCAAATTCAAATCCCTTAAACCAACACTTCGTCTCGCCAATTTCAAACTTCCAACAACTGCAAACCTCTTAGCCGCCATTTGACCAACGATGAAGCTCTATTTAAACAACAACTACGATCCCCGGAAGGCCAGTGCATGCCGTATTCAACCTTACCACCACCATAATATACAACAGGCTTTCCTTCAAGCACATCGCCGACGTGTTGCTTCCACATCACGAAACCCACCCTATTCCAATCGACTAAGCAGTCGATTGTTGAGTACCATTCAACGACTCAAAATTCTTTCCTCCTGTGAACACGATGGAGAATACTCTGTTTGACAACCTTCAAGAAGGCCGATTTCAGGGGACGATTCGTGCAAGACTGTCTAGAATGTGGGAAGCAATCAATATCAAAACCAAAGTTCTGATGCGTCTGGATATCATCTTAATTGATGAAAAGGTACCAATCCCAATATTTCCATTTGATGTGAATTAAGAACATATTGAATCCACATTTAGATTATATGATGACCAAACCACAGTTTACGAATAAATAATTTTACTGCTCAATTTTTCCAGGGAAATGACATCTTGGCGCAAGTGCCAAAGCCATTGATCGCCACAATTCAACCAGGCCTTCAAGAGCAAAACATTTATCTGATCAATGATTTCACAGTTAAAAAATCCCATGCATATTACCAACCGACTGACAACCCATTAACAATCGTCTTCACCAACCACACGATGGCACACCCGGCAATAGGGAATGACGACATGCCTCGCTACAAATTCCGCTTCCTTAGAGCTCCAGATCTTCCCAGGAAATGCAATGATACTACAATACTAAGTGGTAGTTCAATTTTGTCTTCATTATGTACAAGTACGCAGTCAACTTTACCTTACTTGATGTGCAATGATTTAATTGCAGACGCCTTTGGACGCCTTTTGGAATACTCTACAACAGCAACCCACTCCAATGGCACAACCAGAACAGTCAGGAAGGAGTTGCAAATTGCCATACCGGAGTAAGAAAAATACCCTACCTTCTTCTATAAGTAACCATTATATCATAATTTCATTATATTCCACAAAGGTAAACGCCATATTACACTAGCAGTGGTGATAAGGTCCGAGTCACGTTATGGGGAGACACTATTGAGCAGTTCAACCGCATCTTCAACGCCAATGAAAATGAGCCAATCCTCTTGATCATTACTTCCGTCATTGTCAAAGAATATAATGGTAAGCATTGAACCACTATCCCGTCATTTAAATAATATTGCACAAAATTACGATGCAGATTTAACCATATAAACCATACCTTTTGTCATGTAGGTCTCAAATTTATATCTTCCACCACAGCAACAAGGATATACGGCAATTTAAATATTCCAGAGATCCTACCAGAAAACAACCAAGAGCCTGCAATGGAAGTCGCTGTCAACCCTCCAAACCAGTATAATATTAATGACCAAGAAGACCCTCCTCAACTAACTATAGCCGAACTTGAAGAAAAGAAGACAGATATAGAGAACGAGGTACACTGAACTGAAATTTGTAGCAACTCTTTATTCTTTCATAAATACAGACTTTCTAAATTCAAAGTTAATTACATCAGGGGAATTATTACGAGTTGATAGCCAAAGTTGACGACGTGTTGGACGATTGGTGCTACTACAGTTGTTCCAACTGTCCCAAGAAAATACCACCTGCAACACTTGAGTTCTGGTGTCAACACTGCAACCAAAGCACAATTCAAGGAGTTCCAAGGTTAATACTACCCCACAATTCATTCCATACAACTCATTCACATTATTATTAAACTAACATACATTAACATCAAATAACCAGGTTCAGAATTGTGTTGTCAATCAAAGACGAATCCGGATCAGCATACATTGTCATTCTAGATCATGCAGGTAGAAAGGTTTTCAACACCACGGCAGATCAACTTCTCCATGCCAACAATGGTGATATGCTGCAACCACCGGAACATGTATCACTACTCAGAGGAAAAATCAAAAAATTCAAGATCAGGCTGAACCGATACAACATCGAACAATCCTCAAGCACGTACACCGTCACGAAAATAATGGAAATTGATCCCCAAATCCTCCCCACCTATGAGGAAACCCACAACAAGGTACTCCTATTCATTCTCTTCTCCGTATAGTTACATGTAACCTTCACTACAATGCCACAATCTGTTGCTATCAACATTCCATGCATAAATTTACATACATGCTAACCTGGAACCAAATTTCACAGCATCACCATGAAGGGCACCCATCTACTGACATAGCAAGTAGCAGCACCAGCCAAACTCATCAACAAATTACTGCTGCTGCCACTTCAGCAACCATGATGATAGAAGAAGAAGATCAACAATTCCAACTGGAGAATGCGTCCCAAAAAGGAAAATCAGTGGCTGAACCATCCAAACTCAAGTCTGCAGAGCTCAAATACTACAAGAAGCGCAAGGCCTCTTTAATAATCTCAGATTCGGAATAGTAATAACAGTCAGCACTCATCACCATTAGTCATGCACTACATCGATCAAGCCCACCCTCATTATGTTCTACTACTATGTTTAGTATGTAAATAGTTCTATTAAGCATTATGTAACTAGCAAACAAGCCTTCCGTGTTATGTATATAAATAAGATTGGAAGGTTACGTACTAGAACAAAATATTAGTATTATGTATTAAATGATATTGAGTGTTATATCAGTCCAAGTGTATTAAGTCTTATTAAGTATTCATGTAATACAAATCAACATCATCCACAAATACAGCAAAAAGCAATCGAATGTATTGTTTTACTAGGCCTCCAAAAACACACCAAATCCTAGCTTCTGTTATAAACCTTCGCTCTGATAACCCACCAAGACCATCTCACCACACACTTAACTACACATACACAACACATCATGCATCCGGCCAACGGCCGGGCACGATGCTAGTCTCAACCAATAGCAAAAGTGCAAGTGCAACGTCGAGAATCAAACTAAACCAATTAAACCACTTGAATATTCTTACGGTTTAGTTGATTAATTAATTAATTAATCGGCCACACTTAGACGTAAATTGGTTGGACGTTACGAAAAGTATAAGAAGCGGGAACCTAAATTACGGATCTTAAGCGAGTCTTATAATAATGTGGATGTGGTGGGATGCTCGGGAAAAACTCTTTTTACGCGTTTGATAATAAAAAAGCCATATCGAAATTCCAAAACAGTAAAGTACCATGGGTTAATTGCTTGTCGCGATTTTCACAAGTGCATGTATTGTTCAAAACTATACTTTCCCTTAGCTTAGGGGTCCCAACATTATTTTAGAGGAGTTGGGAAACATTCACGATCTGATCGAACTCGTATGCCAGAAGGATTACGTGGATGGAGTTAAATTTGAAAGCTCTATATTATTTTTGAAGATATAGATAATGAATTTATAAAATAAACGGATTTCCAAATTACAAATGGATTAAAGTTTAAAATCAAACAAGAGGTTGGTCTAAGGGTAATACAACTAATTTAGAACTCGAAGGTCTTAAGTCCGAATTTTTTAATCATATATCACTCTTATAAATAAAAACCTATTTCCGGTCCTTTCAAAAATAAAAAATTGTTAGTATTAAAAAAAATATGTTCCAGCGAATTGCAGAAAGCCCCTTCCTGATAGACTGATTTGGCACTACTCGTAATCCGGTTTATACACTGTCAAGTCCGACTATCATCTCCTTTCTTATGAGCGAGATGATATGTTTGCTAGCCTCCCCCCTCAACTTAATTCCAAGTTCTGGAAGTGCCTTTGGAGCTTGCGTCTCCCTCCGAAATTGAAATTCTTCCTGTGGAGAGTTGTTCGTGGTTTCCTCTCTCTTTGTACAATACTCCAAGATAAGTCCATGTGCTCCTCGCGCACCTGTCATGTATGTTCAGCAGCTGATGAGACCATTACTCACTGTTTTCTTGACTGCAGGATTGCAGGGGAGGTGTGGATGCTTGCTAGCAAGAGCAATTTGTGACATGAATTGAGCCTCATTCCTACTGAATTCTTGTGGCCTCGTCTCTTCTTCTCTATGCAATTATCCAGGGATCAAATTGCAGAGACGGTGTTCATTGCCTGGCGGCTATTGAAGGGGCGATGTTGGTCAATCTATGACCATATTCAATACCTCCCTCCAGCTCTTTTTCGTCAATTCCAGTCCCAAGTGGCGGAATGGCAGTTGGCCACCAACTCACCCCAATAGCAACATCCAACCCATCGTCGTTCTGCTGTCACCATCTCACCTCCTTCAAGTCCATTAGGTGGCTTGCTGATGCGGTTCGATGGAGCTACCAGGAAAAATGAATGTGGCAGCACTGATTTTGTGGGTATCTCATCGGGAGATTCATTAGTCTATGCTTATGGTAAAAAGTATCCAGGTTTGGATGAACCCTTCCTCCTTGAATTATTAGCTCTTAGAGATGCTATGAATTGGTGTTTAAGTCATGGTTTTAATGTCGTTTGCTTTTGTGGAGATTCACAATTGGTTATCCGCCAAGTTTCATCAGGTTCATCTCAGCATGGCAGGGGGGGGATTCTAGAAGAGATTCTCTTGCTGAAGTCTGCTTTCTCCTTTGTTTAATTTGTTTTTGCTCCTCGTACTACTAACAGGGCTGCCCATTGCGTGGCAAAATCGTCCCTTGCATCGACAGATCAGCACTTGGTTGACTGCCGCTTTTTACTTTCAAACCTATTGTAATTAGCTATCGATTTAATATTTATCTATGGGGAAAAAAAATTTGCAGAAAGCCCACCTTTGGCAAAACAAAAAAAAAATTTGCACAAAGCCCACAACTCTGGTTTGGACCATTAGAAAACCGACTGGGTACTGGATCGACTGGCCCATGTAGAATGAGATGCGCAAACTATCCAGTCCGACCCGATCTGGTAGCAGTCAGGGTTCGCCGATTGAAAATGGCAGTCTACTCATATAAAGCTTGAGGATTGACGAAGAGAAGACTGAAGCACTCTGTATCAAGAAGTGGGAGAAGTGAAAAGGAAGGAAGGAACATAAACAAAAGCAACAAATAACGGGAAAGAAGCAAGCGGAAACCCACTGCAGGGCCCGGGCAATTTAGAGACGAAAGCGGAAGCCATTAAACCTTGGATTCAAGCAAAATTCCTTTCTTCCTGCTATACGGGTTTTGCTCCGGAAAGTTTGCCCTTCGACACACGCCACAGCGATGGAGACGGCCAACGCTCAGGAGCTGCTCCGATCGAACCTCTCTAGGGTGCGCATACCGGAGCCGACGAACCGCGTCTACAAATCAGAGTGCTGCGTCTCCTTTGATAATCCGGTCAGTCTTTTTCCCGTTTCTTGTCGTTCCTCTACTCCTCCTTCATTGTTCTTGTTTGGTTCTCTCTCGAGCCGGGAAGAATTTAGGTTGAGTGGTTTGCGATCGAGGCGTGGCTTGTAGAGAAATAAGTGTTTGCTTGGTACGGGGAAAACTCAGCTCACTCCATTTGCATTGTGCTTTGAGTGGTGTCACTGTTGCCACAGCTGTACTTCCAATGGGCTCCTCCATTTCCTCTGCTTCCGTCGCTTTTGATATCTGAGTAGTTTCTAGGAACACGGAGTAGAATTCCTGACGCTCAGAACATTTTGCATGGCTTCTTCGAGCTATCTTTTCTTCCTTGGGCGAGAGTGCTGCTGGCGTACATCAATTAGTGAAATCGGAGGGGGGAATATTTGGGTCTCATTCTGCTTAGTCACATGGTTTAATGGTCGAGCATGAAGGATATTCGTTGTCTCAATTACTCCGATTTGTGTAAGTTACTGAATTTTGTCTGTGATTCTGTTCTTATGCTCTAGAGGTCAGAAGGGGGGCTGTACATTGACATGAACACGTTTCTTGCTTTCGGGAAAGATTGTGCGGGTTGGAACTATGAGAAGACGGGGAACCCTGTTTATTTGCACATAAAGCAGACGAGGAAGTTGATTCCCGAAGACAGGCCTTCAAAGAAGCCAACCCTTTTGGCTATAGGTAGCAAATATGAGCATCATTTTTCCTACTTCTATGATGCTTCTGTCTCTGAGTTCATATTTGTCTTGTGTGGCTAGGGGTTAGTTGTTTGGCCGATGCTTACGAATTCTACTTGTATATAGGTATTGAAGGTGGTTTTGACAACAATGAAGCTGAATATGAAGTAACTTACAGCATAGTAGTACTTCCTGGACATGTGACATTTCCATTCCCTTCTGTGGAGTTACCAGAGAAGGTGGTATTTTTTGCTATGGTTCAGGGCTTTTGCCAAATGTGAATTAGAGTCATAGTTCGAAGATCTAATATGGTACTCTTCGCTTGCACTTCTGCAGGTGAGACTTGCCGCTGATGCCATTTTAAGGGCCGAAGGTGCAGAGCGAAAAGAGCAACTTGCTGCTTGGACCGCAGATACAAAGAAAGTTAGTGCGCATGCAATGGATTTGAAACAGATTAACAATGGTGTTGTTATTCCTCCGTCTGGTTGGAAATGTGTCAAATGTGAGAAAAGGGATAATCTCTGGCTGAATCTTACTGATGGATTCATCCTTTGTGGCCGGAGGAATTGGGATGGAACTGGTGGTAACAACCATGCAATTGATCACTACAAGGAGACAGGCCATCCTCTTGCTGTCAAACTGGGGACAATAACTTCAGACTTGGAAGCAGCAGGTAATGGCTACTTGTGTTTTGAAAAACGCAGTATTTATCTTATATTGAACTCCTTACTTTGTCGCTGATTCTGGTTTTTGGCATCCTCAAAAATTTATTCTCTTTTCACTCTTGCTTTTTCCTTCTCTGTTTTTTTTTGGGTGAATCGTGCCCAATAGGAACTCATCTAATAATGACCTTGTTACTAAGCTATGATTGCGAGGAGATTAAGAAATGGATGAATGCGGAGGTGGTTAAGAATATATGATATGGTTGGATAGACGGAAGAACAGCAGACTGTAATTTCAGTTTTGAGGTCAGGCAGTGGAAGTGAAAAGAAGTTTGATGTTGAGTCGGCTCTGGCCTTCTGTATAACCTAATTTCATGACTGCTTGCATCTTGGATGACGTACAGTTAAGCTGATTATACCAGTTAAGACTTCTTTGTGGTCTTCTGTTTTATCTATAAAATTTAAAATGTATTTTTCTGAGATCAAAAGTTTGTCCATGGGATGCAGCTGCCGAAAGCAGTAACTTTTTAAGTTGATTAGGATGATCCTAGCAATGATCATCAGTAGTCATCATAGAAGATAACCTTGTATCATAATTGCAATGAGTTTTCATATTTGAAGGCAAGCACTTGGATTCATCAAGACAGCCGGGACTGATTTGAATGGCTAGCACTGCTTGCATTAGATATTCAATATTTGTTTTGACATTGATTGTTCTTTAAACTAATGCTGGCTAACGAATTGTGGCAGCTCAGATGTATTCTCTTACCCCGAGGATGACAGTGTTTTGGACCCACTTTTGGCGCAACATTTGTCCTTTTTTGGAATTGATTTTTCATCCTTAAAGAAGGTGAGGAGCTGCTTACTTTTTTAGTAATTAATTCTGTAAATGGCTTTTATTTTTTCAATATTTGAATTCAGAATTTGTTTGACCAGGATAGTATGTGACCAGTAATATCCAGGCCTAGTTGGTCGATATTATATAAAAGTCAAGTCCATACTATTCTTTGGTTATCACACTGCTTCTCATGTTGGGCTACGGTCTATGTTTCACGGTCTTCTTTGCAGACAGAAATGACAACTGCTGAAAGGGAACTTGACCAGAATATCAATTTCGATTGGAATCGAATTCAAGAAAGTGGGCAGGATTTAGAACCTATCTTTGGTCCAGGTTATACAGGACTCGTGAATCTTGGTAATAGGTAAGTTTTTATCTGTTAGTTAAGCTGTGTCCTCGGTTAACACAGTTGAAGATGATTTTCATACTAAACTGTTGTTCTGCTGGCAGCTGCTACATGGCAGCAACTATGCAAGTAGTGTTCTCTACACAGTCCTTCAGTTCACGGTTAGTCTTTAGTTGTGAAAATTTGAGAAGCACCCTCTTTATTCCCATCTCTACTGCAGTTTCTCTAATGTTTCTTCCCTATTTGATTGCTACTGTTTTCGTGACTATATTACAGATACTACAAGAATCAAGCTTTGAAACTAGCATTTGAGACTGCTCCTTCTGACCCGACGGTGGACTTGAATATGCAGCTGTAAGCAAACCACGTTTTATCTGAGACATTTCTTTGTCTTGATGATTGTTAGCTATGATGTTGATGAACACATTGTCTGTTGTAACTGGGATCATAATGTGTCCGTTTGTTTGGATAAATGTACAAGGTAGGTTTGACTGTGGTCATAGAAGGTTTATCCCACATAGAAGGTTTAATCCTAGAGGTAGGCTATAACTGGGATTAAACCTTCTGGTGTAACTGGGATCATAATGTGTTCGTTTGTCGATAAACACATTTTCTCTGAACGCTGTTGCCTAAACGTTTCCTTCTCTATATCCATTGTTTATGGAATCTTGTGAAATTTCCCTATGTATTTTCGAAGTAATATGGTTGACGCTGTGTTGAGGTGGCTAATTTATTGATGAAATGCATTGGGGGTGCGTGTGTATGTTAATGCATTTGTCATATTGCAGCACAAAGCTGGGACATGGTTTATTGTCTGGGAAGTATTCTGTTCCTGCACCAGAGGTATGTGAAATTGAAGCTATTTGATATTTAATATATTCCTAGTTTCTCTCTCTGAAATTTACCCTTCTCCTCTTCGTAACTCAGGTAGATGATATCGCAGATTCTGCAACCTCCACTAGTACGGTAAGTTTCCCTTTGCATGGGATTCTTCTAGTGGTTGTGTTATTGTTTTTACCAAGCTGTATTCTTGACTTCATATTATTATCAAGATGCTTGCGTTTGTAGAAATTTTCCTAAATCAACTATGAAACCAATTGCAATATAATTTTGTTCAGTTTTGCTAATGATATATCAAAAGCATGATGTTCTCTCTTTTATTTGTCTCCTTGAGGTCTTATCATAACTTATTCCGTTCTTCCATTGCCAGAGCTGTCGTTTCTCTTCCTTGTTTCACTCTTTTTTGTTGCCATTTCAAAATATTAGAAACAAGAAGGATTACCTCCTCGCATGTTCAAAGCGGTCGTTGCTGCAAGTCATCCTGAGTTTTCTTCAATGAGGCAGCAGGTATGCTTACTGTAGTACGACTCTGTATGAATATGGTTGAGTATCAATTCTTCTGAAACCCCAACAGAATTTGAGACTCAATTTATAACAAATAGCTGCCTATAGTAGGTGGTTGGTCTGGGGTAAGAGTTGGCTTGCGATGTGCTATCTACCTCTCGCCCCGGCTGACTATGTTCTTAAATCATTTTAGGGATGATTAACTAAAGCTGCATCGTTTACTTTGTTCTCATTTGATATTACAAACTTCTTCCCGTTTAGAGAAGTTGATCAATTACTTCGACATACACCTTTGTCCTGTATTTAAGATATTCCTGATCATTGCTATTTTTTATTCTTTTTCTGGTGGAGCATCATTGTTGTCTAGTGAATCAATTATTTTCCTTCAATTTGATGAGCTGATTGGGAAGATGGAAACTCGTATTTGGAACAATGGTCTATATGGGGGATGTTATGTGTGAAGTATTAGTTTCGTGTCCATGAACTTATCTGTCAAGTGCTCACACTGATTATTATTGTAGGATGCATTGGAATTCTTCCTTCATTTTCTTGACCAAGTTGAGCTTGGGAATGTTGCGAAACCTGATGCTGATCCTTCAAGGAGTTTTAAGTTTGGTATTGAAGAGCGTATCCAATGTTCTTCTGGAAAAGTTGCTTATAACCGAAGGCACGATTATATTCTTTCATTGAATATTCCCTTGCATGAAGCTACTAATAAAGGTAATATTCAATTTGTTTCTTCTTTCTCACGGGATTGCTTCTATAAACACTTTGGGTGACGAGTTTAAATTTTTTGAGTTCAGAAGAATTAGAAGCCTTCCACAAAGCTCAAAAAGATTCTGAAGGGAAAGATGTGTAAGTATACATCCTATGCTTATATCGTTTATTCTTGTATAGTTGTCAGGTTTGTACTTAGAATATCTAATTTTTTTAGATCCAGCAACGAAATAGTACGCCCACGAGTACCTTTAGAAGCATGCCTGGCTAACTTTTCAGCTCCGGAGGAGATACAGGATTTTTACAGCACTGCTTTGAGGGCTAAGACCATGGCTATAAAGTAAGCTATGCTCTGGTTCCGGACTCTTTCTGAGACATGTTAATTTTGATGACTTCTTCATGGATTTTTCATCTCAATTATATTTTTATCTCCTGTTCCAGAAAAGCTGGTTTAACTTCATTTCCTGATTACTTGGTGTTGCACATGCGTAAATTTGTTATGGAGGAGGGTTGGGTTCCCAAAAAGCTAGGTATAATTATGTCATTTTATTCCTTAAAAATGCTCACTTTTGGCAGCCATTAAATTACTGGTTCCCTTATCCATATCGCATCAAATTTGTCCACCCAGATGTCTACGTAGATGTACCCGACATTATAGATATAAGTCACATGAGAAGCAAGGGCCTTCAACCTGGGGAGGAGCTTTTGCCTGAAGGTGGTATGCCTCTTCCTGGATCTTTGCTCTGTTTTCTTTTTCTTTTCCTTCTGTGGATGTAGGCTTTAAAAAGTGACATTTTATTGGAATTATACTTAATCCACTCTTATTTCAGTTGGCTATGTTCAGATCACAATTGTTGTTCACCATCTGTTATGAAATGGATATAAGGATAGCACATAATTTAGAAGAGTTCCCTATTACTATACAGCATGGGAACTTGAGATGATCTACTTACTTCTTATACATAACTTCCCATGATGCATAGGCCCTGAGACTGAGGTAGAATCAAATGAAGTTACAGCCAATGATGTTATTGTCGTCCAGCTTATGTCGATGGGTTTTGGCCATATTCCTTGTCAAAAGGCTGCAATAAACACACTAAATGCTGGCGTAGAAGAGGCAATGAATTGGTTGCTTTCTCATATGGATGACCCAGGTATATGTATAATTTGATTGATGGAGCAACACTTTCTTGGCGAAGAGTCATTTTTCCAGTAATGTGACATGAGTTGTGTAACAGATATTGAGGCTCCAATTCCCAAAGGTTCACAAGGAGGACCTGAAGTTGTTGATCAGTCGGCAGTCCAGACCTTGATCTCATTTGGATTTGAAGAAGAAGTGGCTAAGAAGGCACTGAAAGCTTCGGTAATATTTCGATGCTATGACACTATTTTGTGAGGAGTGATTACATTTGACAACTTTTGTTCACAAAATAGAACTGGATCATTAAGTACTTTTTCTTATTTGTAAATTCTCAGGGTGGTGACATTGAGAAAGCTACAGATTGGATATTCAACAATCCTGGTGGCTCTGGCTCATCTGACATGGATACTACTACTTCAAGCAGTACACCTACAACAGATACTACTGCTGGCCTACCTGATGGAGGAGGGAGTTAGTTTCTCAACCTTCTTCCTGTCATTTCTTTCTTCTCTAGCACAATTTATTGCACTGGTGGATTTGATAAAACAATCTTTCTGCAAATACACCTGACATGATAGCACGCAATTGAGACAAATTATATCTAGTCAGAAATACATTTAGCCAAACACTCCCATTTCCCCTGCCTAAAGGAAAATAGTGTTTTAGGATGTCTTTCTTTGCCTCATGTTCTTCTGAGTCTCGACCTTAGTAAATTTGATGCCTCATTACCATTTGGTGATTTTAAGGGGATATTTAACTCAGATTTGTTTCCGTTGTTTGCAGAATACCGACTATTTGGAATAGTTTCACACATCGGAACCTCAACACAATGCGGGCATTATGTTGCTCATGTTCTGAAGGACGGAAGATGGGTGATTTTCAATGACACCAAGGTCGGGGTTTCTGTGAACCCACCAAAGGACATGGGCTACTTGTACTTCTTTGAGAGGATCAACAACTGAAATCTGCCTGCAAGTTTTTCTGACTTTAGGGTCGTTATAATCTTTCAATATCAGATCAGAATAGAGAGGAATGGCTTTTTTAACTTGGTAAATACTGTTGGATAGGCAAATGCGTTAGGGCATCGTGTGGCCGTGAGTTCAAACTCAGCTTTGAAACTGCAAAATTTGCCCTTGTGGCTTGAGCTTTGCTGCTGCTGCTGCACTACGCCACTACCCCTTTTCTCATGGGTTCTTTTTCTCGTCCGTACATTTTACTGGGGAGGATGTAGTTGGCGCCTGGGAACTCTTGTTTGTGCTGGAATTCTTTCGCTGTGATTTGATTTGTCAAATCGAGCTGGTGAGCGATCATTGTCGAGATCTTTGGTGAACTGTGCTGAGATGAGTGTCAATTCTGCATCTCTCACTGTTTGCTGCTAGAGTCATTCCATGTCTGGCGGTCAACTTTCGATCAATACTATAACAGAACACTTTTCCCTTGCTCAATTGCTTACAATTCTCCCGTAGTGGTAGGTTCATGTGACACTGTACAATCTATGGACAATGATGGTGGAAGTTGAGAAGTTGATTGCCTAGGCATCACGGCGGCTGTATTGACCTATGATCTAGAACATGGGAGACTAGCATTGACCTATGATCTAGAACATGGGAGACTAGCGTCTGTTCTCCCAAGACGCCATTCGTAAGGTGAAATCTGACGGATTAGGACCTTGACATAAAGAGTGCTGGAGGGGTTGTGCAATGGATCACTGCTATGTAGTATGTGCTATCTAGTACATGAAATGGAGATCCTAATGAAAACATTGAACGGATTATATAGTGACGGAACAGAAGGTCGATAACATGAAGTGAAGAAACTGCCTGTTCCTCATGTTATTCAGTTCTCTCGTTACTAAGGGTCTGAAAAAATTTACACTGGTTGGTCAGTCCGCAGAATCATACAGAACAAGACCAACCGGGTCGTCTGAAAGGAAGAAATACAGTTGCATGCCATTAGCGTCTTGTATAGACTGATTCATATGTTCAACAAATTATTCTTCCTATGTACGAGGCATTATAGATCGTACATGAAAAGCAAGCTAGCAAAACTGAGTTTTGAGAGCAAACCGGCTGGGGAAAATTTAAGGTGCCATTAGCCCTTCAATTGTATAGGAGAGCGACTCTGCCCAGTCTACTTTGAACAGCAACGTCTGCAGAGTGCGTAAGGTGTTGTAGGTGGAATCGAGCTTCCTTTGCCACCCCTAAAGCCACAACAAGGGAGGGAGAGAGCGAGATAAGAAAGATGAGTAATCGCTATGTGCCTCGTTAGCTAGCACAGTGCAGATATTGGCTCTGAAACAACGGAGTCAATTCAAGAAATAAAATACTCACAATTGCAAACTTATGCAGAAGGTTCAAAGATGAAATTATACCTCAAGTACCAAAGTAGTTACTATCACAGTGCAAACGTGGCCATCAATGTTGACCTTATGACGTCTAACAGACTCGAGCAGCTGCCGCATGCAATCAGCAGGCTGAAATGCTTTGCCATCAAGGGAGGAGTCCCAGAAGCTGAATAATTTGTCAACTTCCTGGTCAACCAATAACAACACTTCTGTGAATACAGGAAGAAGCTCATAGAATATATTTGCAGTCAGAACATACTCAACATAGTACTTTGGTTTGCAGGGATCATAATGAAAATACAATTCGATGGTTTCTGGAATACATGGGGACTCGAACACAATGTTTGCGAACAAACCCAGGCAAGATGGATGATGCATTGTTAAAAATTTCACAATCAAAGGGAACAATCTCAGATTCACATTTGGCAGTACTGCGTGAAATGATATTCAAGCATGCAAACATCAATCAGAAGAGGCACACAACAGGCAGGAATTCAACTTTTAAGTGTGACAAATATGCTCTAGACAATTATGATGATGATCAATTTTTTTACCTCGATAAAAGTGCTGGGATCAGGGCAATGCTGCTTTTTAGATAATCTAAGAGTGCACTCTGCAGCAGTTCGTCCGTCTTGAATGGCAACTGCTTTGAAGAACTCTAGCAAATTAATTCGATCCCTCCTGCAAAGTTCAGCAGTCATTCCCACATCTAGGAAGACAACCTGAGGCTTTGGTCCAAAAAGCGGAGGTGATGATGTCCCAGTATCCATTGGCCGAACAAGAACATTACCAGGATGCATGTCTGCATGGACAAAATTGTCCACCTAACAAAAAAAAAAAAAAAAGAGATGAAAAGCATAATGTTTTTCGATTATTCCAACTCGACCCTAGTTGACAACTACAGCCAAGGGTCTTCGTTTAAATCAGCATGCAAGCAGAATTTTTATTATGTTCAAACTGAACAGGCTAAACAGCAGAAAATGTAATCTTCACACACCAAAATCCCTAAACCAGAAAAGAGATCAGTAACAGCTTTTCTTAGGTTATTTCACCAGAGGGAATACAAGATGAAACAAAAGACAATCACTACCAGGGCTTCCGTGTAAAGATCTTGCATTTAAATCAGTTGACACAAAAAATAAACCATTATACGAGAAGGATACCAGAGCAAAAATTTCATAAAAAGGGTTCCAGGAAAAAGGGGAGATCATAATGTTGTACCAGAAGCATTTTGAGAAGGGCATGCGTCCCGATGTGAGCCAGAGCACTTTTAACTCTTTCATCCCCTTCAAGCCCTTCGACATAACGCACAATACTTTCCCCTCTTTCATATGTTTCCACAAGAACAGCTGGATGAACGAGAGGGTATAAAGGTCTTGGGAATGCGACATCCTTCCAGTTACGAAAGTTATAGTTAAAACGGCTCAAATTTGCAGCTTCTCTTGCAAGATCAACTTGAGACATCATGAAGACAGCAAACTGTTGTACACTTTCATCCAGTCTCAACCATCTCAACGTAGGGATGAAATTGGAAACTTTAGCAACAAAATTTATCAATATGAAGTCTCTTCTTATTGATTGACCAACATATGGGTGTCTAACCTTAACTGCCACCACAACAGGCTCAACCTCCTCACGACCAGGATATTGGTATTTCACAACAGCACGATGAATTTGAGCAACACTTCCAGATGCTATAGGTTCCTCTTCAAACTCTTCAAAAATATCAGAAAGCCTGCGTCCAAATGCCCCTTCAATGGTATTTTTTGTGATTGAGAAACTATGTGCTGGTGCTTTACTGTGAAGTCTTGTGAGTTTAGAACACAGGTCCTTGGGAAAAAGGTCTGGCCTTGTTGCAGCCCATTGGCCCCATTTAATGAATGCTGGACCCGCCTTTTCAAGTGTCAGACAAACAATATCAAGCCAAGCTTTCCTGAACTCGGTTCCAAGGGAATCTGCAAATGGGGCCATAGCCAAACAGGGCAAGAACAACACTCCTAAGTAAAGAGCTCTTATTAACAAGATAATGCCTTCCAAAACACTTAACACCAAAGAAGCCACAAATATATGCCCATGGTAGATGGGCGTGCACAGTGAATTCTCTGACCAAAATGCATCAGCTTCTGCAGTTTGTCGACCCCAAACTAGCTCTCTTATTATGAAGGCAATAATACTCGGAGCAACCAAATTAGATCTCACCAGAGACAGGCTTATGGCACCAGCTGCCTTAGTTAAGGGAGATAAAGCCGACGACGCATTGCTACCACACACTTGAGAGAACCTCTTCCATGCAAACTGGGCATGGTTGGAAATATTCCCTGAAGTGCAAAATGAATAGAAACGTCTACAACCACTATTCTTATCAAAGTTGTGTATTAATCTATGCCTTATCAAATGGGCATCTCCTCCAATTGAATGTTTATGCCGATAGTACAAACTCCACCAGAAGAATGGAACTTCCCCATGGGAATAAGCTCCACCATAACTCAATCCTGTGGAGCTAATACATTTGTTCATCAGTAAAGCCTGTCGAACTTTCCTAAAATTTCCAACAGCAACAGATCTGCAATTACAAATACACAGAAGATTAAAACCAAAACCCCTAAAGCTCAGACCTTGAAGCCACATCAAACACCCAACCGAGAGCTGCTAACGATGTTTTAGTGCAAATTCCAGGTATGAAATATGGACTGGGAAGATGCTCAGTTCCCAAGTTCATGGAAACGGATTGATTTCTACGTTTCCTCTACCCATAATCATGAAGAGTGAATTAAGAATATCGGCAATCAAAACCAAACAAACTGGGAAAACTCCATTACTTGTAGCAAAAGAAGTCTTGTATGTATAATGAATTCAAAGCTCGCACCTTGACATGGCGATTGCGATTTTGGGGACGACGGCGGCCGGCGTGCGATCTCGGGGACACTAAGGAGATACGAGGCAGTATTGAGCATTTCTTACGAGAAAGCTCTACGGGAAATCGGCGATGTACTAATCACACCGTTGTTTTGAGGAACGAAGCCGAACGCAGCTCAGCCCTTGCGGTTGGTGGAGGCGGCGGGTGCGGTGTGGTCCGGTGAGGCATATAGCCGTTGAGGTCGGCTGACGGCGGCGTGCCTCGGACCCTTTGAGTCGCAGGAGGAAAGATACGAAACGATGGATGCAAAAACTCTGCGATAATTATGTGTGAACGGATAATTGGGGATTTATGAAATCCTTCCGAGTTCCGAAACCTCTGGTTTGTGAAACGGAAGATATTAGGGACTGCATTTTGACGCCATGGTTTCTTTTCTAGCAATGACGGCGGCACAAAACAAGGAAATGATTTTTTTTTTTTTTTGTTTTGTTGAAAATTGAAGGAAAACGGAAATGGTGAGAGCTAGCTGATTCCTATATACCCGCGTATTTTCCTGTCCTAATTTGATTCTTTCCCAGGTTACTAGGTTAGAAAGACGGACCAATGTGTACTAAACTTCGTATTAGTATCGTTTGATATAAATGAATTTCACAAATTTCAAAAAATTTATTTTGAAATGAATCATTTTTGTGTTTGGTATTTAAAAGAATTCATTTTAAATTTTGAATTCTATGGAATTGGAACTAGTTATAGCAATTTCGAGGAATTGAGATGAAATTTCCAAATGAGTTCCACAATTATTAACTGATTATAATATAATGATATAGTTATCTCCTTTTATTAACTAAATTACTTATACATATGACATACCAAACCTAGGAATTCATTTGACAATGAATTCTACACGACAATTCATATATTTTCAAAAATTTGAATATAATATACCAAACACAAGATTTTATTTGACAATAAATTCTACATGATAATTCATTTTACAATGAAATGAAATCTTGATTCATTTGGTACTAGGGATGGCAACAAAACCCGAACCCACGGGTACCCACCTGACCCAACCCGGTCAACGCGGCTAAAATCCGTGTTGACGGGTTTTGGGCCGGGTTCGGGTTTAAACCCGCTACACTATTCAACGGGTCGGGTTGGGTTTGGATTTAGGTAAACCCGCCCCATGGGTACCCGACCACACACATATAATTACTTTTCCGGTATATTTAATATTCTAAATAATATATCTTCCTTAAACAATTAATATTCTTTATGTTTGTGGAGACATATATAATTTGTTGTTTCTAATTGTCTAGAATGAAGTTGATATTATGAAGTGGAGAGTGAAGAAACTTAGTTGACGAGTAGTAAGCTTTCAATTAATCTTATTGTTTATAGATGTCTATCTTTAATTTTGAACAATTTGTATTGATCATTTGTGGTTTGCTTGTATGCTCTAGATTGGTGTTTTTTGTATGAATAATTTGTATGAGAAAATTAATGTTAAACTTTTATTTTGAAAGAAACTTGTTATTGTAAATTTTTTTACCACAAAAACCCACAGGTACCCACGAACCCGCGGATACCCAGCGGGTTGTGTTGGGTTTGAGTTTTTCAAACCCAGCGAGTTTTACCCCGGGTTTTTTGGCGGATAAACCCATGAGTTTGGGTTTGACAAAACCCGCCCTAACCCGACCCATTGCCATCCCTATTTGGTACCAAACATGGCTTTAGTTTTGGAGTGGGGCTGCCTGGGAAATATCAGTCACTCTTGGGCTCTTGGCTGAGCCTGGAGATGGTGTTGTAGCCCGGCCCAACAATATTGTTTTAAAATGGCCCGCTCAGTTGTTGTTGATTTGGTGCGCACTGGAATGTGTTTCTTCAGCTGAAAATCCTCTCTGCTTGGCGCCTCTACTGGATTTCTCTTCTCTGTCGCCTCGGAGAAGGAACACAACGAAGGCCTTTCTAGTAAGTCTCTATCCACTGTTCTTCTCTAATGCCTTGCTCCGTGTACAGGATCATGGATTTCGATTTAACTTCACTTTCTGGCTCACTGAACTGCCGCTGCTTGTTTGTGAAATACGGCGCTGCCGCTGCTACTACTTCCTTTGTTTCCTGTGTTTGCTTTGTTTGAGGAGTCGGTCTTCCTTGCCATTACCCTTGAATTCCTCATTGAGATAACCAGTAGAACTTCGCCGAGTTATATTTAGAGCTTTGGAGAAATACAGCCGAAAATTGGAGAATTAGTAGCTTGTCTATAGCAGTAGCCAGTAAATAGAGACAAAAAGTCTTGTACTTGACTGTTGGGTTCAGTGTTTTATTCTGTTGCTTGGAAGGTATTTTGTTTTTGGCTTATGTATTTATACTTCATATGTTGATGTTGGTGCTTTGTGTTTTGATACTTCATATGTATGTATAAGCTATGTTCAAAAGAGAAATGCTAACTTTGATTTGTTTTGCATCTTTCATATTGATAGTGTAGAGTCTGTAGACTCATGCAAGCTGCAGTTTTGGGAGTTTGCACTCTGTGTACAGCCTGTTTGGTTCAATTGTTCCAGTGATTACTTATGAGAATCTAAACCTGTTCAATCTCAGAGTCTAATCTTAACAATTCTGAAACACTGCATCCGTCCTTGCCTCTTCATCCACAGTATATTCCTCATGAAACTTAAGGAAGCATGAACTTCCGTCCCATGGTTTCCAAGTTCGTACATGGCCCTACTTCTCACCTTTCTCTAGCCAGTTTTCCGCCAACAAACCATTTCTGTCATTTCCCCAGGCTTGCTTTCTCCAGATGCAGTCCTGCTCTCTTCTCCAGAACCAATACTGATTCCCTTCCTTATGGACCATCTCTTTTAAAGGGCAATCTCCCACCCTCTTATTGCTCACAAGAGAAGGAACAACATCCTTGCCAGTGTAAGGGTAAGGAGGAAGAAGAAGAGGATGACGACGGTGTGATTGATAAAGAGGGCTTTACTAGGGTGTTCGACATAGCAGCAGTTCGGGTCCCTTCCAAGTACTGTTTTGTTCTTGAGAGTAGAATTCGAGGTCATTTGCTGAATTGGCCTAGAATTCGCAACATTGCTAGAGTTCCAGGTGATGACGTGGAAGAGGAAGTTGTCCATTTGTTAGGAGAGTCTCATAGTTGGAGCGGAGATGAAGAAGCAGGTAAGCTAACTTCTCTGCAAAGGAGAATTCATGGGAAAGCAGAGGTGGATGGCGAGGAATTGAGTCCAGTTCTGTACAGGGAGAGATTGGCCAAGGAATTTAATGCGAAGGGTTTTGTTAAGTTTAGGAACTTGGCAAAGATTTCACGGCCTAAGAAGACGAAGATGAAGCAGAAGGAAGGAGGTAGAGGTGGACAGGGAGAGGGAGAGGGAAGACATGAGAACAATGAGTTTGCAATGTTGGAGGTTGTGGAAGAAGGCATTGGAGATGAGTGGAAGGGCTTGTTAGGGGATGAGTTTAATGGAAGGAAGAGATGGATGGGCTCAACAAGGCTTTTGCTTTTGGATGAGAGATATGCCAACAAGACATTGGAAGGGTTGCCCCAAGCTGTCAAGGTTGCTTTCATTTGAAACTCAGTGAGTTATTGCTTTGATTGTACATTACTGTAATGGCAGTGGAATGCATCTGTCCCAGTTCCTCCATGAGATTTTTGAGGCGTGGCCTCAAAATGATTGATCATCTTCCATCTCTTTTAATGTTTTGCATATGTTGTTCGAGTTTGACAAACTGATTGCTTGGTGCTCAGTGTTCTCTAAATTTCATCTTTGTGATGATGCCAAATTTCACATTCTGTCCACGTACATCTTTCAGGCTGCACTGGAAGAAGCTATGAGCGAGAACTTAGCACATTCATTTGAGCTTGCTAGATGCAAGCTCACTTTGTTCTATGATTACTGGCTTATGAATGAGGTACTTATTCATATTCTTTGAAAGTTTCAATTCCTTCGTTGCTAGACTACTTCATCTGATAAGCATGAGCTTTCTTAGTGGTTGTCCATGGATTAGTTCAGCTTTGTGTAGATATGATATGAGTAACACAAACTACACAAGGTTGATTGACAATATTTAAGCTTCAGAAGAAATGTTAACTGAAGTAAAAACCAACATCAGTGCCTTGAGTTCGAGCTTTACTGCTGCAGAACTTTTTTATGCATGTGTATTCATTAAATGTATCCAATGCCGTGGTTGCCGATTTCTGTAAGTTAGTCTGTTGGTATCTAATGTGTCTCATCAAGCATTGCCTAAATGGCAGCTTGATGCATTGTAACTGGTAGGAGTGACGGACCCTAGGAAGTTCTAACGACCAACTTCTTGCAGATTTTGGAGGCCTTGCTCCCGAAGGATATGATTATTCCATCTGCATTTGAAACAGTCGGCCATATTGCACACCTGAACCTGAAAGACGAACATATACCATATAAGAAGATTATAGCAAAGGTGATTAGCCTTACATGTAATTCCTTATTTAGTATATTGATGTTATTTATGAAATGAGAAAACAATTGCAGATCTTTTCTCACGGTTAACTTGCTGTTCTGCAGGTTATTTGGGATAAGAACAAACCAAAGATACAAACAGTAGTGAATAAGGTTGATGCCATAAATAATGACTACAGAACTATGCAGCTTGAAGTCTTAGCGGGGAATCGCTCTCTTGTCACGACGGTAGTTGATAATGGATTGAGATTCCATGTTGATTTAGCTACAGTGTAAGATTTCTTGCTCTCTTCAGAATTTATGTTCTTCCTAACATAATATTACTTCCCTAATGCTTTTGTGCTTTGAGACACCACATGTTATCTTCAGGTTAATTTTGCTTTCATATACTCCTTTGAGCTTCAATTGTGGTCATGTGTAGTGTGCACTTGATTTGTAAGTTATAACTTGCAGTAGCTTATGTATTCCTGTTTGTGTTGAGGGCTCAAATTCAAATTCTTGTACCTTGCCTGTCATTTTAGTTTGTGGGCATGAGTTTTCAGGAGTTTCCAAACGGGTGGGTCAATTGTATATCTCCATGTATCATTTATTCTTCAGTACTAAAATATTTTCTGATGTTCTCTAGCCATTGAATGCTGTGCACATTGTATTGCACTTTTCTGTAGACATCAGAAACCCCAGTTTCTTTAAGTCTCCACCATGGTTCTCATCTTAATAATCAAGTTAGAAGCAAATCTACTAAGACAGACGACACCCTTTCATTTTCATGCAGGTATTGGAACTCCCGGCTTGCAACCGAAAGACAAAGACTTCTGCAGGGATTTACACACAAAGATGTTCTTTGTACGTCTTAGTCATTATATAAAATCCAAAGCACCTGCACAACATGGTTTCTGTTTCTCAGTGTCAGAGATTCTAGATTAACTATGTCTTCCTTGCCCATGTTCTTGAAGGACAGTTTTATTTGTTTCTTGTACCTTGTTCTTCAATATGTCTATGGTCTCTAATTCAGTTTTACAGATTTCACTTCCATTGTACTGATGAGATTTTCATTCAAACTACATAATTTCTACTGGATAGGTGACGTCTTCTCTGGTGTTGGTCCGATAGCTATATCTGCTGCAAGGATAGTAAGACGGGTTTACGCCAATGACTTGAACCCTTATGCAGTTGATTACTTGGACAGGAATAGTGTTCTCAACAAGCTTGAGAAGAGGATTAAGGTACGGCATAACTGACCCTCATGCATCAATTAAGCTAATAATTTCACCTCTTTCGTAGCTGTTAGAAGACTCTGGCAAGTGCAGCAATTCAAAATGTTGCTTGCTGATTCTGTGTCATCTGTCATGTTTAATTTGGTTTAGGGCATACTTGCAATCTCTTGCTTTGTTTTTGTTTCTGGTTTTAATGAAGAGTGAAGGTCATGCTTTTGGAAATGTCTCCTAGAGCATTGACTGGACGAATGGTGTTTTTGAACAGAGTCTTGTCCTGCGGAAAAAGGTAAAGGAACACCCTTTTCAATTTGGAAGGAGGTCCTCCCCAAATTTATAATGAGCTTTCTAGCAATATGTAGTTCGATCCTGTGAAAGTTCATGAAGTAGTTGAAATTATTATTACTTGTTTCTTAACGGAAGATGAATTTCTCATTCGTCTAGGTTTTCAACATAGATGGGAGAAGGTTCATTGATGCTATGTTCACGAGTGAGAAAGCTCAGTCAATCACCCATGTGGTCATGAACTTGCCTAAAGATGCAGTCGAATATCTAGGTGTGTTAGTACACATTCCCTTCAACCTTGTTACTTGCACTATGATTGTCTTCTTCAATTCATTTATCAAGTACTTCCACCACAGCATTTATCAAGCTGAGCAAACCCAGTAACCATATAACTTTGACTGGCGTTTCAGAATGTTTATGTGGATCCATGTATTCTGGCAGATGCTTTCAGGGGTGTATTCCGTGATAAAAGATTGAAAGAAGATTATACTTTCCCGACAATCCACGTCTATGGATTCTCCAAAGCTAAAGATCCCGAATTCGACTTCCACGAGGTATGTGCATCTATTTCAGCTCTAATGAAAGGGAAACATGAACCTCGTATTAGATGTCTGTTTCATGGCTTATAACTTTGTAATTGTATGGCATTTTATTATGGACACAACAGAGGATAAGAATGGCACTGGGAGAGGTGGGAGTGAATGTCGAGATGCGGAAGGTTCGCCTTGTTGCCCCTGGGAAATGGATGCTGTGTGCTTCCTTCCTTCTCCCTGCTTCTGTAGCATTCGCTGCTACTGATACACAACATTAACAGTATAACAATAAACAATAGATCAGCATTAGGTTTTACTTATTTGTTGCACAAAAATTGGAAACTCTGCTTAGGGACTGAAATGCCAAATGTATGCATGCCATACTGCTTCCGTCCCCATCGATGCTGTCTTCCTTCTAAAATCGTCGCTGTTGTTTTTCGAATCTACGTCTCCTTGCAACAGGGTGTGGTGTCGTGGTTAGTCACCTCGTTCTTTAGCGATTCGACTGCTGATTGTAGCTTATGGGTATCAGGGTATGTAGCAATCTGGGGTTTGGGGGGTTTTTTTCCCCTCTGTTTGCATTTCCACTTGCCCTGCTCAGGCAAATTTCAGCCATCAGTCAGAATCAAATTAATATGAACAAGGATCCAGGGTAACCTAGGATGTCGAATGTAGAATCCAATTGTTTTGTATGGGCAAGTGGTTTTTTGAGTCTATATTTTCCTCGCAGATTCCTCCGTGTGTTCCAAGAAAAGTTGGTATAAAACAGGCAATGAAGAAGCCACATGTTCAGGTTTTGATTATTACTTTCTTCAACAAATGACTGGCTCGAAACCAGGGGAAAGAAAAGATCATTGACCAATGAAAAGCAACGGAAAAGAAAAAATGGCTTGAACCAGAATACGCCAATACCATGGACTGCACCATTTTCCTGCCGGCCGTTGCACGCACAGAGTCAGCCCATTGTTTTTAGCTTTCTCCTCCTTCTCCCACCAATCCCACGGCTTTACCGAAATTCACTCCCCAAGCTACTAAACAAATGGCCGCACTTTCCATGTATATATTACCAAATCCTCTCCCTCACCAGCCACCACCGACCTTTTCACAACTCGATAAATAAACCCAGAAAAAAGCAGACCCTAGTAAAAACACAGAAGATCGAATATGAGTTCAGCAGCGGCGGCGAGCAAAGCCTGGATGGTGGCGGCCAGCATAGGCGCGGTGGAGGCGCTCAAAGACCAAGGGGTGTGCCGGTGGAATCACGCCATGAGATCGATCCACCACCACGCCAACTCCAAACTCAGATCCCTCGTCTCTCACCCGGCTAGAAGAAACCTTTCTTCTTCATCATCCTCTGCTTCGGATGGGGAGATGGCGAGCATCGGTGGAGCTGCGAGGAAAACAGAGGCCTCGTTCGACAGAGTGATGGGGTTGGGCTGTTTTGGCCCCACCACCACCCGGTTCTAGATTATGTCTTTTCTTGCAAATGTGCCAAGATCGAAAGCCCGTATTGATGCCGTTCTGGTAGTAGTAGTAGGAGTAGTTTGATGGAGGAATCTGAGCCCAATGTTTGCTCAAAGTATTGGTCTTTGGTCTCTGTAACTCGCCGGTGCTAATTTCTTTTGCCTTGGCTGTAATGTCACTATTCTTTCATCGCCGGTTCCAGCTCCAATTTATCATTATAATCATGAATCGCCATGTCAAGGGCAGAGGCTGTTTCCTCTTTTCTGTTACTTTTAGCACATCATTAGAGGTCTTGGGGCTGGAATACTACTACTTTGTAGTAATCTCTGTTCTCTTGACTTCGAGTAGTTACTGAACTATTACTTAATTCAGCTCGCTTTTCCCATTTCATAGCTTTTCAGAGCATTCTCTGTTATCATTACATAGTCATTGCACAATCCAACTTCTGAGAATTTGTAAGGATCGAGTTCTTAATTCGTTAAGATGGTTGGACAAACTCATTTCTAGATTTCCCAAATTTTTAATGGTGATGACATTGGGCAGTACAGCAGTCGATTGCTTGAACTAACTCATTGATAGATGCTCCAATTGGAAGAGAATAGGGGTGGCAATAATATTCACTAACATGGTTAACTGATGAACTCGATATGGTTAAATAGGGTGAAACTCGGATTAAATCAATTACTCGATCGTATGGATAAATTTTGAACTTGAATATTATAGGTGATGGGCAGTGGACATACATGATTTTCCTATTATCCAACTTGAACCCCCAATTATATATGGTGTCATTTTTATGTCTTAAATTATTTAGTATTTGTAATACATATATAACATTTCAAAATTTCAATGAGCCCTTACTCTTTTTATTATTACTTTTTTTATTATAACTCTTTTTTATAGGTGATGGGCAGTGGACAGACATAAATTTCCTATTATCCAACTTGAACCCACTAATTATATATGCTGTCATTTTTATCTCTTAAATTATTTAGTATTTGTAATACATATATAACATTTCAAAATTTCAATGAGCCCTTACTCTTTTTATTATTTCCCTTAAGATTGATTTTTTATAATGGATTTCTCTTAAGATTGATGGCTTATAAAATTGTAAGTTTTCACTTGTATAATGCGATATAATTGTATATAGTAGCATAATAGATGAAACAATAAAGAAAAACTATTATGTATTTATGTGTATGAGTATGAATCTTACTTACTACCCCAATGTTGTACGTGTATCGGTGTATGGATATAAATACATTCTGTAATAGTTAGAGCATGGTAACGGATATGCACTATCCTTCCACAAATCGTTGACATCTATGAAAGAGATTAAAGAATGTATGATGCTCGTGCTGAATACATATATCATTTAGCAGTCGTCAGAGAGAATGATGATCTGGCTATCAAACATACCTCTCATCAGTGATGGCTAGGTAAACCCCCTTCCAAATTTTAGATTTCCTTATCTCAGATGTGTGAATTTTGCAAAAGCACATGTTAAATACTCGCTGTCTCTGGTATATGACACAAAAGATGTTCAAGTTTTACATGACAGTGTAAAAACTTGTGAAAATTAGTGTCATTGAATTTCTAGGTTTCTCAAAAACTAGGGCGTATCCTTCTGTCACATGATGGTGTACATTTCACGAGTAATGAAGATGGGATGTGTTATACTATGTAATGAAGAGAGTTGCAAAATTGCATTTGAGGAGGGTTTTCATTTTCATTTCATTTATTGAGATATGACTTGGCACGCAAGAGTTGTAACAACTTTGAGAGTTAATACAAATGATATACACAATTCTTGGAAAATTGGTGTGAACAAGTCACACATTGCATTTACACAGAAGAATGCTATATATGCATTTAGATACACCATATTTTAAAAGAATTCTCAAAGGGACCGATGACTATTTAATATTTATACATGAATTGGCCTAATCTTGATTATGATTGGAAATACGATATACTAGAGACAACCATAAAATAAATATTACAAACAATATGTATAATTATCTACAAAATCCAAAATTTACTCAATGGAAAAACCATGTAGATTGATACCACTCTTATGTTGGGATGATACGTTGGTGGTTAATTCACGATACAACATCGATCCACCCGCAAATAACCAAACCCTAGTGAGTAATAATTGATGTGCATGGATTGTGGATCGATAAGGGATTAGTTAAGGTTAGCTCAATCAAGCGGAAACAAGTCTCTAGCTACGATGAACTTTGCAAAATTTGTTTGGCAACATTTGGGGAAAATAGACTTTGGAAGCCTTTCAAAACTTTCTTTTCCGCCCTTTACCCAAGCTTAGGCACCTAACCTGTAAAAGAGGTTTAGATGAGCTTCTTTTTCTGGAAGAATCGCTTCAGGTGCCAAAGTTGGAGAACCGAAACACTGATGCAGACACCCAATGACATAATACTGAACCAAGCTACTCTAGAGTTCGTTTTCTCACTCACAATCCTCATCTCCGATTCCCTGCATCGCAATGCAAGTAAGGGAGTTCATTAGAAGTTTAATAGCCGCATTGTAATTATGAAAGATCCATAGAAGAGGTGGTGCAAGTTTTGTACCTGCTCTTGAGATAAAGTAAGTTCTCATGGATAGCTTCCACTGCTCCTTCGAGTTTCTTCAACTCAAGTTCAACACCCTGTATTTGGATGATAGCCAAGTGTGAGAATAGGAAAAGGATAGATGTGGAACAAACAACAGGGAATATGGTTTTCAAGTGGATGTATGAACTTTAAACCTAAGTGGTCAACTTCTTCTATGGAATTTAGATATAGAGAAAGTACAATCAGAAAACAAAAGCCTCCCACCTTCATTAGGGGGTTTGCGAGAATCTTAACTTAAAGTCTTATATTGGTTACTCAACAACAGGGTCAACATAGTCCATGTTTGGCAAAGAGCATCTTTACAAGCCTGAAGAAACGTCCTAGCTAAGCACTGAGAAGTAATAAATTCTATTCGGATTAAAAGCCATACTGCAAATGGTTTTAACATTTTACCTCAATTTTCTCCTTTCTGGCAACTGTTTCCCAATCCTTTGCTGCAATTCCTGTTTTCCAGTCAAGGTTAACACTCACATCTGCCTTACTTGGATTATGCGCATCTGCCCAGAAACATGCAAGATAATTGCCAGCCTCCTGAGTCGTAAATGCAAATTGACCATGGGTAGCATTCTCCTTGTGATGGAGGTTGTTCCCATATGGAGATGACACCTAAAGAGGCACACAATCGCACATTGATGTGAGAACAACTCAGTCAAATCAGTTTATTAATTAAAGCAATCAGGAAGCAATTACAACATAGAAAGCTCACTACATCATGTTGTACAATTATTTTACTGCACTACTTGATAAAGAGGGTATCACATGCACAAAATTGCATCCTAAATGCACAAGTATATACATCAACTGACAATCAGATATATTATTAGATCTTTCACAGCTCATATGACCAATTCTCGCCATTTTAGGTTGAGGAAGATAGTTCTTTAGAGAGCGATCAATTCTTTACTAAAGAAGAGTGATTAAAATGACCAGTACAACATATAGTGGTTTCATACATATAAGGAAAGTAACTAGTACTAAGACTATACTCAATTTACTAGTCACAGGTACAAACTTCTAAAAAACTTGTCCACATAGTAGAAAATGATGCAATAGCCTGAAATGGTTGATATAACATATTGGTGCTCAAGTTCTCACTGAACATTCAACACTGCTAATCATATCATCTGTCTGCAATCTATTACATTAACCCAGATGACGTAATCTGCAAACTGCAAATGCAAGAGTGATTGCAACAACACACTGCAAAATCCAAAGAAACCGAGAAAAACCAATAATGGTGACGCCTTCTATGTTTAGATTAACCCTCACATTTGTTAGACACACACACCAGAACTTCATGGTTGCAGCATTAAAAACGAACTATCTTAAATATATTTCCTTTCTTCAGAAAGAGATGGAGTACTCCCTTCAAAAAGGAGTGACCTGAAGTGACCAAATCATGCACCAGTTTACTGAAACAAATCACTTGTAACATGAAGAAACGAGCCAATCATAGAACCGCATATGATGATTGCTCATCCCTTTCAAAACAAGAAAACCCCTAATCCCAAAGTTCTGCATCACTGTCAAATCACTTGCCATTTGTACCCCTGACATGCATTTGATGAACATTGTTGTTCATGCACTGACCAACCTCCATTTCCCTCCTCCAGCAAAAAGATATTCACTTTTTTCGCGCAATTGCAGAAAGTTCTCTAGCCCAGAGCAGGATCGGGTGTAAAGGATATCAACAATCACAATGTGCAGGGAAATAACGGGAAATCCGGTACGGTTCAAACACCGGATCCATGCAGGGAGCAAGACAAATGGAAATCAATCAGGCTTAGGCAAAAAGGGAACCGAGAATCGTGAGACCTTGACGGAGATGGTGGGGGCGCTGGAATGGTCATCGGAAACGACGACGTAGTCGGCGAGAACGACGACGTTGTTGTGGAGTTCCTCGGAGACGCATTTCGTCCCCGACGGCGGGAGATTCAACCATATCGCCTCCGTCACCGGCGCATTGCCCCAAAACGGCGATGTACACAGTAAGATGGCGAAGAAGGGCGGCAATTTCATCGTAATCATCCCCTGCCCGAGCACCTTCGGCTCTATCTACCACACGCTAGCTCTCTCTCTTTCTCCAGAAATTGGTTCTGAAATCCGCAGGATGATTTTCTTTACGGTTGGCGTTGGGATCGCTGTTGTTTCTCGCTTGCGCTCCTCGTGTCCATCTTCTGCTTCAGCTTCGCTCTCTGCAATTTCCCCCCTTTTTGTTCTTTCTTTTCTCGCTCACTATTTTGGCCATTCTCTGCCATTATTTTGGTTCCGGAAACAAGAAGAAAAGCTTTTCTTTTTCGTCTGCGGATTGTTGGGCCCCAATTTTCAGGTCCATGGCCCATGGGCATAACTGTGGATTAGAAGTGATAAGAAATGATTTTCCACATGATTGGGCTTTTTCTTCAGTCTGTTGGACGATTACTCGGAACGGGAAGTTTTTTTTTTTTTTTTTTGTGAGAAGATGGAGCGCTAGAGGGCGTCCCAACTTTTAATTAAAAGACAGAACAATCTGGTGCTGACTAACCACAACCGAGTCATAATACAACCAGTACGAAAGCATAGGGCAAGGAGTAGCGATGTTGTGATAACCCGGCGGTAGGTCGTGGCCCAAGGACGCCAAGTAATCGGCAACAACGTTACCCTCCCTAAAAACATGAAACATCTCCACCTCCCAATCCTGTGCCATATGAACAATCATTTTTACTGTATCGAAATCGCTAGTAATCATCGATCAATCGCCAGTCAGCCATTCGACGGTGAAGTCGTTCCTGGACCTTGTAAAAAGGTGTGACGATTCACAATAAGACGGTCAACAATGTACAATCTGACTAGTACATGATCACTATCAAGAGTTCAACTGGAAGCAATGTATTGACATAGTTCTTGACATAACCACAATGTACAGTCACAGAGAAAGTGTTAATGCTTGGTTAAAGATGAACACACACACAAACACACAATCAGATATACCTGGAATCCTTGGATTGCTTTAGCTTAGCTTTTCAAGAAGCCGGCTGAGATGAGTCGATGCCAGCGATCCGAGAATCCGAACCACCTTAGGCAAGGTAGGATAAGTAAGGGTTCCGAGGATGAAGCAGTTGAAGCTCAGGAGAGCAACAGCATCGTAAGCCGGCTTGTTCCTGATCGTCGAGAAGAACTTCAACACGTTCCTCATCGACATCCCCACGACGGTGTAGAGAGCCACCACCAGCGGCATCACCGTGTCCTTCCCTTCCCACACGATCATCCCAACGGTTAGAGACAGCACCGCGCTTAGCACGCTCTGCGACACCGCCATGTCTCTCTGCTCCATCAACACTACCTCATCACCACCCACCGCGTCCGAATCCCCTGCTTGTTCAGAAATGTCAGCAGCATTCTCATCAGCAATGTGCTTTCTCTCATCCTCCTCCCCTGCATTGCCTCCCAAGGTGGTTCGTAGCTGCTCGCGCTGGATCGTCTTTAACCGATGATTCTCGACCTTCAGAGTATGCAACTGCTAAGAGATGCACACACAAAAAGAAGCTAATTCATCGATCTTGGCCGCGCAAAGTAGTCAAAATCGCGCTTTACTAGGCAAAATCATCATCACAAGTAGCAGTACTGGGTGATCATATTCATACCAAAAAATAATCCAATTAATTACCTCCCTCTCCATCAGTTCAAGCTTGGTTATCAACTTGTCACTTTCATCTTCAGCTTCTGCCAACAACGAATCCAAGTTCTTGCATTCCTTAATCGCAGCCCGGAGGTGATCTTCCAGTACCTTCCTCTCCCAGCTGACATTCTCCAACTCTGCCTGCACAACAGCCAGCTGCTCCTCCAACTGTACAATTAAATCGAATCATCAGAACAGAGTATACAACATTGATTGGAGTTCCGTAGCACATTCAACCAATAAACAGAACGAGAGAAATTAGTCAAATTACTAACCATTCTCTGCCTGCCCAAGGCGGTCAAAACCCGAAAGGGAAGAGAGGCAAGAGCGATGATGCAAATGACGGCGCTCCTGAACAATCGAAGATGCAAGCTGATTGAAGCCGCTATAAGCTCTGCCCATGTGTTGATGACGAGGAACGCGGCTCGGAAGGCGAACACGAACAACGAGAGGCCCATTGAGAAAGGCTTGGTGATCGCCATTGTCATGGTAGTGGAGACCATGCTGGTGAAGAGTGCCGCCACATCCGCCATGACTGTAATTGATTGATTTACTAACTGTTTAGCTGCAGGCAGGGTTAAGCACAGAGTATGGAAAGTAAAGAAAACAGAGGAAACTGGCTTATTTCTGTGGGGAGCTGGAACCCAAGTTTTGGAATTGACTCACCGAGTAAAAGTTCGAGCAGGATTAATTTAATTCCCGGTCAGTTGAGAGAGACGTGGGAAGAAGTAAGGAACGGTGAGGTTGCCGGCGGGTTTCTGGACGGAAAACATCAATTATCTGGTTACCGGTAAAGATATGGATCACGAGTATAGAGAGAGAGAGAGAGAGAGAGAACCGGTGAGTTTGGCGACGTCAGCTAAATCAAGCTGCTGCTGGTTGCTCGTTTTCTTGTGATTCTGCATGGGATGTCAGATGTGGCAGCCATGGAGACTGCCACGAAGAGATGAAGTGTGCCAATTGCCCATACTGCCATGGTTGGATTTATCGAATCCCAGGATTTGTTAAATCAAGACAATGGATTTGTTAAATCAAGATAATCTACAAAGAATATAGATAGCATATATAGCTTGTTTCCACCCCATTCAAATTCTACGGCAACAAGATTGAAAGAAAAAAAAAAAGACATATTAGGAGTTGATCAATGATCATCTTCAACAATGATAAGCATCTTAACTAATCAAATTACATACATTAATTGTATGATTTTAAATTAAAAAAACACACAAGAAGCTAACTGATTTGAGCACCGGGCCACTTCAAAACGATGTTGTTTACAACAATTTGTATACGATACTACGCTGTCATATCATCCTTTTACTTACACACAAAACACTACTACATTGAACATCACAGACCATGTTCGACTATCTCATCGTCGCTTCTTCTTGCTTTAGATTCGAGAGCCTATAGAGACCAAACCATCTCAAAAGCCATCATAATCCCGCAATAGTAAATTTCATTTTTCTCCAACTGCACATTCATAGAGCCAGTCGACCTCATCTCATACATATAAGAAGCAAAAAATTATTAGAGGAACATGCATTTGAGTTGAAACTTTGTGTGACTAATAGAGGCCAAATTCCTCGTTGTAATTATAGTTTAATACTTAATTAAATTCCTATATATCTTATAAATAGATGATAACTTTAAAATCGTGGCTCAAATATCATTGGTTCGAATATTCCATATCGAATTGAAGTATTGAATATGTAGAAGTGATGTATAATTCTTAAATTAGTATTAAGTTTTAGACCTACTATGAAACAATCGTACGCGGACATGTTTGATGTAAAAAATAGTATTATTTTCCACTTTTTAAAAGTTCTATATTCAACCCAATTGATCAATTTTTTATGTATAGTTTGAAACTTTTTCTTAGATTTTTACAATATGATCTCAATCGTTTAGATCCAGCGCATCAATCAACCTCTCGACGACGAGTTTATCCGGTAAAACTGGACTGACTGGGGGGAGGGAATCCTGCACATTCTCAAGGAACAGGAACTGCAGATCAATTGTCAACATAGAGGAAGTAGCTTGGGATGCGTTTCCATGTTCGCATCTTTGTTAATCTCCATGCTAACATATCTACCAATTACCATAATGAATCCAGTAGGAATAACATCATCGTAGGTTGAAAGTGAGGAATCAAGAAGATAAGGAATATTCAAGTGAATCATTCAGTAGTCTGAACTGAATACTAACTTCCTGCGCAGCCTGCAAATTGCTTTCTCTGCGACTGTCTATTCAATTCAAACGAATGGCACAAGCAAAAATGGAATCTCAGTAGCAGGAGGTGGCAGTAGGTTTGCTTTATGTCTCAAAAAACCGAAGCTCCACCATGAACTCTCGCTGCTTGGGCGAATACCACGCAATTGCCTTAGCTGAACCAAGGACTTGTAGCGCATACTCGAGTGCAAATACCGGATCATGTGCCTGTGCATACCAATTCGTCTGCTTGTTCAACCCCACAGTTACCCCAGAGTCAACTCTGAAGCTAAATGGCCCGACAATCTGCAATCAAAATGATCAGTTAACTAGGACGCCAGCACCTTGATGCAGTAATCATCAAAGGATGATGAAACAAGAGGAAACCGTAAGTGCGTTTAAGATTCTGTTACCTGCTGTTGAAGAGAAATAGTTGCACTTGGGCAAATGGCTTCGAGTGCTTTATTAGTAGGTTGTTGAGAGTTGACGAAATCATGTGCTAATTGAGTGGCACCAGAAAGAAATTTGCGGCCAGAAGGAAAATTGAGGCGGACATGGAACCGTGTGAGATCTAGGAACCACTTCTGGAAACTCCCATGCTGGGCCATGAAAGAGACAGATGAAAATAAGTCAGCGTGAGCTGCTGATTTAAGGGCATGAGATCGATAGGAGAATCCTGCTGCAGGGCACTGCGAATCATCCACTTCCGATGCAACCGAGTTGTCTCCATGAGAGGCCGTCATCACAGCACCTGCAAGACTTGAATATTAGGCTGGTTTCTAAACTAATTATGCCTTTTCTTTTTTCACAAAAAAAAAAAAAAAATCAAAGGTGCATGATTTCCAAGTTCACAATTATTGGCCAGCCACTTAACCAAAATCAAAGTGAAGAGAAAGGGTGAAGAACTTGAGCTATACCAATGATACCAGATGCCGAAACATGAGGAGTAGATAGGAAGATGTCAAATGGTTGCACCATCTTCAACTTCTTAGCTTCGCTCCTCCAAATTTCTAAATTTTTCTTGAAGGAGATGGCATGTCTGAGGGTAATACCAGGTAGCAGGGTAGCAGGAATCGTCTTTCCATGGTTTTCGTTGCCACCTTCAAATAGCTTTGGCAATCCAGCAATATGACGCATACAGAAATGGTAACTGGCACCCGAGCTGGAAGGAATGGATGCAAGATCAAGGGCCAGGGACAAAGGTACATCCCAATAGTTTCCAGACTTGTCCAGGAAGAGGGAAGGGGAAGCTGCCTCCAAAGTGAGATTGTGATTGGGGAACTGGCAAAAACCAGAAGAGTTCAAAAAAGCAAACCCAAAGCTTCACCTTGGGAGAAAAGGAAAAAAAAAACAGCCAAGGCCCAAGGATAAAAACAGGTTTAGAGAAATCAGAAATGGTATCTTAGCTAACCTCATGATGGAGAACTGCCTTGCGACGAGGTGGCGTATCATCATTGCCATTTGCATCAGAGCTGAGAACAAGAGTGTCTTGAGGGGTTAGTGAAAGCTCGGAATAGATGCCAAGTGCGTATAAGGATTTGTCACGGAGACATGCACAAATGGCAGGGATGAGGGATGAAGACTGGGAATCAGAAGATTGAAGCAAGGTTCTGCGCTTTCTAAAGGAGGACACAAACTTGTGAAGATTGAATTGGCCTTGCAACATGGAAAACCTGTGAACACAAATAAACAAGACAAAAGATATAGCTCCATTGTAAAATCTGAGGTGATCCATGTTCTATAAAAAGAAATCGATAAATAGCTGGGTAAAGGCGTTAGAGAAGCAAGAGAACTGAGATGATTCGATAAGATAATACCAGTCCTGAGATAAAGGGATAGCTAGACAACGTTGGAGATTAAATGAGTGACTGCTGGAGGCTGGAGAGTAGGAATAGGAAGGCAGGAAAGGAGCAAACATGAACCGCTGGAAGAAATCAGTCTGCTTAGGCCTGGACAGCTTCGTCCCTCGGGAAACCCCAAGAGGGAGAGGATGTCCAGGTACTGCCCTAGTCTCTCCTTCTAGGGTCACTGGAGTTGAGATGTCTAGGTCCCAAAACCCTCCGTCCATCGCCCATCTTAGCTTGTTCATTGTGCCCATTTCCAAACTCCTCTGTCTTGTGCTTCCACTGCTCTGCTGTTCCTTAGTTCTTCATCCACTCTTCCCATCCACAAAGAAATGCTGCTGTTCCTTCGTCTGATCAAAACCAACTTACTCCACCTTTTCATCTACATGACATCAGATCCTTCCTCTTCTGGGTGTTGATAACCTATATGAAGCAATCAAACACTTCTTGAACTAGTCCATTGAAAACAGAAGAACAATCACATTTTCAAATCATTGAACCTAGTTGGAATCTAATCAAACCTCAGTTTCTTGAGCTTCCCCAATACAACCATTAGTGCAAGTTGCTTATGAGACGATCAATTCCCCAAACTGCCTAGACTGGCATCAACTAGTGCTTCCTCGAGGGCAAAGAAAAGCAGACAGTACCACACAAATTATTTCTAATATCCATCAGCAAATCTCCCAACATTTAAACAGAAAAAGAGACAGCAGCATGAAGAAAGGAGCAGCAAACCAAGAGCAAAGATTCGAACTTTTATGGATAAGTAAGCGAAGATTCAGACTTTCAAAGACCTACATAGGTACATATGCAATTGGCATAAGAGAGTAGCAGTGAAGTATATAATAGCAGGAGTGAAGTGCCATAAAATTTTTCTACCAGCAATTGGGATATCGTAAATTCACATCAAGCCGGGAAGGAGAAAGACAGGCCATCAAAAAGTGCGCGAACTGAACAGGGTTTTTACCTAACAGCTGCTGTTCCGCTAGAACAGATTGATGGGAGTGAGCTCTGCGTGCGATTCAGGGTTCTGAAAGGCGAAACGAATGGGCAAAATTGTTGGAGACCGCGGAAGCAATTCAAACTCGCAATGGGCCAGCTGGTGAGAATTTAGCTATGGGGGAATGAAGAAGACAGAATCAAATTGGAAACCGCGAAAGGGAACCTGAAAACTCTGGAGTTGGCGCTGCTTCGTGTCAATGAGACGGGCTCTCCCCGGACTTGTGGGCGGGAAGAAAGAGAGTAAAAATGTGTGTTCTCGGGAGATAGCGTCACCGTCATCGTTATAAGCGACCAGCTACCATAGCGACGGCGGAGAGATTTAAATAACAATTTGATCACTAAATTTGTTGTCTTTTGCATTTTCAATGCGGAATTTGTTCTTTTGAATCATATAATCACCATAGGGCCTAAACTAGTCCTTTTTTTGTTTTTCTTGTTTTTTTGAAAGTGGCCTAAACTAGTCCATGTTATCCATCAGCCTAGGCCAATATTTTGTTTTCGGAATAGTTGGCATAGTCACATGGCTAAATTATCATATCAAATTGATAGGAATCCACGAATTTTAACAACCAAACGGAAACTTTTATTTCGATGTAGCCACCAACTTACTTCATCATTAATTATCACGCAAATGAAAAACCAACCTGATAAAACATCAACAACTTCAAATTGAATCGGTTTCTGGGCTTCTGGCCAACGAGAATACCACGCAAGTTACTAAGACACTATCAATTTAATTAAGTACAAATAGGTTTCGAGGAAATGAAATTAATGATGGGAAGAAGAAATTAGAAGAAAAAAAACTGCATCCTTTACGTAACCCCTCAGTCAAGTTATCTATCTATCTCCATTATTTTCTCTCTGCTGTCCAACCTCTCTGTTATGGGATTATAGGGTGAGATCTGTAGAGGCCGCAAGAAGAAGAATGTTGAGGACCCGACGCGGCGGCGCGTTTCCTCCGCCACCACCATTTCTCGCCACCGGCTGCCTCCTCCTGCTGCTGATACTTGAGGATGCGTCGGCGGCGACGGAGTCGATGATGTTGGACACCGGAGGGCTGAGCAGACAGAGCTTCCCAAAGGGTTTCGTTTTCGGGGCCGCCACGTCGGCGTATCAAGTGGAGGGCATGGCCGACGGAGACGGTCGCGGGCCAAGCATTTGGGATGAATTCATTCACTCCAAACCTTGTATGCGCTGATGGATTAAACATGAGATATGCTTTCTGTTTTTTTTTTTTTTTTATGAATTTGTTTTAATGAATGTTAGGTTCAATAGTTCCACAGGAAGGTACGGTAAATGCGTTATCATATTCGTATTATTATTACGCCAAAAATTTCAATCGTTCCGATAAATTCTTCTCTTTTTTTTGTGTGGTTCTTTCGAGATAGATATATATATATATATACTCATTTTTCAACAAGAATTTGGTGTAGTGGTACAATTAGTGGTCTCTAAAACTGTTGTTGTGCAATGTAGCAAGAGTGTCCGGCAAAGCTAACGCAGACGTTGCAGATGACCAATATCACCACTACAAAGTACGTATTTCTTTATTTTTTTTTTGTCAATTTTATTGATTATATTTTAAATTCGGACTACTCTGTTTGTAATATAAAATTCAACACAGTTTTTTTAATAATTATAATAATAAATACTAATATACACATATATATATAACGATGGTACATAAAAATTAATTATCTGCATGGGTACAGGAAGACGTGGATATCATGGCCAAGTTGAATTTTGATTCCTACAGATTTTCGATCTCATGGTCAAGAATCTTCCCAAGTAACACCACATATACTCGTTCATCTTTTTTAATCTAACATTTCCTTCAATCTTCCTCATCAGCCTCGTGAGTCGCTGGGTAAATCTGCTGACACTGTTAATATATCCACAGATGGAACTGGGAAGGTGAATGAGAAAGGAGTTGCTTACTACAACAGATTGATAGACTACTTGCTTGAAAAAGGTACGTTCGTTTGAGCACGTTCGATTCGCGATATGCAACTGATCAGCTCTGCTACTATGCTCATAAGTTATCGATTGTATCGCGGTATATATATATATATATTATTTCGTAGGTATCACTCCTTTGGTAAACGTATATCACAATGATTATCCCCTAGCACTCGATAAAAGATACAAGGGTCCCTTGGGCCGGCAATTTGTGTAAGTACTCGATCGATCGGTATTTTTGATTGCATATACATTCTTCACTTTTTTTTCTCGTAGTTAATTTGGACTTTTTTTTTTTTAATCTTCTGGCAGGAAGGATTACAGCGAATATGCAGATTTTTGTTTCGCGACATTCGGAGACAGAGTGAAGAACTGGACGACGATCAACGAGCCTAGACCCATCGCCTCCCTAGGGTACGACGTCGGTTCGTTCGCTCCGGGGAGGTGCTCGAAGGCCATCTTCAACTGCTCCGCCGGAGATTCTGCAACCGAACCTTACATTGTTTCACACAACTTGCTCTTGGCTCATGCTGCGGCTGTCCATATCTACCGCACCAAGTATCAAGTCGGTCTCTTTTTTGCTCCTCCATTCATTCCTATACCTAGCTTATTAACTTACTTTATAGTATACAGAGTCATTTTGACGAAACCACGTGTCATTACAGGAGAAACAGAAGGGAAGGATAGGAATTCTCCTCGATTTCCTTTGGTATGAACCACTCACCAGAGGGAAAGCTGACAACTACGCTGCTCAAAGGGCACGAGACTTCCATATTGGATGGTATGTACGTAAAGTAGATGCATACTTACTTCCTGTTTAATATTTGGCAATAAAACAGCTTTTGGAAACAAAATTTGTTTCACCGTTTTCAACTAATTTGTGTTGTGTTGTCAACTCATGTTGGCACCACAATAGATAGAAATAGAACTAATTAAACATGTTTTCATTCTCTGTCTCACATGTAAAAACTGAAAAATGATACTAAACTGAGTCTGAGATTTCTGTTAGCTATGGCGTTATCATGCTTTGCTCATCTTTTCTTTCCAGGTTTCTTCACCCCTTGGTCTATGGGGAGTATCCGAGAACGATGCGAGAAATCGCCGGCGAGAGGCTGCCCAAGTTCACGGCAGAAGAGGCGACGACGGTGAAGGGCTCGTTCGATTTCGTCGGCATCAACCAGTACACAGCTTACTATGTATCGAATGAAACTAAGGAGACGCCCAAGGAAATGACTAGCTACCAGGCCGACTGGAAAGCTAAATTTTCATGTAAGCAAAACCCTACCAAGAGTGTAACTAATTTATGTCCTACATAGCGGAGGAATTTTTCATTGGCATAACATGAAATTGATGCACTAGCTAGCTAGACTCTTCAATTTGTACTAAAATGTGGTTTCATTATTCTGATTTTGCATGCAGTTGCAAAGAATGGAGTCCCAATTGGTCAAACGGTATGGTTCGTTATACTCATCACTTTCTTCTTCTTACAATTGATGAGAAACTATCTAATTGTTCGGACTGAAAATAACAAACTGCAATAATTTTCACGATTGAACTTAAATTTTAGAGAAAGGGACTAATAGATCTCATCCAATCACTTTTTAATGTTTTCTCAATATATAAATACATGCATTATAACATTAGATAAAAACAAGTTGAGGAGTCTATAGTCCGTTACGTACTACACATAGCTCTTCCACGGCTTCTCATGGTGTTATGATGTCATACCACGATCGGTATGAAATCGTATCAAATTGGTAAGATTTCGTATCTATGTGGTAATTAAGACGCGCGTGAGACTATAAAGCGTTAATACAAATCATGACTCTGCCCCTGATATTAGAGATCATCAGTTTATATGAAACCGTCCGTAGCATATCCAAATACACATCTTCTCCATTTTTCCACCAAGAAAAACAAATCTTCGCTTTTGTTATTTTTTTTGCAGATCCCATCGTCCGTTTGGATCATTGACGTGCCATGGGGATTGTACAAATGTTTGATGTACGTGAAAGAGAAGTACGGCAACCCCACCGTCATCTTATCCGAAAACGGTGAGCCCTTTCGACAAGTTAGGGTTTGGAAAACACTACCAAACTATCGACAGTACTAATAATATACAATGCTTTCCACGTACGTACGTACGCCATGCATGCATGCATGCATGCAGGTATGGAGGAGCCTGCGAACGTGACGCTTCCGAAGGCACTGCACGACACGACAAGGATAAGGTACTACAAAGGTTACCTGAGGCAGCTGAAGAAGGCCGTCGACGACGGAGCCAACGTGGTCGGATACTACATTTGGTCGCTGCTCGACAACTTCGAATGGGCGACGGGTTACGACTCGAGGTTCGGGATCGTCTTCGTCGATCGGAGGGATAGTCGGCTCAAGCGGTACCTGAAGATGTCGGCGTATTGGTTCAAGAAACTACTCCAGCGCTAGATATATAGCTAGCTAGGCTCTGTATGTATATCAGCAGACAAAAGAGAAAGCATATTCCTGTACTGACTGTTGAGAGAATTAATAATCAGAACCCTAATCCTCATCAACCTATTGAAGATTTGGAATCTTTTTCTTAAATTTGATTTTATTGTCATCACTTCACTCAAATACACTTTTATTGAATTTTTTTTTTGTTGGATTTGAATTGATCCAATTTGGATCGGACCCAAAACAATGAGTCTATTTGGATTCAGTTAATTGTAAAAAAAAAAAAAATAATATCAATCATTTCATTAACTTTCTTCAACCCAAGTACACCTTTAGTATTGGTGTTTTCCAAAAAATAAGATAAAAGACTACATAAGAATTGGATGTTATTTTTTATATATATACAATCATATAAATCTAATATCCAAATTAAAAATTTGGATATGAATATTATCTAAAATTAAAATTTAAAAAAATTGAATTGACCTATATATAATAAGTTGGGTTTTATTGGTTTTTTTGCCATAGAGAAGCACATTTCATAGAGAAAATGAACAACAGGGAAGGACAGGTTTTCGTGGGCTGCTCAATTCCTTTGGGCCCACTTGTCATGCTTGAACAAACACCATGGGCTAGCTGCTCATTTCATTCGGGCCCATTGGCCTATTAACCCCAAAAATTATTGGGGAATTTTCGGGGATTAATTAACCATTACCCATAACGTTCATTTGAAACGTTTGTCCATGCATGGACCGATCATAAGTTCATAACCGATCATGAAGTTGTAAGTTTCAAAAGCAATACGTTGGATCGAATATAGGCTTAATTAATTAATGGCAGCAGTTTAACGTCATTTTCTTACCGTGCTTGTAGATTATACATGTTAAATAATTTACCGTATGCATCATGGTTTTTGCTCCAGCCTTCTCCTTCCTCTCTATTATTCTGCCCGTTTTGATCTTTGGTTAGTTCTTCCTAGCTAATCGATCTTATACATTTCTTCAAAAAATTAACCCTATTTATGCAAATTTTCTACTGAGACCTTAAAATTTTGACCTACGAACCAGTTGTTGCTAGGTTTTGAGTATGTGGCCGCTCTGTATGATTCATGCACCCTCTATAGGTTGACAAATTAAGCTACAAATCCTGATAAAAAAGAGAGTCACGAAATCAAGACGATGATGAAAAACAATGACTTATCGATACTGAGGACCGCCGCCGGCAGATTCAGCAGACATGAATATAAGATCATGTTTGGAACCGCGACGGCCATGGCTTGCTTCATCTTTGTTGGAATTTTCACCATCTTTAACGCCCATCCGCAAGGTCGGAATTGAACCCATGCATGCCTTGTACAGACGTGATCACTAGCGTAGTACTATAGATTATACGAAATACATCGTCGAATAACGTAATAATTTATCGTAATCCAGTTACGTTTGCTCTCACATTTTAGTCTCATATTGATATTGATTTTTTCCTCTTCTTTTGCAGTGGATCTAAAACCGTCTCCTGTAGTTGCTGACGTGACTAACAAGAGTAAATGTTATGCAATATGCATTCTTATAAAAAAAAAAACTCATTAATTAATTCCAAGTACCTACTAAATCTTACGCTAGATTACATTTTGATCCCCAAAACTTCTGTTTCTTCTCCGGCAGGTTTAGGGCTTGTGCAGAAACGTCAGAACAACACCATAACGCCGATCACATGCAGCAAGGGCGGAAGATCGGAGTTCTGCGACCTAAAAGGAGACATTAGAATCGACCCTTTCTCGCCAATCGTCTACTACCTCGTCCCATCGGAGACCAATCCACTGGTCATGGCGGCCAGCTACCTCCACCCTCTGTCCTCGTTCACCGTCAAGCCGTACGGGAGAAACGACGACACGGTGGCCATGGCATCCGTAAGGCAATGGTCGATCCGATTGGTGCCGGAAAGCAACCCGAGCGTCCCCAATTGCTCTCGAGTTCATGATTCTCCAGGGGTTTTGTTCTCCTTGGGTGGATTCTCACTCAACTTCTTCCACGCCTTCACCGACGTCATCGTCCCGCTTTTCGCCACCGCGAGGCCTTTCAACCGCGACGCCGAGCTGCTCGCGACCGACTACGAACCCTGGGTGGCCTCCGTGCACAAAATCGTAACGCAGGCACTGTCCAGGTACCATTATATGATGTTTCATTTTCTTCATCTGTTCGTTTAACTTGTTAGTGTCATAAACCAAATGATCCTAATAATTCGAAATATTGTGAGATACCTAAGTATAAATTCTAATCATTTTCTTACGTGCTCCCTCTAGATGAAAACCAACCCATGGTGGATTTGAATTTCGCGCAAGCCAACTATACCATGTGCTTTAAAACAACTGTTAACATTGCGGGTCGTGAAGATTCAAACACATTACCACTTAACTAAACCAAATCAATTCCGATACCATATAAAAAATGAAGTTGTCCCATTAACTGGAGTTGTTGGTTTATGACATGATGTCAGAATTGGCATGTCTTTGATGTCACGCGTGTTTAAGTCCTCATCATGACTCCAAATATTAATGGTTCTCTTTACAGCACATGGTATGGTCATCATGTGTAAATTTCAAATCTGCTAGTTGAATTTCATCCGAGAGAGCGCGTGTAAAGAAGCTATTACGTAAATATTATGCATGGACTTTTGCCAACAAACTCGGATTATATTGAGACCAGTTGGTTTGCGAATTATATTACCTTGCCTTACATGTTCCATCACTTTGTGCAGGTACAACGTAGTAAACATCGACGACGAACAAAAAAGCGGGAGAGAAACGCATTGCTTCTCGAGCCTAACCCTAGGGTTAAAAGGCCGTGGCAAAACTGAACTCAGCATCAACTCGTCGGAATCTAATTACACCATGAGAGACTTCCAACAGTTCCTGAAAACCTCCTACAACCTCAAGAAAACAACCGCAATCAAACTCCAACGACCCGCCGCCGCCGCCGCCCGTCAAAAACCACGGCTCCTGATCATTTCCCGGATGCACACCCGAACCTTCACAAACGTCGACCAGATAGCGAAGCTGTGCAGGGACGAGCTCGGGTACGAGGTGACGGTGGCGGAGCCGTACGAGGACACGTCGAGGTACGCGCGGGTGGTGAACTCGTGTGACGTCATGGTGGGGGTCCACGGGGCCGGGCTGACGAACATGGTCTTCCTGCCGGAGAAGGCGGTGGTGATCCAGGTGGTGCCGGTGGGGCTGGACCGCGACTCGGCGGCGCTGTTCGGGGAGCCGGCGGGGGGGTTGGGGGTGAGTTACTTGGAGTACAAGATAGGGAAGGAGGAGAGTAGCTTGTTTGACAAGTATCCGGCGGATGATGACGTTTTTGAGAAGCCGTGGGTGGTTGAGAAGCGAGGGGTGAAGGTGTTTAGGTCGATTTACTTCGATAACCAGAATGTGACGCTTGATTTGAGGAGGTTTCGACCCACGTTGTTGAGAGCTTTGGAGCTTTTGCGTCAATAATGAATTTTTTTTCTTGGGATGAGTTGATCACTTTAGTGGTTCTTTGATTTTAAGTTATTTAGTTATTAAATTCGATATTAGATGTAATCTAGTGCGGTTTATTTCTTTAGTTTTAAGTTAGCTAGTCAACAAACAAAAATTTGATTTAGTGATAATATCATTAGTCTTGAACCTAGCTAGAGGTTCCAGGTTCCTATCCTCTAAGTAGTACACTAATCACAAAAGGGTAAACTTATATCACGTTCACAACCCACTCATGCACTCCAGAACCAAGCATATCTCTATTGATTTGATTACCATTTCGTGCGAGAGAAAGTCATGCTTGGTGATCCAACACCTACCTATTCCAGCATCCCAACGCGTTGATCCAATATTTCTTCACTTAAGAAAGAAGACCAGTAGCCAGCCAACTGCACCCTTACGAAGATAAAAATAAAAAAGCGAGCTAGCTATGGTAATTATAATTGGTTTATTCATTGAGATGATATTAAAGTTTTTAACCGAGAGGTTTCGTGTTTAATTAACTCTTTATAACGATCCTTAATAAAAATTATGATTTAGAACAAGAGATGATGTTTATATTGTAAATGGTTTATTCTTTAATTATTTAAAATGAAACCAGATTATATGATTCTTCGGAATTGATAAGATCACTCTTGTTATGAGATCGAGTCATCGGAAGTATATATTGAGGAATTTTGTGTTTGTGGATTGTTTATTATTTTCTTTCATTAATTCATATTTCATTTTCTTAGGACTTTGGGCTAATTGTTATATTAAGTAAGATTGAGATTTCATTTTTATTCTTGTTTAGGTAATTATAGTTTGAGTAAGAAAGGGAGGGGGTGGCCGACGGTGCAGAGGGGAAGGAGAGGAAGTTTAGGGATTTCCCTAAACTAAAAATATGTAATCTTATATTATGATTAGTGCACAAGAATAGTTAGATTATCCAAATTGCTTTTAATATTTTAATTTCTTCTTCACATTGTCATTTTCTTTGTTCCAGTTCAAAGTTCTTGTTAATTAATTACCTAACAAGTCCCAACAATCTCCCTTGGTGATTTCAACCATATGTGCCTAGTTTTTGTACATTATATCGGTTGTGACTGTACATTGCATGTGGTGCGTGCAGTGGCTATGTAATGATTAATGATGTGGTATATAATGGTTAAAGAATGAGTTTAATAACTAGAGTTGTTGGAAGGTTATTAATTATGGATCATATACTAATTGTTAATTAACATGCATACCTCCTCAAATGAAAGCAAAATTGATAATAGTTTTAAGTTTGTACATTCATCAGAATACTATACCATTGTGTAACAAATGGGATCACAGGATTTGAACATAAGGTCTCCCGATCACAACAGACTCAGATACAATGTAAAAAAAAAAACAGTTGATCCCAATAACTCAATTTCTTAGAAGATATTCAATTATAAATCATATACCACTTATAATTAATAATAACATAATGAAACACTATATATGTATAACCTTAATTAAAACTGCACTTGAATGACAAAACCTGTGGAACTTCATGCATTTATAAAGTAGAGTTCAATAAATCCAATCCAACCGTTGCTGAAAAAGGTAAAATGGTACGGTTCTACTAATTAATCTGGCTAGCTAATTAATTAAGTAATTACACGTTTTAAAATGAACAAAACGCCCAGGTTGGAGATGATTAATCAGTTTGATGTTTACTTAATTACACTGATAAAACAAAAGAGAGAGGGAAGAAAGCTCCTGATATTGGTTGGAATTTTTCTCCAAGAAAAAAGAAGAAGAAGATGGGAGTGTTGGTGGCAGCTGATACCACCTATTTGGTGGTTGTTATTATGGTACTCTTCCTCGTCACTGAGATGGGGATGGCCGGAAAATCGAGTCTCACCGGCCGACCTGATCAGAATGTTAGTCGAGCCCAGTTTCCTCCGGATTTCCTCTTCGGAGCCACCTCCTCGTCTTATCAGGTGATCGTTTTTTCCTTTCGTCTCCTTTTATTTTCTTCTTTTTGGTCGAAACTGTACTGATTTCCATTTCTTGTATAAGAAACAACAGTGGCGGAGCCAGAAAATTGGCCAAGAGGTGTCTTTATCATATCATAAAAAATCACATATACAGTAGAAAAGTCAAGTTTAAATGGAAAAAAAGTCAACAACACAATACTCTAAATTCATACAATTACATTAAAATAGTTTCACCTACATAGGTTACAACGTCACACAAATAAGTTTAGGGGTCGTTTGAAGGTTGAGATTTGAAGTGAGGTATTTAGCAAATACATGTAATGATAAGATTAAGTCGTTTTTTTGGTTCACTTTGAGTTAGAATGCATGCATTACCTTTTTGTTGGGCCCACCTACAATCACTCAAAATGAATGATTATAAGGGCTTGTTTGGAAGTTGTGATTCTTCAAATTGATGTATTGAGACAATTAGTGTATTATCATTTGATGTATTGAATCAATTGATGTATTAGGCAAATATCTTGTTTGGAGGTTTAGATTGTGTTTTTGTTCTAAAGGTAAAAAGGTTAGTTTTGAGTGATTGTGAAGAATCTCAACAAAAAGTAGAGATTGTAAATCCCTCAATATTGAGTGATTGTGGTGGGGCCTCCAAAAAGTAAATGCATGTATTCTAGTTCTATATAAGTAAAAAAACGACTTAATCTCACAAACACATGAATTAGATAAATACACCATTTGAAATCACAACTTTCAAACGACCCGTAAATCTCTACCAAAAGGTGAGATTGTTAATGAGGGATTTTCTACCCTACTTTTTGTTTCATCATTGCCCTTCCAAACAAAGTATTTTCCTAATACATGCATTGAATCAATATATCAAATGATAATACACTAATTGACCTAATACATCAATTTGAAGAATCACAACTTCCAAACGACAAGTCAAGACTTCCATTCATCAAGTATTACAAATTAGAACTCAGAAGTACATTGGAATTGATTTTGTGAAACAAACAAGTGAACTTCAATTGGTACTTCATCACTTTCGGTTTTGTTTAAACAAAAGGCAAGAAATTTCTCTATTGTAGAGCTACAAAAGAAATGAGCGAGTTTAAACAAAAGACAACAATTTATTACTATAAATAAAGACGAAAGTGCATTGCATAACAAAACTTACTCGGTTGAGATGGTAAGAAATTCTTCTTGCAACTGAATGATCGCTGGTTCGAATTTGTATATACCCTTACTCGGAAAATTTTTCTCCAAAGCCAGGGGGTGCAAACACCCATCCTCTCCAAGTGGCTCCGCCACGGACAAACAAGGCTTAAGAAATTGAACTCTTGATCTCATTGACGTACGAACTAGTTCCCTTAGGGTTTCGAATTTGTACATTCAGCTGATAAATGTGTGTATGATCAGTATGAAGGAGGTACATGGGATGATGGTAGGCGTCCTAGCATATGGGATGCTTTCACTCATGCCTATCCAGGTCTGTCTCCCTCCCTCCCTCTCCCATTTCGTCCCGAACGAATTGTTCGAATTCGATTGCGATTTCTGTTATATTTCGAGTGCATACAATACTTCATTTTAAGAGAATTAAGTAAGTGTAATTTTATGATGATATAAAAAGATCTAGAACATATGTGGGGTGCTTATAATACGAGCTTTCAAAATACGTTGTTGAATATGGCAGAGCGTATGCTCGATAGAAGCAGCGGGGATGTGGCTACGGATTCTTACCATTTATATAAGGTAAACACATATATATTCGAGAAACACCAATTATAATTTTGCATCGTATAACAAGGTATCCAGCTCTATCCCACCTCCTAACGCCGTCATTGTTTATGTTTGTATTGTAGGATGATATATCGCTTGTGAAAAAATTAGGGATGAATGCTTACAGATTTTCAGTCTCATGGTCCAGAATACTGCCATGTAAGGCGCTTTCATTTGATTTAATTTATCCTCATTTATGCAAATAATTTTGGGAGTTGTTTTCGTTTGAAATGGTAAGAAATTATGGATATTGTAATTCTTTTTGTTAGATGGGAAGCTAAGTGGAGGTATCAACCAAAAAGGGATCCATTACTACAATAGTGTCATCAATGAGACACTATCACAAGGTTACTCTCAACTTTTCTTTATCAAACTCATTGATTTTGTTATTTAGATGGTGGGTTTTTTTCCCAAAGTATTTAGATGGTGGTTCTTATTCATTATTATCATATAATTAAAATTATATGATACAAAAAATAAGAAAATAGTTGAGTGTAAGTTTAAAAAATCATTTTTGCTATTTTAAACATTTCCACAACCACAACTGTCAATAACTGTGGTACAGCTGAAGCGGGCCGGGCCTAGATAAAGTGATCCAGGCCACTGGGCTGGCTTGGGTTTATTAGTCTATATATGCATTGGGCTGAGCTAGGTTTCCCGCCATCGGCCCACCTCCCTAGATACTGATTTTCGTCCTAAAGCTAATAGCCTACGTGCATGCATGCATGCACGTGTCTAATACTTAATTACGGAGCACAGCGTTGATTTTGCAGGGTTAACACCGTTTATGACTCTCCTCCATTTGGACTATCCTCAAGCACTTCAAGACGAATACGGCGGCGTTTTAAGTCATCGCTTTGTGTAAGCCAAAACCAAACAAACACATCACCAATAATTAATCATCATTCCTTCATCCAAAATCAATTGATTTACTGACAATTGATCTCCTTTTCACTTGATTCCATCACAGGGATGATTTTCTGGACTTTTCGGATTTGTGCTTCAAAGAATTCGGAGACAGAATCAAGCACTGGGTCGCCATAAACGAGCCGCATACTCTGAGCCGAGGGGGATTCGCCGTCGGCGACCTCGCGCCCGGCCGGTGCAGCGGCAATGCAAGGAACTGGACGTGCGATGTCGGAAATTCCGGCACCGAGCCCTACATCGCAGCTCACAACCAGCTTCTCGCCCATGCCGTTGTAGTTCAATTGTACAGGCAAAAATATCAGGTTTCCTTGATTCCTTCCTTCTCCAGTTTCCGACACCTTGCCGAAACCATCATCACTAAGACTTATATTGCAACATTATATAACAGTCACGTAAGATGTACATATATTATGTAATATATTACGTAATGAACATTATATTTTACGTGAAAAGTTCGCATGACTGAAATTTGTAGGCGACTCAAAAGGGCATTATTGGAATCTCATTGAACATAGATTGGGCTGAGCCCTACACGTCCAGCAAGCGAGACCGAAAAGCAGCACAAAGAGCCATTGACTTCGATTTCGGCTGGTAAGAAGAGCTATTTAGTATTTACAAGTACACTTCGAGATTGTTTAACGTATAAAATGACTAGTAAAACCCATGAAAAAACGACGATTCGTGTTTATTTATCTTATATTTGGGTGAAAAAACAGGTTCATGGATCCAATAACGAAAGGCGATTATCCAGAGAGCATGAAGCAGAATCTTGGGAACCGGCTGCCGAGATTTACAAACGAGGAATCTGAACTGTTGAAAGGCTCGTTTGATTTCCTTGGTGTGAACTATTACACCGGCAGATACGCGATGGATCAACCTAACAGTAACGTTGACCCTCGTCAGTCCAGCTATTTGACCGATGCGCATATCAACACTAGTAAGTTGAAAATGCCAACATTCAATATGACATAAGGGCGAAAATATATAAAAAATTGATTGATCGAATTCTATTCTAACGTTATTGTCGACGACTTGGTCTGCAGGTTATCGCAATAGCAAAGGCGAACCACTTGGTCCTGAGGTAAGTTGTAACATTGTAGCTAGTACTAAATTATGAACCCAAAAAAAAAAAAACTGTTAATTAGTTATAAAAAGTAATTAACGTTGTTGCAGACTGCTGCACCTTGGGTTAGAATCTATCCTGCAGGGCTCACCAAGGTTTTGCTCTACATAAAGAACAAGTATGGGAATCCCCTCGTCTACATTACAGAAAATGGTAATTAAATACTTATCCTAAAAAGATTTTACAAAATGGTAATAAATACTTATTTCTAACCTTAGGTTACTCTGAATTATGGCTTCGTCACTGATTACAATGAATGATTTTTTTTTTGCAGGAGTTCCAGATCTGGGAAACTATACGCATTCGCCACTGAAAGCTACACCAAATGATAACATCAGAGTTTCCTTTTATCAAGCACATCTCTCTTCAGTATTAAAGGCTATGAGGTAAATATTATTCATTAGTAAAATCTGTTCTTGTGGTATAATATTTTCGTATGAAAAAAGTATATGTGGAACTCCAAAAATGTGGTGTTTATAAATTGCTTGCAGGAAGGGAGCCAATGTGAAGGGATACATGGTGTGGGCGTTACTGGATAACTTCGAGTGGCTTACAGGCTACACGATCAAATTCGGGTTGTACTACGTCGATGTCAGGAATCCGTCAGTCAGGATTCCTAAACTCTCAGCGCTGTGGTTCAGAAAGTTTCTGGAAGGAAATGATCATCGTCGCTTAAGAATGATAGAAGTCGACGCCAACTAAAAATGGATTGGGGGATAGAATTTTTTTTTTCTTCTGAATTTTATGTGTATCCAAGAGAATGATATGAGATAGCATTCTATTGTCGAATTGCATTTTTATAAGAATGCTAATGGCGAGCTAATGGATGATGATTGATCATATACGTAGAAAATTCAAAGTGAATGGATGGCCATTAAGAGCTTGCTCGAGTTTTTATCTATCTTATCTCAGCTAGCTAGCCTTTTTTCAAGTTTTCTACTGATGTCTTTGCCTGCCAAATACTCCGGTTTCTAAAAGCTCACCCATATTATTATTTCGAATATATAAAGCGCAAGTCAATTTTAATGTTCCTTTAATTAAAAAGTCTGATAATTGAGCTGGCCAAGTATGACCGTTGATCAAATGTTTGAGTCGTTTTCGTTGCAAGGAAACCGAAAGCTAACCATCTAAGAACCCACAACAGGGCTACATACAAATTAAATCCAAAAAGTTGATGAATCTCACAACCAGTGTTACTCTTTCTTTACAGTGCAACAGGAAATTCTAAGAATTTTATCAAATTATTAGTTTGTAGTTAATTGAGTGGATTTTCTGTAATTTCTAAGCAAACTATAAACAAAGAAGCAATACTTCAAGGGGTCGTTTGGATGGGAGATTTTAATATGAGGGTTTTCAAGCTCAAATCTCTAGTTTAAAAACCCCGGTTTTTAATTTGCAGGATTTATGTTAAATTACTCGTTTGTTTGTGGATGAAGGATTTTAATTAAAAACCCACACTCAAGTCAAAGTTCATAATTGCCCTTCTTCTACACCTATTCATCGTTAGCATTCAATTTGCTTTCTCCTTCCATTAGCATTCAGAAGGCTCCATGAAGGATTCATTTGCTTCTTCTTCTACAGCTCTCTCGCCAAAGCTTGCCGCCCTGCCCCGCCACAATCATCACTCCTTCTCCGCCATCGGCGACTCGTTTCAACCCCTACAGGCGCTCAGTCCACCGTATTCCACCCTGGGTTCGCGCCGCCGTCGATGCCTTTCGCGAATAGGGTTTCCATTGGCGTCGCGTCGAGTGCGGTGGTGCGGCAGCAAGATTAAACTTTGGTGGAGACGCGGGTGAACGAGAGCAATTTCGAGAGGATTTATGCTCACAATGGAATTGTCGCTGCTGCCGCGAAGCCATTGGTCGTTGAGAGGATTGATAAGGACGAGAACATCCGAGAAGTAGCCAGTGTTGAGGATGGTTCAGTCGAGGAAGGTTATTTGAATTTGAGGAATCAGGAAGGGGCGCCAGATCATCAGGCGTATGAGGGAAGAGTGCGGCGGGAAGTGGAAGTTGGGAGGCCAGATAAAGAACATCGGCGCGGAGGGATGAGAAAGACGATCGGAGAGATTGGAAGATGATGAGGGTAAAGGGGGGATTTAATAAAATTAAAAGGGTCAGAAATGGAAGAAAAAATATAAGAATGGGAGATTTCGAAATAGCTGACCCCATCAGCTATTTAGAAATCCTACACTTGTGAGTTTTGGAAATCTCTAATACTTAAAATCTCTCATGTTCCCAAACACAGAATTGTATTAAAATCCTGCATAATGAGGGATTGTTTTAAAATCCCTCACAAATCACTCCCTACAATTCTGCATCCAAATGACCCACAAGGAGATTGACCAAATTTGCATAGCTCAACAACATCATCCCGTCGCGACACATAGTGGATCTAGTAATTATTAGAAGAACATATTTTTGTTATTGAATGTTGTGAAAGTTTATTTATTAACACCCAAATTCAGTGAGTTATTTCCCGGGGGAAACGCCATAACTCCCACTCAGCACATTCAAGACAATTCATTATAATTATAATAAAAATAAAGAATTCACTTCTTACTGTTCATTAAAAAAAATTTATGCTGGAGCTGTTATATAGGAAGAGCTCAGAGACTGGTTGATAAATTCCCTCTAAAAAAGTCGAAGAAAAAGGAAAAAAACCCCATTTAGCCGAGACCGCCACCAATATAATTATTTCATCAAGAAGATGTCGGCGGCGCGGTTCATCCTGGTAGTATTGACCGCCGTGACAATGATGCTTGTACGGCAAACATCATGTTACAAATACCACTACCACGCCGCCAAGCTCCGAGATTTTACGGCCAAAGCCGACAAGATACTGGCCGCGCCGCCGCCGCCTCCCGCCGTCCGTCCTCCTCCGAGGGTACGTACAATCTGAAATTTCGGCTGCAAATGATGGATCTGAAGTTTACGCACGTGCTCATTTGATTACAGGTTGGCGGAGTGTTTTACCCGATCGGGTACGGAGCAGATCCCACAGGTCACAACGACAGCGCCGACGCGATACAGAGCGCGTTGAACGACGCGTTCGAGCAACTGAGCGATCCAAGCCAGGAACTGATGCCCGGAATTAAGGACCTGGGCGGCGCCGTCATCGACCTCCAAGGCGGCAAGTACAAGATCGGAAAGCCCATCTCCTTCCCACCTGTCGGCGGCGGCGACATCCTCGTAACTGACCTATATCTATTATCGTTTTTTTTTTTATAGTTAAAAGTATTAAGGTGTGTGTTGTTGTTTTTTTTTTTCCAGATAAAAGAAGGGAGTTTGCGAGCGGCGGAAGGGTTCCCATCGGACCGTTTTCTGGTGGAGTTACTGTTCCCGCAATCGGAGATTCTGATAAACAAAACGGAGAACGTGTCGTTGTTGCAGGGCACCACGATCTTCTACGAGGACATAACGTTCAGAGACCTCTTGTTCGACTCGGGCCACAGCGGAGGCGGCCTGCTGGTGGTGGACACCGCCAGGGTCCGGATCCTCAACTCCTATTTCTTCAACTTCACGACGCAGGGGATTCTGGTGCAGGGCGGCCACGAGACCTTCATCCAGACCTGCTTCGTCGGGCAGCACCCCACCGTGGGGCGCGACAAGAACGAAAGGTAGCGTTCGAGATTTAGTATATAAACATTCGCATGGTTTTAAAAAATCGTGTCTACACACTCGCGGCTAAGTTCGTCCCCTGGCCCCTGCACGCAAATCAAAAGGAAAACGCCTCACTTTAGGCAAAAAGTAGCAAATTAAATTAGGCGCGTCTTGATCATGTTGTGGCATTGGTGGCGCCTAGTCAACATTTGAGTTGCGTCTCAGAATAATGACACAATGTCTGTTCTGTACCTTTTGATATGCTACTGCCTACTAGTGAGGAAGGTCTTGATTTTTTTTTTATAGTTATGCTACGATATAGTTAGAGACCACCATTTTTAGAGTAGCTTCTTCTTTCTTTTGCGCTTCTTCGTTCTCAAACTGCTTTGCTATTTTTGGAGCTTCTTTTTTCCTTGCTCATTTCTTCGTATTATGTTTTATGTTTTACCTAGTGATGTTGTTGGAAAGTTTAGAAATGAGAGATAGATGCAATGATATTGGTAGTTCATAAACTTGGTGATTCTAGAAAAATGAGATATATTGTTGCGTTTACATCTAACGCTTAGTCATCTCGCTACCCATATCAGGCACAAGGCAGAGTCTCAACGCGCGCCTTACAGTTTCTTAACATTCGTAACTGAACATTTTCTTAATAATTTGCGCTATAGTTAATTATTTGAACAAACTGATTGATGTCAATGATACCAGAACTTTGATTAAATGATCATATACGTACATTCTCATCTACACAACTCTCAGTATTAAACGTTGATTAAACGGAGCGCGCGGTTTTACGCGCGACAGGTACTACTCGGGCACGGGGATCGACCTGGCGAGCAACGACAACGTGATCACCGACACGGTGGTCTTCTCGGCGCAGGTCGGGCTCCTGGTGAGGGGCCAGGCCAACGTCATCACGGGGCTCCACACCTACAACAACAACAACAACAACAACAAGTCGTGGCACTCCGCCGCCGCCGCCGGCGTCCTGCTGAAGTCGGACGCGAGCTACAACCGGATCACGGCCTCCTTCTTCGACGGCAACAACAACCAGGTGGTGGTGGAGGACCCTTACTTCGTCTACATCACGGGCAACTTCTTCTTCGGGCACGCCAACGTGGTTCTGAAGCCGGCGAAGAGGGACGGTGGAGCCATCGCGCTTGTCGTCGTCGACAACTACTTCGTCGGGTTCGCCGGGGAGCCGATGGTGGAGCTGCAGGGGGAGTTCACGACGGTCCACGACGTGGTTGTGGACCAGAACCAGGGGAAGTACCTGACCGTACAGTCCACGGCGGCGAAGGTGGCGGTGGCAGGGAGAGGAACGAAGTGGGTTGCTGATTTTAGCAAGAAGTTGGTGTTTCCTAACAAGATCGACCATTTTCAGTACTCGTTCTTGGTGAAGCAGCCGCCGGCGGAAGGGTGGGGCGGGCCTAGGTTTCCTATCCACGCGGCGACGAACGTGTCGGGGAATGTGGTGGTGGTGGAGAGCGAGGGCGTGGTGGACGCGGTCGTTTCGGTGGTGGTGGATCAGTTTAACCCCATTGGAGAAGGGACTTTTGCATTTGACGGTAACGGTGAAGGATATAAGGTTCTGCGTAAGGTCGTGTAGAAATGAAACACGAGGAGGTTGTATAGCTTCTGCGTTCAATCAAGATTGGAGTTAAAAAAATTTCAGTGAGAAAAGAAAACAATGTAATAGTGACAAAGAATTCTTCAGACACTCATTTGTATTTCATTTCGGCAACATTTTTTTTATCAAATGGAAGACATTCTAAGTCTTTTATAGGATGGACATCAAATTCAAGAAGGAAAAAAAAAAGGTTGAAACAAGTACAACAATCACTTTTCTTGTCTCCTAACAACATAAAAAGGGGCATTGACACCTGCATCCTCAAAATTATTAACTGGAAGTTAACATTTGGTTAATTTTTAGTATTTTGATAGGTTTGAATAATATAAAAGAATTTGAAAAAGATTTGGATAATTAATAGACATTACCCAAAAAATTTATAGAAATATTAATTGAATTTAAATTGTTAATGAGAATGGCAATCGATGATAAATCAACGTACGAGATGCAAGAAAGTGGAAATAAATTAGTAACTAACTAGGATTGGCTAGCTAATTGCTTTCGTTTTGGGTCGCTCCTTATAATGAGTTATGAATACACAAAATATAAAATAATATATTAATTTATGTCTTCATAAAAATATTAAAAACAAAACTAGCGTTGGCTAGCCCTTCATTTACGTAATAGTATTTTCATTCTTATAATATTGTAGTAATTAAAATAGTGAACCATTGAATCAATCAAATCAGGATTGTTCATCCTGTTCCACTATTTTGGATGAACAAATAAGTTTTGACCCTAGGACAAAAGGAAGATAGAATGTTATTATTGTCACATTATCTACCGATAATTATTTGCCAAATATTTCGACTATCTATCTGCCCAAAGTTTGGAAGTGGCTGTATTCATTGATTTTTTTTTTTAAAGTGGCTGTTATATATTACTCTCACATTAACACTAAATCAGCCAATCAAAATATCTAATTGATCACAAATTCACAATCATCTATAAAATATATTATGGCAATTCAAAAGCAATCTATTGCCACATAAGCACTTAGAGGATTCACAATTTGCCAAGTTGGACAACTTTTTTACAAACAAAAAAATTAGTTATTAATGTATTTATGGAGCTATCTCTCTCTTCTTTAATATTTTCATTTCTTTTATCCAATTATTCTTTTCCATTTATCCATTTATTCTTTTTTTCTTTAATAATAAGTTACATGTTAATAAAATTAATAAAAAACACATAAATAATATTTTTTTTTTCAAGTAAACAAGATATAAATAAGAAAACAGAGAGTGATATATATCACATTCATTTAAATAAAAAATATCTGATTAAACCTTATGAAGAAAATTTTCTACTCATTTTTACTAAATTGAATGATAAGTTACATTTTGATAAAAAAATTAAACAAACATACACATAAACAATAAATTTTTATCAATTAAACAAAATATATATGAAAAGAGAGAAAATAAAAAATTGACATTCAAGTATTATTTAGCAAAATGTCATAGTATAATCTTGACCGAGTAGTTACAGTTATTTATTTAAAAAGATTTTTTATTCATTCAGATCATGTTCTACCTTAAACGGCTCAACGAAAATGAATCACATGTGCAATAATTTTATAATGTGTTATAATATCACATTAATAATATTTGGTCTATCTCATGTTGATTGAGCAAGCACTATTGAGGTTCTAAGTCGTAAGCTAAGAAATTTTCTTTCAGATAGGAGTTATCGTCGAGAATTATAAATCAAAATTTTCAAAATGACTTAAGTATGATTGTTGGCTAACTTTGACTTCATACCCTAGGATGAGACTACGATAAACATCATGTTTCACCAACTACTAACCTAGGCATTTACAAAATAAAGGTTGAGAATTTTTAGTAAGATAGTCAATTGGGATAAACATATTTAACCAGTAATCAAGTATTTTTATCCAATAATCTCAATTCTCAAAAGTGGTTGCCAGTTCGTCCAAACTCGAGAAACACGAATTGATATATGTTGTATAAGATAATAAGTTAATGCAAATAATCAAATGAAATCTACCAATATTGTTCAAATGATAAGACATTTTAATTGCACTTGAAATATGTGTATTGTAGACACTCTTTATCAATTATTAATATATGTGATAAAATATTTGAAAATTACACATTCAACGACCATGTTAAAACCAAAATCCTCGATAGTGTGTGTGAATGTATTAGATTGAGATTCTAAGTCAACATAACAATGACCACGGGTTGAGGTATAGTCTAAACTTCAAGAATTAACGATTTATACATATTGTATAATATACTAAGTGTAAGCGTCTTCATAAAAAAACTAACATCCAAAATGGAAATGAGTCGAGATTAGAGAATTTAATCATCATGAGGGCTATGGTGCGTGTCAAGTTTCAATATGGATGAATAAATTGATCCAATAATGAAGTATCTTTACTAAGAATTTCTCACTAAAAAGTCCTAATCTTTACAACATTGGTCGAGAGTTCGTCCAAACTCGAGGATCATGAATGTATATTGGATTTCCAAAGGACCTAAAATCTCAATCCCTTTCGAGGACTAAAGACCTATGATCACAATCATAGGTTCCAAAGAGAATGAAAAGAAGCCCAAAAAAGCAAAAAATAACATAACCTCCGATAGGATGAACAAAATAAAACTATATCGAGCTACCCTACCCTTTCATTCTCCATAAAGGGGGCGGCGGGAGAGGATAAGAAATAAATAGCAGGGACTTAGGATTTGCCTCTTTATATATTACATATTGAACGATAGACGATCCCGATGGTTGTCTGACGTTATGGGGGTAAAAGCGGGATCTCTATCCCGGGGGTGGGGGATAGACAAGTAACACTTTAATATGAGTATTAGGCGAGATAAGATAGATCTGACGAAGTATCTGGATAATTTTTAGTCTACTACACACACACACACACACATATATATATATATATATATATATATATATACATATTTTTTTTATAACCGAGGAACCTCATCCCCACGTGCCACTTTGTGACAGTGGGTCCTACTACACCTGGGGGCCACCTGCATTCAATTCGACACCAATGGGGCTTCGCCCCCAACAGCCTTATACCTTTGGGAACACCAACGGACCTCGCTTAGATTCAGGCCTGGGATCTCGCTTATATGGTGAGTTCTATGGTACCCTGGGTAAAATCCAGGGTATTTCATACCTTGAGTATGAAAACACTATCTAGACCTTGAATTGACCGATCTTTCGGACATGATACTATACTCTAGCCCTTAAAGATCAAAATCTAGGTGTTAATTCTCCCAATCTTACTCAAGATACGATAGAAGATAGGTATGACGAAGTATGTGCATAAATTAGAGGTTAGAGAATTAGGGATTAGAGTTCACCTATTAGAGGTTAGGGTATAATATCATGCCCAAAAAAACTATGGTTAATTCGGGATCTAAATAGTAAAACTCAATGGTCGTATGGTAGTGTAAATACAAGAATATAGCGTACTCCTGGCGCACGCTAGCTTGAACTATATGTGTGTGTGTGGTTTAGGTTGTCGTACGTTGAATATTAGTGTTTTGGTTGACAAATTTGACATAAGCTCTAAATGTGGCGTGACAACGATATAATTTATGATTAGAAAACCAAAGCATCACAAGTGACTGTGCTAAATATTGAAAAATTTCAATATAAACATACTACAAACTCTGTTATGAATCGAGAACACAAAATATCTAGAATATACAAAATGATTTTAAAATATAAATAAGTTAATTAATATAAATTATAAAATAAATCTCTCCGGCCAATAGGCCGGGTAAAAAGCTAGTACTTATTATATCAATTTGCTAGCTAGCTAGCCTTGGCATGTGGACGATGAATTCTCTCATTTATTATATCATACAAAATTTTGGGGAGTTCTTTCTCAGGCGAGAAAAAAAAACGTCATAACTCCAAAATTTCGAATGTTACTCGCATTCAATGATAATTCACCTACTTATATTCATAAATAAACCCGAAAAACGCCGGATGTGTTATACAAAAGGAGCTAGTTGCCATGACCGACCGGACAATTGCTCAAACTCCCCCTCTTTAAAGGATTCCAGTAAAGGAAAGAAGAAGCAAAAAAACGCCGGCGACTGAATTAAACAAGCTAAGTAGCCTTTATTTTAGAAAGAATGCCGGCGACGGCGTCGGCCTTGACGCGATTCGTCATCCTAATTGTATTCAGCTCAGTGCCATTAATATTTCTTGCGCCACAGACTTCATGTTACGAATTCGAACGCCGACATTCTGCCAAGCTCCGGCATTTCACGGCCAAGATCGACAAAATCGTCTCCTCATCCAAGCCTTCCACTATCGTCCGCCCTCCACCGCAGGTGACCGATGACGGATCATTTCAGCGAAATTTTAAAGATATAACATTTCTGGTCACTTACCTATAATTACTAAATACTATGCTTACTACGTGTTTATGAACACGTACGTATTTTATGAGTTCAAAATTTTCGTACTATTGACAGACCGTTTCATTTTTTTCTTCTTGTTCATGGCTCTGCTACTATATCCGTATGCCCGTTTAATATCCGTATTCAACGATTACAGGTCGGCGGAGTGTTCTACCCTGTTGGATACGGAGCAGATCCCACCGGCCAAAACGACAGCACCGACGCGATACAGAAGGCGCTAAACGACGCATTCCAACAACGTAGTAGCGATCCAAACCTGAAGGAAGAGCTGATCCCGGGAATCAAGGACCTGGGCGGCGCCGTCGTCGACCTCCAAGGCGGCGCGTACAAGATCAGCAAGCCCATCTCCTTCCCACCTTCCGGCGGCGGCGGCCTCCTCGTCAAAGACGGCAGCCTCAGAGCCTCGAGAGGGTTCCCAGCGGACCGCTTCCTCGTGGAACTACTCTCGCCGAAATCGGAGGTGCTGATCTACAAAACAGATGACGTGGCGGCGTACCAGGGCAAGGGAATCTACTACGAGGACGTGAGATTCAAAGACGTCCTCTTCGACTCCGGGTTCAGCGGCGGCGGAGTCCTGGCGGTGGACACCGCCAGGACTCAGATAACCAACTGCTATTTCTTGAACTTCACGACGCAGGGGGTTTTGGTGCAAGGAGGGCGTGATGCCTTCATCCAGTCCTGCTTCCTCGGCCAACGCCCCACAGTTGGTGGGGGCGTCGGCGAGAAGGACTATTCCGGTACTGCGATCGACCTCGCCGGTAACGACAACGTCGTTACCGACGCGGTGATCTTCTCCTCCGCGATCGGGGTGGTGCTGAGAGGGCAGGCCAACATGTTGAGGGACATCCACACTTACAACAAGGAGCGGATCTTCGGCGGGATCGGGATCCTGGCCAGGGCGTTCGCCGACTACAACCGGATCACCGACTGCTTCGTCGACTACAACTCCATCGTGCTGGAGGACCCTAGGTTAGTTTTAAATTTGGAAGTTTTACGTTCGAATATGTTAAGTAGTACCTCTAACTGTGAGTGGTGATATCTTGAAATTAAACTTTGAACTCTTCCATAGCAACACAACAACCTCACCACTATACTGGATTCTAGAGGTGGACAATTTATAATCCAGTCCATCTACTTAAATGTCCAATTAATCTAATTCATTTGATCCAAATTCAATTGGAATGATGAATTCATTGATTGCACTCATTGATAGCTCACAAATTATATTTTAGTACCTATACTTTTTCTATTTATATTTTGGTACCTAAATTTTTTTAATACAAAAATATCGTTGGAAAATTATATTGTGGTACCTAAAATTTTTATTGTGACATTTTAGTACCCAAACTTTTCATAATTGATATATTAGTCATAGACTTGAATGTCATTTGGATCCATCCACTAATCCGTTTTGCCCATATTTTGATAGATTGCTCTACTACAAGTTGAGTTATTGTTGCGTTTTTTGCTTTTCTCTTCCTCTTCATCTTTTTAGTTTTGTCTCATTTTTATTCGGGGTGCTCCTTTTTTCTTTTGCTTGTTGTTTTGTTCATTGTTTGTGGCTTGGTTATTGGAATCGCTGATGTTCTAATAAAAGTTTCATCATTCATCAAACAAAAATTCATTTGATATATAAATCTACCAATCCAATTCATCAAATCCATGGATGCACTACATTTGTCATCTCTACAATATTCTTGTGTTATGCTGCTTTTGGACTGCACTAAATGATATTTCATCTGGCTACGCAAAATTGTATGCAGGTTCATCCAGATCACCAACAGCTTCTTCCTGGGGTACGCGAACGTGGTGCTGAAGGCGGTGAAGGGGAGGCTCGAGGCTCTCTCCATCACCGACAACTTCTTCCGGGGGATCGACATGGCGCCGGTGGTGGAGCTGCAAGGGGAGTTCACGGAGGTCCGTGACGTGGCGGTGGAGCGCAACCAGGCGTGGAACTCCACGGTCAAGTCGACGTCGGCGAAGACGGTTCTGGCGAGGAAAGGGACCAAATGGGTGGCCGATTTCAGCAAGGCGCTGCTCTTCCCCGACAAGATCGAGTATTTTCAGTACTCGTTCCTGGTGAAGAAGGAGTCCAGCAGGATGCCGATACATGCTGCGACCGCCGTGGCCGGGAACAAGGTGGTGGTGGAGAGCGAGGGCGTGGCGGACGCTGTTGTTTCGGTGGTGGTCGATCAGTGCAATCCCATTTGAGAAGAGCTACTACTCATATATGCTTGTTTCCTTTTTTTGTTCTTTTGAAATGTAGTTTGTAACATTCTGTTTTGGTCCCTCGATCCCACATCAGCGTATTTGTTGGGATTCAAATCCCTTGAAAGTTCCATTTTCTATGGCTCATTATTTAGTCACATGACTATGAATTGGAAATTCTTGTGTGTTTCTTTTCGAATGTCTATCTATTTACTGGTTGGTTAGGTTGGTTCATATGTATTGTGAATGAAGTAAAATCGTGAATCGATTTCGAAATATTGTTTTATTTGTTTTTACGATATGCATGAATTTACTAACCTACAGCAATTTGGTTGGAATTCTTAGAGATGACTACCTAGTACATTGATAAACCGTAAATAGACTAGAATATATACATGATGAGTGGTGCTTAATGGACTTGGTTGGATATGGGTGGTTGGAGAGGGGTTTGGGTACTAACATTTTTTTTTGTTGGCATGGTACTAGTACTAGCTCTAACTAACAGAGACATTTGATTTTGATGACTTTTTCCCAAGGTGTTTGACCATAATTAATGAGAAATTATAAAGAAGGGACACACTAGTCATTTATGAAATATTGGGGAAAGGAAGATGAAATAGATAGGGTGCTAACTTATAGGAAGCTAGCACCATGCTTACTACCATCTAAATCGTTTCAGCCCTACTTCATATATAATGACTACAAATATAGAAAGAGTAGATTAGTAATAAAAGAAGAAAATTTTAAATTAACTTCTATTTTTGCCAATTTTTGGGATTTTAATGGGTGTTTGACTACAAATAATCGAACTTCTCATTCCTTTCATTGATTATTCTGCATTGTACAACTTGCTAGCTGGGTGCTTGCTCCCCTTCTGATTTTTTTGCATGTGAAAGAAGCATAGAGACCCATGGAGGATAAGCAACTAATTAAGGCCTAAAGAAATACGATAAATGAGGAAGTAGAACAAATATAACTTAGTTATATAACTTAGTTGGATGACTTCTTATTAGCCTACAATTCTTTTTTTATAATGAAAAATATAATAACAAAAAAATGATAAACAAATGTTTTACAAAGGGAGGAAAAACGGACCGATGACCTCACAGGTTGGATAAGAACTAATGAGAAATCAAGTTTCAAATTATCATTAGATAAATTTTGCGAGTTTATTTCAATCTTAACAAGTTTTGATTCGAAGACAATTCCTAATAATCTCATGGCCCGCCACAACCTCGTCACTGTTGTCCCGAAGGACATACTCATCCGCATCTTGGCGCTGATAGCTAGCGACTCGACGAGCTACAGCGTGAGGCGTAGAATAAGCTCATGTGGGATGTCCTTCATGGTAGACAAGCTCATGTGGGATTGGTGTGCTGACGTAGAATAGGAGGAGCAGTGAGGTTGCAGTCACTATTAGAATTATCAGATTCTCGCTCACATAGAAATCGAGAGCGAGCGGGTTTATGCTAGTATAATAGAAAAGAAAAGAAAGCCCCTGAAGTTGCCATGAATTAAGAAAATGCCTTTGGTGAAGGCTTTTATATATATACCTAGTAAGAATCTGCCAGAATGAACAGCTAGCAAAAACATCTTCTTGTTTGTTAAGCAAAACCATGGGATCAGTAAGCATTCTCTTACGAGGGCATAGCATTTCCTGCTTGATTCTTATGCTCTTGAGCTTCGCCGTCGATGGCGGTGACGCTTCGCCGATTCAGCGTCACAGATGGTCCTGTGTACATCACTCAATGCCCGATCCAGCCAGGAAGGAAGTTCAATCAAAGAGTGGAATTCAGCACGGAGGAAGGCACTTTGTGGTGGCATGCTCACAGCGAGTGGACACGAGCCACCGTCCATGGAGCTATCGTCGTGTACCCCAAGGAAGGCTCCACTTACCCCTTCCCCAAGCCTCACGCCGAAGTTCCAATCATTTTTGGTAATAATCTATAATTGCTTTTAGAACGTACCCCCATGGTTCTTAATGGTACGTGAATCAAGCTAATAAGAGGAATAACATTTTGTAGGGGAGTGGTGGAAGAGTGGCGTGTTTGAAATCTACGACGAGTTTCTTCGATTTGGGGGTGACCCAAATGTTTCCGATGCCATAACCATCAATGGTCAACCGGGGGATTTGTTTCCTTGCTCAAAACCAGGTATATGTGTTTAATTAGGGCTTGATTTGTATAGTCTCACACTAAAAATGATATTGCAACCCTTTTATGTGTACATTACATAACTCTATACAACTTCATCATCACTAGCTTTAAATTGGTTGTTAGCATGCACGAAAAATTGCCAACATGTGTGAGACCTACGACCTTAATTAGAAAAAATATCAATAAATTTTGTTGTCGTAGATCATTCCTTCACGATTTTGATTAGGGCTGGCATTTCGGTTGCCGGTTAGCGAGTAACCGTCGGTTACAACCGAAAACCGGCCGGTTACAAGCTAATCGAAAACCGACCGGTTACCTTGGCGGTCGGTGGTCGGCTGGGAAAAGGAAGGAGTCGGTTGACCGAGTAACCGACGGTGATTAACAGCGGTTATCCGATTAACCGACCCCAACCGAGACCCACCTAACCTTCCCAAAATCTGTCCATTTATCTCCACCTCCACTCACCTAACCTTCCCCAAAACCCTAGATCTAAAACAAAACTCTCACCCCTTCGTCCACCTCGCCGCCGCCGCACCTCTGTCCACCTCGCCGCCGCCGCACCACTGTCGCCGTCCCTGCACCTCGCCCTCCGCCTGCTTCCCATCGCGGTAACCGCTGCGCCGCGCCATACCTCTGCATCTCCACCCTCTGACCCCGGCGACGACCCCAGCCCCGGCGACGACCCCAGCCCATGCCATCGCGGTCTCCTTCGCCCCCTTCGCGGCCCGGGGAGAAGTGGTCTGGTGGCCACGACCTTAAGTGTAGTCGACGTTGTTGAGAAGAAGGTGTGAGAAGAAGTGGTTTGGCGAAGAGGAAGAAGGTGTGAAAAGAAGTGGTTTGGTGAGAGGAAGAAGGTGAGAGGAGGAGATAAGGTTTGGTGGGTGTGAAATGGTGGAGGAAGGAAGGAGAGAGAGGAGAAGTTGTCTGGTGGTGGAAGGAAGGAGAGAGAGGAGGAGATAAGGTTTGAGTGGTGCAGGATTTTTGGTTTTTTTCATTTTTTCATTTTTTTAGAAATGGTAGTTTCCGGTTGGCTGGCTAACCGAGCCTAAAATCGAAACTGACCGGTTGGTTGACCGGCTAACCGTGACACACCTCACGGTCGGTGGTTGGCAGCTGTAGGGGTGGTTTGGTTTAACCGATAATCGGGTTTTCGGTTTTCGGTTAAACCGAAACCGACCGACTGTCACCCCTAATTTTGATACATTGTTGTTTTTTCTTAGACACATTTAAACTAAACATCGAGCGTGGCAAGACGTACCTTATGCGGTTTGTGAACGCTGTTCTTCAGGACATGCTCTTTTTTGGCATTGCCGACCACCGACTCACTGTGGTTGGGTCGGACGGAAGCTACATAAAGCCGTTCGATTCCGATTATATAACCATCTCCCCCGGCCAAACCCTCGACGTTTTGTAGAAATCTTCCATACCACATCATTCAATTACTTGTCGGAGACAAGTCCATTAACTCACCATCCCTATTTATTTTTCCCCATCTCAATGTTATCTTCTGCAGACACATGCTAGCTTTTATTTCTCTGGTAGCTTTCTTTTCTCACATGCTATTCTTATCTTTTACCAAGCAATATCACGTGTATATATACAAGTAGATAGGTCTCCATGTAACTCGTATCAGTAAGAAGAAATACAAACAGAATAGAGACTATCATTCTGGTCTTTCTCTTTTCAATCCTTTGTGGATTTCTTCATGGTATCAGAGCGGGTTCTCTAGAATCCTCCAAATCTTTTCCCTTCTCATTCCTTTTCTTGAGTGAAATACATAATGAGTGATCTCCAAACCTCAGCTACAAGCAACCAGCAAAGCAGAGAAGAGAGTCCCATTGTGAGCACCATGAAAAAGGAGGCAGCTTCCGCATACAGTCTGCATAATTCAGACAATCCTAGTCAAATGTTCGTAAGTGATCCACTCACCGTCAAAACTACGGAGAGTGGGTCAGCGACATGACCAACTCTCTTACGGCGCTTTTCGCCCGACTTCATATATAATGACTACAAATATAGAAAGAGTAGATTAGTAATAAAAGAAGAAATTTTTAAATTAACTTCTATTTTTGCCAATTTTTGAGATTTTAATGGGTGTTTGACTACAAATAATGGAACTTCTCATTCATTTCATTGATTATTCTGCCTTGTACAACTTGCTAGCTGGGTGCTTGCTCCCCTTCTGATTTTTTTGCATGTGAAAGAAGCATAGAGACCCATGGAAGATAAGCAACTAATTAAGGCCTAAAGAAATACGATAAATGAGAAAGTAGAAAAAATATAACTTATTTATATAACTTAATTGGATGACTTCTTATTAGCCTACAATTCTTTTTTTTATAAGGAGAATATAATAACAAAAAAATGATAAACAAATCTAGATCTACACATACTATAATACACCGAAGTGAAAAACGGGAGGCCCATTTCAAATTTCCTGCAACGAGAGTGAAAGTAGGAAGGACATTTTGGTCTTCACAATTACTTTTTTTTTATTCATTAAAAAGATACATACTGGGATTCGAACCATGACCATTTTAAAGAAAGGCAAGGATCATAACCAATCACACTAAGTACATTTGTTGTATCCTTTTAAATTAAAAATATATAATAGCAGGATGGAAAAAAACTCTTCCCCCATTTCAAATTCCCTGCTCCAGGAGCGTTTGTAGGAAGGGTAGAATAGGGAGTACCAATTTTTTCTCTTTCCTCTGTGGAACGGGCCAACTTACCGTACACATGCGGATTTAAACAGGTCTAGGAGTGTCAATTTTTTTTCTTTATACCATTTTATTTCTCTGTGGTGATAAAATATATATGAAAAGACAAAAATAATACTCTTTTTTATTGTTAAAAATAAAAAATTTAACAATAAACTAATGCATGGTATCTAATGGGCTAACCGCTAACAATAAAATAAAAGAGTTGAATGGGTCTGACCTACATGGGATTTGGCCATCAAGTAAAACAAATGAACATCATTGGTTTCTCATTCTAAAACAAGCTATTTTCTCTGGCATAATATATATTATGCTATTATTTTATATCTTAGTGGCTAAAATATAATGTATTTTTAAGTTATTCAATGGTACAACCTCGACCAACCCAATTATTCCAATTTTTATCATTTCAAATATATATTTTATAATTATTTGACATCATATTGATCAAATTATAGTGTGTTTTATAGGGAATCGTTTGGTATTTGTTAGTAAAAAACTAAACATAAAGATCTATTTGGTTATTTTAAACATTAAAACGATCCTAAACATTTTCATTTCCTTTTGAATTTCTATGGTTTTATTCCCGAATAAGTGATGTGCAAATGGCGAATTGTAGTCGTCTCTTTTCTTTCACTATTTTTTATTTTCAAATAGAAAGTTTAAAAGTAAAGAATAATTAGAATTTGCCATGGGTCGGCCAAACAGGCTGAATTTCAAGTTTTGGCCAGTTTGTTTTATGCATTGCAAATTTATTAGCATGTTGATGGAAATGACTTGGAAAAAAGACATATAAGTTGTACCTTTGCAGAAATGTCCTCAAATGTTTGAATGCTTTGTGAATCAGGTTCCGTGACTTTTGTGATGGTGTATGTGCTTGACGATTGCTCAATGTTGTAACTACTTAATTTGAGAGTAAATCTTTTGATTTTCCCTATGAGTTGTGATACCAGTTCTGGTGGTTGCATCATGTTGTCGTTGTTGGCCTGTAAAAGTTGTTCCGCCGTGATGCTAAATACCTTTCTTTCTTTTTTAACAAATTGTGTAGTAGTGCTATGAAATAGACCACCCATGAACGCTACGCTTATTATGGTATGTTCTTACTTCTGGTGGTGAGAAATTGTGAATTGAGAATCATATTCGCCTACCGCACTGTGTCTGGCTGGTGGCTGCTTACTGTGCTCTCTAGAGTTATGAAACAGACTACCCATGAACGTTACTCTTAAGAGTCCATAACTTTACGAAAAACCAAATTTAGGCAATCAAAGGTGGTGGATGTGTGATGATTTTTTATGGCTTAATTGTTTGTGAATTGGATATCTGATCTTTGTATGATTAAAGGGGATGTTTGCTTAATAGAATGATCCATTTTAATTCATATTTATTTTTAACATGAACTTTAGTAACTCAAAACCTTCGAGACACATATCACCTACTGCATTGTATCATTTTGCCTGGGTGCTTGCTGTGTTGTCAAACTTCTTTGCTGCTGCTGCATTTACACTAACAGGGGAGTTAAGAACCGATGAATGTTTCCGTTTGACACAAACAAGAGAACTTACTTCTAAATCCTGTATTAAAGATGATTGGAGGAAACATCTTTGTTGCAGTTGATATACTGGAGACCATAACAAAAGCAACGTATAACATCAAAACCAACCATCTGAACTATTAACATTGTTGCTTTACTCTTTTTTCGTGGTTGAGTCTCCTTCAAAAAATTTAGTATGATTTTAGAAAATTTTGCTTCGCAGTCCTGTCTTGCCACCAACGCGTTTAGTAGATGGAGATGGCAGAGGCGAAGGCTATTTTTGTGTTGTTGTTGCTGGTTTAGGGATCGGTTTGTGAAGAAGAGGGGAAAGAGAGGGGGAAAGGGAAATGCAGGAGAGGGGGATAACTCTTTTCTCCGACAAAAATGGAGTGAAGAAAGGAATTATGATCAGTAAGGATATGGTTATCTTACATAACGGTCTCTATTCTGTTTGAATTGAGCTTGGGAGGCAGTGATAAGGACGAGCTGCAACCAATTCATAGTGATAAGAGTGCTATGAACTAGGGCTGGCTATTTGGTCAGGACTGTTTGGTTTTACCCGAAACCGGACCGTAAAACCCGGACCGGGACCGTACTGGGACCGGATAGCAAACAATCCAATCTCATATTCGGACTTAGATTTAAGTTAAAAAACCCGGATAAGAGACCCCAACACTCAAATCCCCACAAGCTCAATCTAAAATCAAGATCAAATTGGGACCGGACCGGGTCAAGACCGGTCCGGATCAAGACCGGACTG